TATCATGACTCCAATAGTACCTACGGTAGCATGTAGTATGAGGCAGTGTTGAGCAAACTATAGAAAGCTTCATCATCAGTTAAAGCCAGCAGGCAAAATAGTGACCCCCCCCCCTTCTAGTTGGGTCCACTTGAAGATGAAGTATTTTTGTTTTGTTTTGGAATGTTGGAATTGCTGTATGTGTGCTTTTTTTTCCGACCCTCGGACGAGTTTCTTATTGGACCAGGAACGATAGTTCATTGTCAATTCTGATTGGCAGCCAGGTTCTCTCACATGTACATGTGCGAATTTGGCGCAAAGTTGAGCGACGAGCACTCCTGCATTCACTAGAGCCAATACTTCACCAAATTCACAACTAGCAACATCTCACGCTAAATCCCAAGCAGACACACATGTACGTGATGAGAGTGAAAGTGTTTGAACGTTATTAGAGCTAGTAGAGCTCTGATCAATGTGCTGCCTTGGACTTGAGGCCTGGGAGAGGTGCAATAACGGGAAACAGAAGAGAAAAACAGCACTAGGGGGGAAATTATGATGGGCAAGGTGACGCGAATGAAGAGAAAGAGGGAGGGCGACGGGAAACGGGAGGGCGACGGGAAGGGAGGGCGTAGGAAACGGGAGGGCGACGGAAGAAGGGGGGCGACGGGAAACGGGAGGGCGACGGGAAACGGGAGGGCGACGGGAAACGCGAGGGCGACGGGAAACGGGAGGGCGACGGGAAACGGGAGGGCGACGGAAAACGGGAGGGCGACGGGAAACGGGAGGGCGACGGGAAACGCGAGGGCGACGGGAAAAGGGAGGGCGACGGAAGAAGGGAGGGCGACGGGAAACGGGAGGGCGACGGGAAACCGGAGGGCGACGGGAAACGCGAGGGCGACGGGAAACGGGAGGGCGACGGGAAAAGGGAGGGCGACGGGAAACGGGAGGGGGGCGGGAAACGGGAGGGCGACGGGAAACGGGAGGGCGACGGGAGAGAGGATAGGCGGCGGGAGAGAGGGTGTCGAGAATAGATGGAAAGACAGAAAAAACAAACAAACCAAACACAATAACAGAGTACGGAATGGGTCACGCTGACGCGATAGCAGAGGGAGAACGAGAGAGGCGACGGAGAAAGGAGGGCATACGTGATGGGAGAGTCGAAGGTCGCCGGGAGGGCTATTCGAGGCGAGCGAGAAGGGAGGATGGGAAGGGAGCAGAAAGAGAGAGGGCAATGGGAAGGGAGCGGAGAGAGAGAGCGCGACGAGAAGGGAGCGGAGAGAGAGCGCGATTCGAAGGGAGGAGCGAGAGAGAGGGCGGAGCGGAGAGAGAGAACGCGATGGGAAGGGAGGGGCGAGAGAGAGGGCGACGGGAAGGGCGCGGAGAGAGAGAGCGCGACGGGTAGGAGGGGCGAGAGAGAGGGCGACGGGAAGGGAGCGGAGAGAGAGATCGCGACGGGAAGGGAGGGGCGAGAGAGAGGGCGATGGGAAGGGAGCGGAGAGAGAGAGAGCGCGACGGGAAGGGAGGGGCGAGAGAGAGGGCGACGGGAAGGGAGCGGAGAGAGAGAGCGCGAAGGGAAGGGAGGGGCGAGAGAGAGGGCGAGGGGAAGGGAGCGGAGAGAGAGAGCGCGACGGGAAGGGAGCGGAGAGAGAGGCCGACGGGAAGGGAGCGGAGAGAGAGCGCGATTCGAAGGAGGAGCGAGAGAGAGGGCGGAGCGGAGAGAGAGAGCGCGATGGGAAGGGAGGGGCGAGAGAGAGGGCGACGGGAAGGGCGCGGAGAGAGAGAGCGCGACGGGAAGGGAGGGGCGAGAGAGAGGGCGACGGGAAGGGAGCGGAGAGAGAGAGCGCGACGGGGCGAGCGACGGGAGGGCGATCGGTAGGGAGGGGCGAGAGAGAGGCCGACGGGAGGAGAGGAGGGGAGAGAGGGGGACGAAGAGGGCGACGGGACGGGCGACGAGATGGCGACGTGACGCGCGACGGAAAGGGAGACGGGTGGGCGATTTGGCGAACTCGAGGATAGCATAGTGGGCGATGAGAGGGGTGAGAGGAATGGCGACGGGAATGGGGTTCTCTGTGATCGCGAGGAAAATATCACTACGCAGCAACGGCGACGAAGTATCACAAACAATCTAATGATAATTTCATTTCTATGCCGCATCAGCCTAATCCCTCGTCTCTGGCTATTCTATGCTAGGCAAGCTCCGTGAGTTAGGCAAGCTACGTGAATGGAGTTGAAGTAAGCATATGTGGAACCCAGGCCCAGCTTGAAAGTCGAAGTCGGGTCCAACCATCAAAACGCACGACAAACAACTGTCGTGCAAATGTCGCATGCAGAAAATGCGAACGCGCGAGCACGATCTGATTTTTTTTTTTGGCGGGAACGAATCACGTGTGTTCAGTCTGTGGAAGGGCGATGCCCGGAACAGTGTTTTACACAGCCCATCGTCGTTCCAGTTTTGCTTCTTCCGAGCACGATTTCAAGTTGGATCCGCCTTCACTATTTTATATTTCGGTTTTAATGAAGTGTAATGAAGTGCGGGTTGCATCCAGAGCCCAGATTTGACAAAAAAGAATCAATAAAGCCCCTGAAAAAAAAATAAAACAGACTGCCGTTAGTCTCTCTTCTGATGCTTTAAATTACTCAAGACAGAATCGATCACACTCATCAATGTGCCTGGTGGTGCTGACAGCAGACGAATACGGTACGGGAACGGAACTTGCTGTTTGTGATGAGAGCCTGGCCAGCTGAAGGTGATCTGGGTGGCTCGATACTGCTTGATATCATTGCTTAGAATGTTGGACTCCAGAGTGGTTGATATGACTTCCCATTTCCTCTGAAGCTGATAACCAGGGTCGACAAATGTGTCCTCAACAGAAGTGTCAATGAAGGGTGTCCTCATGATGAACGTGACTCGTAATAAGCTTGAGAATTCAAATTATTACAGCCGTTTACGGTCTCTGCACGAGAAATAAGCGTCAAGAGAAGAGTCAACATCCGATGTGTAAAAAAAATGCCATTCTCACCGTATGGACGGGTGACTGAAAACTAAGTTTAAACCTGTGCATTCTCATATCCACCTGCGTGCACATGAAGCAATGAAAAAACTGACTGACGGGAAGGCGAAACGGGATTTAGAAATGGAATACAAGCACAAGTAAACCTGACTTAATCCTCCAGCAGTGAAGAAGCTTCTCTAGCAGTGAGGAAGCTCCCTTGTAAAACCTTCCAGCCAGCTTAACAGGCTTCCATTCAACATTCACAAGGACCTGCATTGTTTTACGGGTGAGACATCAGAATAGAATGACCGAATGGTCGGCGACTGACAGGCACACGTACAGTGGCAACGTGGACGTTCTTCGGAAAATAAAACTACGCTCTCGCTCTTGTCTGTTCCTCGACCTGAACTGCCATGATTAAGAGCGCTAAGATTGATGGCTCCTAGCACAGATCATGCTGTGTGTAATGCGTGTAAGGCAGTGACAGCAGCAAAATTCGTCAGTGAGGAGGGAACTAGACTAATTGACAACGTATGTCCCAGCCCTGCCAGTCATGCAGCAACCAACCGCGGACTGTTCTAGGAATGGTGCTAGAATGTTCAACTCGAGGGAGATTTGGTTGGGGGAAAATATGCCGTTCGTAACCATCATGGGACTCGAAAACATTTTTGGTAAAAAAATAAAGGGTACGGTCACTGCAAAGGGTGTTTTCACGCGACTGATAAAGCGTTTCACGGAATCAGTCACAATCAGCTGGTAAAAAAAAACGCGAATGGTCACAGATGAAACTCCCGCCAAAACAAAATGAAACCCAGAAAGAACCTGGATGCATTTTCGGATGATCAACCCTAAACACGTAACTCGCCAGGTGTTTAGGGTTGATCCGTTCCCAAACCGCTTCCGATTCCGATTGGGTTTTAGTTTTTTTACAAGTTAGCAGATTGGTTGGGCGCGAGCGGGAATTTTGTTGAGTTTCAAGTTTTTTTGGCGGGAGTTACATGTGTGACCATTCGCGTGATTCTTTACCTGTTGTTAGTGACTGAATCCGTGACCCCGCTTACCAAACCCGTCAGAAAACCCGATACAGTGACCGTACGCGTTTTTTTTTTACCATTCACGTTATCGAGTCCCAAGTTGGTTACTTGTGGCATATTCTCCCTTTGGTTGGCAATGGTGCTTCGTTTTTAGGAAACACTGTAGTCCGCATAACTCTCGTTTTGAAAATATTCGTACTACAACTTCAAATTGAAATAGCTCTATCCACCTCCCTCTCCTCCCTTCACATCTCTCCCATCCCCACCGCACCACACCACTACCCCGCCCGGTTTTTCCAATGTCCTCCCGCCTAGCCTCGTCGTTGCTTTTCAAGATGCATGCCAAACCAAACCACCACTGTTTGTAGGCTCGGAAAGGACTGTCGGGCAGGTTCAACGGGGAAACAGACAGATTAGGCTCGGCAAACCCCACGTGTTGCCTTTGTCGCTTTACCGCACAGCACGTTTCTGTGGACCAGCGTGCGTTAGCCACAAATGCAGGGGGAGTCCCATTGTTAGGCTGGTTAGCAACGGTTGAAAGCGGTGAAAGGTAGGATACCGGCCTGGGGTGTACATTACTGTACTTTCACCATTGCGAACCAGATTGAACCGTACAGGAGGAATCACAGTTGAACAATATGCCGCCATTCCCCCCTCACTCAACTGCCAGCTACCTGCGTCGTTCATTCAGTGCTACTAAGTCTAGCACAAAAATCCACTTGCGACCCTGTGACGAAGGCAATTCCCTTACCAGTTTCAACCTGGCTGAAGTTTCCTCGAAGCTGTTTGCCCCGTTCGATATAAGTCAAGCAGCTGTGACTTAGGAAAGCAAGTAATGGAGGGACAACGCGGGCATTTTGTCGGAGACTGCTGAGTCGACTTGCGACGACCGCATGAATCTTGACACGTAGTCACCATCCCATCATCCCCACCCGACATCACCGCAATTTCAACGTTTATCCTCGCCATAGCGCTCTTCGTTCTATATTATAATATGATCCTATCCGCAAACGAATCCGCTAGTAACGCAGTTGCCGAGTCGCCTGTCTGCACATCCGCCGTCCCCGCAAACGCGTCAACCTCGCCCGCCGACGACTTTGCACTTCTCCCCATCGCGAATGCCGCCAATCTCGCCGATGAGCGGAAGCCGCCACCGCTGCAGCTGCGCCTAGCAGTTAGCGGAGGGGAAGTCGGGGCGGGACGGGGGACGGGTGGGGCAGCAGAGACCAAAGCGGCGGCACGGGCGGGAATCGACAGGAAGTTATCGGCCCCCGGGAGGCGCGCGGGAAGAAGCGCGAGCGGAGACCTGAGCGGAGGCGCAATCAACACCAATGGCGGAGCGGAAAGCCCGCCAGAGGCGGTCACGGGCCCGCTGACGTACCACGGGGAAGGGCGGGGGAGCGATAAGCGGAACCCTTGGGGGCCGAGGCGCGGGGTCGTGGCGAGGGCGGGGGAAGTGGACACGGGGGAGGAGAAAGGCGCGATCGCTCCGCTTCCGCGGAATGGGCGGAAGGGGCGAAGGCGGAACGGGGAATCCGCGGGTGGTAGCAGAGATGCGCAAGAGGGGGCGGAACTGTTCAGACGCGCCGCGACCATTGGCGACGCGAGCAGCAGCGGCGGAAGCGCTAGAAATGGTAGCTTTGCCTTCAATGCAGCGACCCAGTATCGTAGCGTCAGCAGCAACAGCAGCAGACGAGGCACGAGCGCGGGCGCTACGGCTGATTGGGAACTCACTGCTGCTTCCCCCAGCCCCGCAGCTGCTTCCGCCACGCCTAGCGCCGCGTCCGCTGCTTCCGCCACCCCCATGAGCTCGTTCCCTAGCGACGCTACCACCCCCACCGCCGGCGCTGCGCGTGAAGGGCTGTTCGGGTTCCGCGCAGGCGCGCGCAGGCTGTATGAGGCGCGCAAGCAGGCGAAACGGCAGGCGAGCGGCGGAAGCGGCGCAGGTGACTTGGCGGGTGGGGTGCCGTCCATGGGGCGCGACGTGTGGGTGGCCGCGGAGAAGAATCAGCTGGGCAGGTGGGCGGGGAGTGTAGGGAGGGGGAGCGCGGAGGGGGGAAGCGCTGAGGGGGGAAGCGGCGAGGGGGGAAGCGCGGGAGGGGGAATCGTCGAAGGGGGAGGATTTGAAGGGGGGAGCGACGAAGGGGGAAGCGGAGGAAGAGGTGTGGGGGAGAGCGGTGAGGGGGGGTGGGAGGGTAGTATGAGGCTTAGGGAGGGGAGGGGCGGAGGGGAAGGGGAGGGGGAAGGTGAGAGTGGAAGGGGGATATGGAACGAGGTGCGGGATATGATGGTGCTGCGAAGGGAGAGAGAGGAGGAGGAGGAGAGTGGCCCTGAGTGGGATGATATAGACTGGGGAGAGGAGAGTGAGAGTGAGGAGGAGGATTGGGTAGAGGAAGGAGAGGAGAGAGAAGGGGTGGAGGAGGGAAAGGAGGCAGAAGGGGAGGAGGAAGGAGAGGAGGCAGAAAGGGAGGAGGAAAGGGAGGAGGCAGAAGGGGAGGAGGAAAGGAAGGAGGCTGAAAGGGAGGAGGAGAGCAGGGGAGATGGAGCAGCAGAGCATGTTTCTGAAGACTCGCAGAAGTGGGTTGAAGGGAGCATGGGGTTAAGAGGTTACGAGGAAGCTTCCTGTCTTGACGAGATGGAAAGAGGTAGCAATGTGAGTGAGGAGTGCGGGGAGGTGTGTGAGGGTGAAAGGGGTGAATGGGGGGAGGGGGGGAGGGAGAGGAGCGAGAAGAGGGAAGGGGAGGGAGGTGAAGAGAGGGAGGAGAGAGAAGGGGAGGGAGGTGAGTAATGTGATGGGAAGACAGCGGAGGAGCATTGGTTTCACAGGGTGGGAACAGAGGCTTTCGGAGGGGTGGAGGCAATAGGAGAGTGTGTGGAGCGTCAAAGGGATGGCATTGGGAGTGCGAGTGTTGGAGGAGCAGCAACAGAAGTAGCAGCAGTAGCACAGCCAGCAGCAGCAGGAGCAGAAGCAACGGCAGGAGCAACAGAAGCAGCAGCAGAAGCAGCAACCGGGGCTGACGAGCAATCTGAGCAGGCTGCAAGGCCACTCTCACCCAATGCCACCCCATCCACTGCACCTGCTGCACCCGAGGTGACTTGTGAGTCGCCTCAAAAGGCAACAACTCCTGGCGGGTATTCGCGCAAGCTCCTCTCGTCCCGCACTCTCAAGCTGGTCCTTGATCCCTTGTGCTCCCCTCTTGTTGTACCGTACTCCGAGTCTGCTTCTAGCGAGGATGTTGGTGATTCTGCTACTACTGCTGCACTTGCTGCTGCTGCTTCTGCTGGTGCTTCTGCTGCTGGTGCTTCTGCTGGTGCTTCTGCTGCTGGTGCTTCTGCTGGTGCTTCTGCTGCTGGTGCTTCTGCTGGTGCTTCCGGGAACCTGCTCACTCCCCCAAGCACCAAGAAGCGCAGTAAAGCCATCGACGCGAGGAAGCACAACGAGAGTCGCTCGGCTGAATCAGCCGTGCCATCTCACACGCCCAGGAGGACAGGCACGTTCGAGGCACCTCAAAAGTCGCCTCTGAGCACAGGGCTTGGAGCACAATACGAGCCCGTGTGGCCGCTCACGCCCTCTCACAGGCCTTCTCAGTCCGCCCACACGCCCGTGAGCACAGGGGTTGCGCCTCCATACACCCCTCTCTGGCCCCTCACTCCCTCTCTCAAGCCCTCGGACTTGCCTCTCACACCTCCGATCCCTGACACTGATACACTGTATGAGCCGATCTGGCCCCTCCCTCCTGCTGGTTCCCGGCAGCGTGTGAAGAGCAGCGGTACTGAACCGCCTTGCAGTCAGGCCCGGCCGAAGAGTAGTGTGGGGAGGGAACGCGGAGCGGATAGGGTGGGGCAGGGAGGAGGCGGAGTGGGGAAGCAGGTAAAGCGCTCTGAGACGGTTGACAGTCTAAGTCGGCCGAAGAGCAGTGGAGGGAGGGAACGGGGAGTGGATAGGGCGGGGCAGGGAGGAGAAGGAGTGGGGCAGGGTTTGAAGCGCTCTGAAACGGTTGACACTCAAAGCCGGCCGAGGAGCAGTGGAGGGAGTCAACACGAAGCATGCAGAGTGGGGCAGGGGTTTGAGGAGTTTGAGAAGGCAGCGGCGTGGCTGGAAGGGCAGAGTGGCTTGGAGAACTCTCAGCAACCCTCGCAGGGGGAGCAAGGGTTTATTGTGAGGCGGCGGCAGCGGGGGAAGAGCGGTGCAGGGAGGGGAGGAGAGGTGTTGGGTGTGGGGTGGGGATTGAGTGGTGAGTTTCCGTTGACGGCTGTGTCACGACCGCAGTCAGGGGGTGGAGGTAGGCGGAGGAGGAGCACTGGTGGCAGTGGCTTTGATGGTGGTGATGCTGATGGTGATGGTGCTGTTGGTGGCATTGTTGCAGCAGGGGTTGACACGGCATGCATTGACAGAGCTCTGGTGGCAGCAGCACCAAGTGGAGAGTGTGAGGAGGCACCTTTGGAAGCAGCCATGCCCAATGCACTGCATGCCTCTGAACCACAAGCCGCTGTTGCTGTTGCTGTTGCTGTTTCCGCACCAGCCACCGCTGTGCCTGTCATTTCCACACCTGAGATTCCCATGCCTGAGATTCCCATACCTGAAAATCCCACACCTGCCGTTCCTGCACCTGCCATTCCCACGCCTGCCATTCCCACACCTGCCATTCCCACACCTGCCATTCCCACACCTGCCATTCCCACACCTGCTATAGTCACATCTCTGCCACCAAGTGTCAACTCACCTCAGGATACAGTCACACTCGCTGTTGAAACTCCACCACACACCACCTGCAGTCCTGCTGCTATGCCCAGTGCTGCTCCTGTGCTTACTGCTGAAGGTCCTTCAGCAGTACCTGAGGATTCACCTTACGCACCTGAGGGTTCACCTGGAGTACCTGAGGGTTCACCTGGAGCACCTGAGGGCTCACCTGGAGCAGCTAAGGGTTTACGTGAGGCACCTGGTAGTTCACCTGAAGCACCTAAGGGTTTACCTGAAGAAGCTGAGGGTTCACCTGAAGCATCTGGGACTTCACCTGAAGAAGCTGTGGGTTCACCTGAAGGTTCATCTGAAGCACCTGAAGGGACACCTACAGTTGTTACTACTGCACCTGCTGCTGTTGCAGCCCTTACTACTGACCCTGCTGCTTCTACAGCCGTTACTACCCCTACTGATGCTACAGTCGCTGTTACGACCCTTACGTATCCTGCAGCCACTGTCACTGCTCCTGCTCCTGCTCCCGCTCCTGCTCGCACCACCTCGCTTCACAGCTCAGAACCACCCACCACCGCGCGAAACCTCCTCAAACCGTCAGTTTCTGTCGGCGACCTGTCAGCCACATCCACCGTCCCCAGATGGGCCCTCCCCTGGAAGAACCCAGCGCGTTCGCCCCTGCCTGGAAGCAGCATTTCATTCTTTGGGCCCAAAACGCCTGGAAAGATGCCCGGCAGCAGTGGAAGGGCCAAGACGCCTGGCAAGGCATCAGGCAAGGCGGAAGGGTCTGGTTTACAGAAGAGTCTCGGTGCTTCTGACGGCCGTGTCGCTGGACGGCCTGGGGTGCAGGGTAGGGGAGCTGGGTTGGAGGAACGGGAAAGTGGTAAGCAGGAGCTAAGGCAGCAGCAAGAGCAGCGGCAGGAGGAGCAGCAAGAGCAGCAGTACGTGCAGCAGGAGGGGCAGCAGCAAGAGCAGCGGCAAGAGCAGCGGCAAGGGGAGCAGCAAGAGCAGCGGCAAGGGCAGCAGCAGCAAGGGAAGGGGCGGCAGGGGAAGGAGCAGCTACATCAATCAGTGAGCGAGGGCAGCATATTCACACGGCCTCCTGGCAGCAACACCGCACCCCGCATCCCCTTACCCCGTCACCGCACGCTCCTCTCTCCTCGGGAACTCCTGAAAAAGCTCTCTGCCTTCCCCTCCAGTTTCCCCTCGTCCAGTTTCCCCTCCAGCGTCCCTTTAGGCCCCACCCGGGCGTTCTTCGGGTTTCCCCTCGTGGAAGAGTGTACTTCGGCGGAACTCCCACAACGACTCGCTGGCGCCGGTGGCTTCGGACGGGCCCAAGGACGTGTGGGAGGCGGCAGAGAAGGAGCAGCTGGGGGGGTGGCGGAGCAGGTCCAGGGGTGCGAGGAAGAGAAGCATCATGGAGGCTGCTGGACGCAGCTTGAGCGGTTTGAGCGATACAGATCTGAGCGGTAGGACTTTGAGTGGCTTGAGCGATGGTGATTTGAGCGGCAGGGATCTGAGTGGGAGAGATTTGAGCGGCGGAGTTTTGAGCGGCCGAGGGAGTGTAAGTTGGCATGAGACAGGGAATGGGGTGTTGGAGGGTGGGGCAGCAGTGGGAGGAGGGGTAGATGGTGAAATTAACGGGGAGCAGCAAGGGGAGAGCTTTTACATTGTACCTGCATCTGGGTTGCATAGCAGGAGGCACACTGTCGACGGTATTGGGGCTGCTCTTAGCAAGTACGGCAAGTCTGCTTATAAGGAGAACGGAAGCCGCGTAAGCAGGATTCGGCGTGGTGTGTTTGGGGTAGCGAGGAGCAGCAGCAGCGACAACGCCTCTGCTGCTGCTGCTCAAGCAGGCAGCGGGTTGCAGGCAACAGCGGTGCCGAGAGCGCTATCAGAGAGCAGAGAGCGTGGGCATGGCAGGAGCGGCAGCAGGCTGAGGGTGTGGGGGTTCAGGTCGTGGGGAGGCGGTGCGGGTAGTGCCAGCGGCCGCAAGAAGGAGAGACTCTCTGGGAGTGTTGAGACGCCTTTTGAGGCTCCTTATGAGGCTCCTTTTGACGTTCCTCTTGAGGCTCCTTTTGGGGCTCCTTTAGCGGCACGCCTTGAGGCGCCTCAAGGCGTGCCGGTGGGAACGAGGGATGGTCGCTGTGGGGACAGCAGGGACTCGAGCGAGAAAGACTCGAGCTGCAAGGATGGTGGAGGAGAGAAAGGCACGAGCAGCAGCAGCAGCAGCGGTGATTGCTTTGCTCAGCAAGTCTCGCTCTCTGACAACCCTGGGGATCCTCTTCAGGCTTCAGGTGAAACTTCAGGTGGTGGCGTGCTGTGGAATCCGTACAGTGCGGAGGGCCGGCTGGAGAAAATGCCGAGCTTTGTCTTAGAAGGCACGCCTTCTGGGCTGGAATATGAGGAGGGAGAGGGGGAGCAGGGGGAGGAGCGGGGGGAGGGGGAGGGGGGACACCTGGGTGTGGCATGGAGCTGTCCTGTGCTTCTGCCTGATCCCACCCTTGGTGTGCCTCCAGCGATGCACAGCCAGCAGGGGAAGGAACGTGAACGTGGGGTGCATGACCTGGCAGGTGGCAGGGCTGTTACATTCGCGAGAATGGAGCCATTGCACGAGAGTGAGGCGATGGAGGGGTGTGAGGGTGAGTCTGTGGGGGGTTCCGAGAGGGGGGCAGAGGGGAAAGTGGTGGAGCAAGGTGAGCGCGGTCAAGAGAAGAGGACAAGGGCTGCCGCCCTTCTTGTTGCAGTGGAGCCGTTCAGACAGCGTGTGCAGAAGGCAATGGGGGGGCAATTGGCGCAGGGTGTTTGAGTGTGCGAGGGATGCTCACGAAATACCTTGTCGTGTACTTACCATTCTCGCATGCCCACAGAAATGCGACATGAACTTGTCAATATGCAGCCTCAGCGATACTGTGTTGCTTTGTACGTTACCTAAGTACACCATACCGTATATGGTACCTCCAGTCACGTTTATTGAAGCGCATTGACAAAACAACAGCTTGGTGTAATGTTTTGTTGGCAATGTTGCTGGTAAAAAATATGTGTAGTCTTCGTACATATGGTAGTGAAACAATTAAGCATAGAAATTCAGAAAACACGAGCTGGGACGAGCAAAGCGTTTACTTGTCATTCACATTTCTTTTCTAGCCGTCAATATAGTATCTTGACAATTTGTTAGCTAAATGCGCTACAAAATGTACTCACATATTTATGCCGTTTTGCATCACCTGTTCCCGTCATTCCTTCATTTCGGTTCGGTTGTGCGAGCAGATCCAGGGTTTCTTTTTCCTTGACAACCTCGCTCCACCAACCACTTGCCAAGATTCTTGAAATTGCCGAAGCTCGATCTGGATTCCACGGGTAATCTTTCAGAGAGTTTCAGGGAGAACCTAGGGTCTCGATCCTGGAGCAACGAGCGCAGAGCTTCTAGATCAGCCTATCTTGTCCGTTTGATATCATGTAGATACCTTTTTACGCGCTATGTGTCGCCATTGTTAGTATGGCTTCCGAGGATACCGGTGTGCAGAGGGACGCATCGGGTCCTGGTGGTTCCTGGCCGCCAGGATTCGGCGTCCCTCCAGCTTCAGCCTACGCACGTCCGCAGTTAGGAGATTCTTCCGGTGTTTCCGCGCAGGAGATTAATTCCCAGCTTGTAGCTAACCATGATTTGAAGGCGGGTAACGCGTGGCATTTCGGGCCGTCGGATCCGAAGCAATACGGATTAGGTCCTGCGCGAGTCGCGCTTGGTTCTGATCCGGCTCCTCGCAATCCTAATTTCGGCGACGATTCGTTTTCTCTCTCCGGCGGATCCGGCGGTTTGACACACGCAGCGAATTACATTGATTCGGTACTATCTAGGCTAACTCCAGGCAACGGATTGGCTGGGATGCCTGGCGAAGTGACAGCTCCGCGAGTTCCTGCGGTCTCGCAAGGAGCTAACGGGATCGGCCGTTCCTTGCACGCGGAGCAAATATCGTTGCAGCAGCAGCATCAGCAGCAGCAACAGGCTCAATTCTTGCAGCAAGATTTCCCACAGCTGCAGCGTCAACAGATTCCCGATGCTCCTCCTCCACCGTCCGATGGATACTCTCGCATATCAACGGACCACATGCTTTCGTGGCAGGTGGAGGAGTATTTTCAGCAGCAGCGGAGACAGCAGGCGCTCGCAGGGCTCGTAACTCAGCAGCCGTTCCCTATTGACTCAGGTCCACTGGCATTGCCACGTCATCTGCAACAAGCGCTGGGCCCACCTGTAGCCACGTCACTGGAGCACAGTCAGCAGCAGCATCAGCACCAACAACAGCAGCAGCGCTTTCAGGGGTCGCAAGCCGGTGCTCCGTTATACGCCGACTCTGTACATGCACAGCTCCAATCTCTCCCGGGAGGCGTTCTCAACACTCACTTCGCGTCAGGCCCATCGGCGACGCAATCGGACGGCGATCTCGGCCAGATCTACGGTCCACGAGGCTCGCAGAATCACCCGGCTCCTCCAAACACTCTCGGGCTCACCCTTGACGAGATCCGAGCTCCGCACAATCTACCGAATGTTGAATCCATGGCGGCGCCGAACCTTCCTGAAAAATACGAGGTGCCGTCATACCTCAAGGAGCTCTGGTCCGATTCTCCAATCCATGGCTCCCCGTTCCGCGCGCCGGGAAGGCCCACTGACCCTGGCGGGATGCGCGGCGGACAGCCGTTCTCACTCGGCCAAGGAATGATGTCGTTTGAAAATTCGCAGAAGCAAACCGAAGCACCCGGAAGGTTCCGAGGGGAAGGAGGGTTTGGAGGGAATGGGGAAGGAGTGAACCGCGGGAGTCCGTCTCTCGGTCCGTACCCGCATCCCGGGCTGAACGGGGGTGATCCGCGCTTGCAAGGGTTTTCCGATCCTGGCGGGCCGTTCGACCCGCGTGTTGCCTCGTTAGAAGGGTCCCCGTTTGGGAGAAAGAGCGTGGATTCAGGCAGAGGCTCTCCCAGCCGATCCTCTCTTAGCAATTGGCCGTATGGGATGAGTGAGGGCGAAGCGGATAGAGGAATCGGGGGAGGAGAGGGACGCGGGGACAGCCGGTTTAACCCTTCGCGCGGAGGTACGGGTGCGCCCGGAGGGGGAGGCGGAGGCGGAGGCGGAGCGGGAAGGAACGCTGGTGTGGCGCAGTGGGGGGCTGCCGGAGCGAACGGGAAGGAGGCAGGGCGGAGGGAGGATGGAGGGAGTGGATGGGGTGTGAGTGGCGGCGTGAGCAACGGAGGCATGGTTACAGGAGGCAGAGAAGGCGAGGGGTTGGACGTAGGAGGAGACCCGTGGCGTCGCGCGGGCGCTCTGGGGCCAGATGGGCTTCAAGGAAACTTCCCGTCACCGCTGCACCAGCAGTTTCCGCCTGTCCAGCAGCAGCAACAACAGCAGGGTGGGATCATGGGTGCAGTGACTTCGAATGCTAACGGTGGAGCCTTTAACGCGGACGAACTTACTCTGGAGCAGTTGACCGACCCTGCTGCGGTGGCGGCGCTGGAAGGCCCGTCGAGCCAGCAGACGATTATGGATCTCCTCGCCGCTGCCGGCAACGCCTTCGCCGCTCCGCAGTTGAAAGCCTCTGGCCTTCACCAGCAGCAGCAGCACCAGCACCAGCAGCAGCAGCAGCAGCAGCAGCAGCAGCAGCAGCAGCAGCAGCAGCAGCAGCACCAGCAGTATCCGCAGCAGGAGCAGCATCAGCAGCAGCAGCAGCAGCAGTTTCAGCAGCACCACCAGCAGCAGCAACAGCAGCAGCAGCAGCCGCAGGCGCAGCAGGGAAGGGCGCAGGAAACGGCGCGAAAGCTGTTCAACGACGACATGTTTCCTCCGTTGGGCTCGCCCTCCGCCCCCCCGCCCGGCAAGGCCGGGGCGAGCGCGCAAGGCAGTGGCGGGGGGCCGGGGAGAGGCGCAGCAGGCGCAGAGGGAGATGGGGCGGGCGGCGCCACCGCCGCGGGGAAGGGCGCGGAGGATGTGAGAGATTCGCTGGAGGCGTTGGCGGAAGATATGAAAGCGTTCGACCTCTCTGGTGACTTGACTGGTGACTCGGGTCAGTTTCAACTGCCGCAGGGGCGTGCGGGGCAGCAGCAGCAGCACGGACAGCAGCACATGTCTCGGAATCAGCCGCAGCAGCAGCAGCAGCAGGCACGGCAGCAGCAGCAGCAGCACGGTATCCCCATCCATCCGCATCGCCACCACGCTGCTTTCACTGCCGCCCCTCGCCATCCCCCAGGCTCCAGCCCCGGCCAGCGGTTCAGGCATCCCGAACAGCAGCAGCAGCAGCAGCAACAGGGGGGTTTGTCGCAGCAGCAGCAGCAGCAGGAGCAGCAGCAACTGCAAGCAAGACCCCAGCAGCAGCAGCAGCAGCAGCAGCAGCAGCAACATCAGCAGCAGAGGGTGCAGTTCCGACCGCACGCCCACCGCCCGCCGTCCCTCCGCGTGGACCTCTCCCGCCTCAACTCACATCTGCTGGCGCTCTTCCGCTCGCTGGAGCCCACAGCAGAGGAGGCGGAGCGCAAGGAGCAGCTCATGCGCACGCTCACGCACGTGGCGGCCGCCACGTACCCGTCCGCGCAGCTGTTCCTCTACGGGTCGTGCGCCAACTCGTTTGGCGTGCGCAACTGCGACGTGGACGTGTGCCTCGCGCTGGACGGCCCGGATGTGTCGCGTGTGGAGGTTATTACGAATATGGCGACTGCACTCAGAGCGGAGGGCATGCTGAACGTGCAGGTGAGGGTGTGGGAGGGCGCTTTGTGTGTGCAGGGGAGAAGGCAGAGGGCTGGAGCAAGGGACAGGTGAGGAAGGTGGGTGGACGGGCCGGATGTGTGGCGTGTGGAGGTGATCCCGAATATGGCGACTGCGCTCATGGCCGAGGGCATGCTGAGCGTGCAGGGGACGAGGGGAGGGCAGTGAGGTAGCGCGTGCAGGTCACTCCAGTGCGCTGCTTCCCCTGTCCGTGCAACCATTCCCCATCGCCCATCCCCCATTCCTCCAATCTTCCTATCTTCCTGTCTTCCCAACACAGGCGCTGACCCACGCGCGTGTGCCGATAGTGAAGTTCATGGATCCAGCATCCGGAGTGGCGTGTGACATGTGTGTCAACAACCTGGCAGCCGTGGCCAACAGCCGCCTGCTGGCGGACTATGGGCGCCTGGACGACCGTGTGAGGCAGCTGGCGTTCCTCGTGAAGCACTGGGCGAAGAGAAGGCAGATCAATGAAACTTTCCGCGGCACGCTTTCTTCCTACGCGTGAGTGCGGGAGGGGCAGGAGAGCAGGTGTGGAGGGGGCGAGTGGGGGGAAGCGGGTAGGGGGGGTTCAGGAGGGTTGGGGGTGTGAGCGGACTATGGGCGGCTGGACGAGCGTGTGAGGCAGCTGGCGTTGCTCATTAAGCACTGGGCCAAGCGGAGGCAGATCAACGAGACGTTTCGCGGCACCCTCTCCTCCTATGCGTACGTTGGGGAAGGGGGAGAGAGGGTGTTGGGGGGGATAGGGGAGGTGTGGGGGCGGAGAGAGAGAGGGTCTTTGGAGAAAACAGCTTGTGCGGGAAGGGTGAAAGGTGTGTGGAAGGGGGCGGGTTTGGGGAGGTTGAGTTTTTATGCATTCGACACTTCTCAGGAGATCTGTCTTTACGAATCGCCTCCGCACATCCCCCCTCGTCTTCCATCCACCCCCCATGCCCCATCCTCCTTTCCCCCTGTAGCTACGTCATCATGTGCATCCACTACCTGCAGCAGCGCCAGCCACCCATTCTGCCATGCCTGCAGGTGCGCCCTGCTTAATACTGTACGACTGCTCATGATGTTGCGATGCCGTTTTGCTTTTCTGTGCGAGGCAAGTCTCTCACCTGCTGTTGACCCTGGTGACCCTGTTGACCTTCATCACTCTCTCTCCTTCATCCTACCCCCCCCCCCCCCCCCCCCCCCCCCCGCCACCCCCCCTCTTTCTCCTCCTCCGCCCCCCCTGTAACCACCCGGGGATCCAGCCACGTACGTACCACATGCAATTCTGACGCATCTCGAAACTCCAGCCTCTCATACATCCCCTCCCCTCCCTCCCTCTCCCCCTCCCTCCTCCTCCCCCTCCCCCTCCCCCCCGTACAATCACAGGAGATGCAGCCGCACACGTACCGCGTGCAGGTGGGGGGCGTCGTTTGTTCCTACTACGACAAGGTGGACTCGCTGCGCGGCTTTGGGGCGGCGAACGGGGAGACGGTGGGCGAGCTGCTGGCGGGGCTGTTTGAGTACTGGGCCTTCCGCCACGACTACAACCGTTGTGTCATCAGCATCCGCACCGGCGGCTTCCTCAGGTGAGCTGCATGCCATGCTGGTGGTGCCAGCTCCTACCCTGTGCTCTCCTACCCTCTGCTGCTCCCACCTGTATCTGTTATGCTCCCATCTCACTGCCTCGCTCCTGCTCTCCCTCCCCCCTTTCCCTCACTCCCTCTCTCGCCCGTGCATGTGTGTGTGCACCCCTCAGTCACTCTCCCCCACCCTCCCCACGCCACACACCGACAGCAAGGAGGAGAAGGAGTGGACGAGGCGTGTGGGCAACGAGCGGCACCTCATCTGCATAGAGGACCCCTCTGTTTGCTGCTCTGCTTGCTTCCCTCTCACTGTCTCCTGCTTCCTCTCCCTCCCTCGTGCGTGCGCACACCCCCTCCCTCCTTCTTCCCCTTCCCCCCCCCCCGTCCCCCCCTGTGCCACACACACACACCGACAGCAAGGAGGAGAAGGAGTGGACGAGGCGTGTGGGCAACGAGCGCCACCTGATATGCATAGAGGACCCCTTTGACCTCGCCCACGACCTCGGCCGCGTCGTTGACCGCGCCTCCATCCGCGTGCTGAGAGATGAGTTTCACCGCGCTGCCAAGCTCATGCGGCATGACCCCAAGCCGTATGTGACCCTCTTTGAGCCGTACGTTCGTGAAGATGAACGGTAGGGATTAGATGCTGGGGGGCTGTGGTTGGCCGCGCCTCCATCCGCGTGATGCGAGATGAGTTCCACCGTGCCGCCAAGCCGTACATCACGCTGTTTGAGCCGTACGTCACGCCGTTTGAGCCGTACGTCACGCTGTTTGAGCCGTACGTCACGCCGTTTGAGCCGTACGTGCGAGAAGATGAACGGTGAGGACAGCGATGGAGATTGAGATGAGTGGTGGAGATACGTGTCAGAATGTTATAATTGTCTAGCCTGCAGTGGGGTACTCCATAGTGAGTACAACCCAATTAAGGTTTGCTATATGTATCCAACTGCTTGCTAGTGAAAGCCTCCTTTCTCCATTCTCGTTCTATTCTAGATTCTGACATGGTTTCAGAGCAGGTCGACCCCCTTGGGTCGATCCTGTGGGTGGGCCCACCACCTAACTGCTTCCGCTGCTGTTCTGCTTCTCGCGCGCCTCGGGCGCGCGCCGTCTTCTTCCTGCCGTAAGCTCGGGGCGCGCGGCGAGTTTCTGCCCGCCGTGCGCCCCGAGGCGCGCGGCGGTTTTCTGCCGTGGGGGATCCGCGCGCGCCCCCCCCCCCCGCCATCCCGTCGCCCGTCGCGACGCCCAGGGGAACCGCGCGTCGCCCTGCCCGTCGCCCGTCGCGACGCCCAGGGGAACCGCGCGTCGCCCGTCGCGGCGCCCTGGGCTCTAGCGCGTCGACCCCCCCCCCTCCCGTCGCCCGTCGCGGCGCCCTGGGGGGCCGCGCGTCGCCCCTCCCGTCGCCCGTCGCGGCGCCCTGGGGGGCCGCGCGTTCCCCCCTCCCGTCACTCGTCGAGGCGCCCTGGGGGGCCGCGCGTCGCCCCTCCCGTCACCCGTCGCGGCGCCCTGGGGGGCCGCGCGTCCCCCCCTCCCGTCACTCGTCGAGGCGCCCTGGGGGCCCGCGCGCCGCCCCGCTTCCTCTCACACACCGCCCCAGCTGCTGCCCCCGTTTTTGCCCTACGTTTGGGGGTTTGGGGGTGGCAAGTATGGGGGTGGCGGGTGTGTGATCCGTCCCCTACTCCTCCTCCTCCTCCGTCTCCCACTGCTGCAGCTACCGCTGAGGGGGGTGGGTGTGTGGGAGCCGAGGGTTTAGGGTTTAAGGGGGGTGACGTGGGAGTGGAGTTAGGGGTTCAGCAGGGGGTGTGTGTCAAGGGTGTGGTTCAGTTGGAGGAGGTTGTGTGGAGGTAGCTGTCGTGTCGCCTGCAGCGCCTGCAGTCCGTCGCCCTTGCTTCGGTAGCCAGTGAGCCTGTTGCACCAGTCGCCCGTGGGTCCGTTGCTCCTGCCGCTCGTCTTAGCTGCGGAGCCAGTCACTCCAGTAGTCCGTCGCCCTTGCTTCGGTAGCCACTGTGGGTCCGTCGCCCTTGCTTCGGTAACCCTGAGTCAGCAGCTCCTGTGCCCGTGCCTCTGCAGCTTCAGTCGTTGCCTCCCATCTTCTCTCCTTCTACAGTTCCTCCTCCTCCTCACTTGCCCGCTGTGATTACCTCTAGCTTTGCTTGTAATTGTGAATTATTACTATGCTTGCGTGTTGTGCTGATTACACCCTACTTTGGCTATGGGGGTGTGTCAGAATGTTATAATTGTCTAGCCTGCAGTGGGGTACTCCATAGTGAGTACAACCCAAATAGGGTTTGCTATATGTATCCAACTGCTTGCTAGTGAAAGCCTCCTTTCTCCATTCTCGTTCTATTCTAGATTCTGACAATACGGTAGGCATCCATTCGTCAATCGAACTATGGTATTGTGCATTGTTGTAGGTCAGCAGTCCAGCGTCCATACCCCTGAACACTTAGTGCAAGGGAGGGATCTCTATATACACTACACACTAACTCACTGCTTTCTTGTTCCCTTGCTAAGATGCCTTTCTTACTACTTGTAGCTTGGACTCAGGCTGAATACTGCAAATGCCTTATCACAACAAAAAGCTTCAACTACGGTACCGTATAACAAGTTCTACCGTACAACAGGAGAGCATGCGGTACATTACAGGTGACATGAGGGCCAGCTGTCCAAACAATCATAATGACTGCTGCTAATCTGAGAAAACTCAAAGCAAGACTTGACTCTCCTAAGGCTATCAGTGCCAGCGCACCTCTTCTCAATGATTGGATCTGCTATCTTGAAATCCGGGCTCCAGGGCGAGCCACGTGGCAGCAGGCTATTGGTCGACGTCCAGTGGCAGTCGGAGGAGAAGGGGGATGAGATGGATGGTTCTGGAGAATGCACCAATGTCACCCCGTGGATGTTGTAGGGAGGGGAGCATGCCTTTTCCAACATCTCATATACCTCCTCTCTGTCACTTGTCTCATCCCTCCCATCATTGACATCTCCCAGTTTCCTCTCCTCTGACTCGTCCGCAGTGTGCCTCTCATCTGCATGGCCAGTCTCACATGTCTCAACTCTCTCACGTCTCTCCCCACACCTCTCAACCGACTCTTTCACAGCTGTTCCTTCAGCCTGTGCAGGCCTGTCAGGGCAAGGAGAAGTATATTTGGGAAGCGCAGCATCTGAGGATCTGATTGGGAAGCTCCCTTCTGACTGCGCTCCGCTGTAGCAAAGAGGAGAGGAAAACCAGGCGACAGTGGGAGGAGCTGTGAAGGAGTAGCTTCTCCTCATGCTGCTCTTCAGTATGCCTGACTGCCTTCGTCCTCTCCTTGAAACGAGGCTGCTTCTAGCAGCATTGGAGAAGTCATTGCTCCTGTCGATTTCTTCTGAAGATTCCACATGAGCAGCAACCACGGATGCTACAGTATTGTCTCCTCTCCCTTCCTCCCCTCGCCCCTCCTCTTCATAAACCCCTGCGCCCACCCCTTTCTTCCCCTCCCCCGCCTTCCCCGTTTCCCCATCCACTCTCTGCACTCCCGCGTTCTGCTCCTCTACTGTTCCTGTCTTCTTCCACCCCTCCCGTCGCCTCCTCCTACCAGTGCTATCATCAACAGCACAGCTACTCACAACAGCCAGGCTGCTTCCAAACGCAATGCTGCTGGCAATGGCCAGACTCCCCCCAAAGGACAGACTGGTTGCAATCGCCAGCGTGCTACCGAACGCCAGACTGCATCCCAGAGCCAGGCTCCTCCCAATCGCATCCCCAGCGGTACTGCCACTTACATAAGTGCTCGCGTAAGTGCTGCTGCTGCGCGCGCTGCTGATAGCGCTGGCGTTTGTGCTGGCGACGCTGATGTTGCTACTCAAACCCTCTCCCATATATTTTCCCTGAGAATCGCTTCTAGCGGTGGCAGTAGCAGTTTCCGTAGCAGTGTGAATCCCGGTCCGCCCGTGCTCTGACGTCGGCCGGCTGACCTCAGCGGTGACGTCATGCCCGTGGTCCAAGGCTGCGCACACGTCAGCACCGTACGTAGACTCGGCAGCACAGTCACCGAGGCTGATTCGCTCGACCCAGACTCGGCACATCTTGCACCGATCCACCTCCCGAACCAGCGACCCATGGCCTAGTAAGGACCTGAGAGCAACACTCTTCCCCATCTCCCATCCCTCCTCCCTCATCCCCGTTTCCCCCTCCTCGTCCGATCCAACCATCACCGCAAAAGCAGCCTTGATTCTCGCCTCGGCAGACTCCCTCTCCCAGAATTCACCTGAAGGTTCACCTGAAGAGCCACCTGAGAATCCCTGGTGCGGTGGCATCCCCCGAGTTCCATCTCTCTTGCTCCGTTGAACACGTGGGGACAAGGCGCGTCCCAAGCCACCTTGCCGTTTCTTCAGAGCCGGCTGCGCCCTCGAAACCCCCTCACAAGGCCCGTGGTCCTGCGACAAAGCGCCGTAGCGTCTCCCCTTGCTCCCCCACCCTCCACGCGTCGCCCTGTTCGAGTGGTTCCATGCTCCGCCGCGCATCTTCCCGCAGCAAGCGTGCACGCGCCGCTGGATCCGCGACAGCGCCATGCGCATGCGGAATTCGCGCCGTTGGTGGCGGCTGAAAGTGGTGACCATCGGGAATGAGTTCGATGTGAGTGCTGACGTGTCCTCTGCCACGGTGGCGGATGCTGACTCAGCCTCGTCATGATCGGCAGACGCGATCGTCTCAGTCAGACTCGAATTCCGACGCGGCGGAATGACCGCTGGGTCAGCCCCGTTAGCGTCAACGTCAATAACCTCATCCGAATCCGCGTTATAGCATGACGTGGCGTCACGCGTGAGACGCGCGGGCTGCTCCATGTGATCGGAATCCGCGTTAAGGTCGAATTCAGCTCCGGTTTCAGACGTTAACACTGCGACTGTTAACGAATCAAGCGTTTCAGACATCACCTCGTCTTTGTATCGCGTTTCGCACTCAGAATCGGACGGTATTCCTGGTATGTCGGCGGTTATATCGCTTCGCAGTTCGGTAAATGACGGGGAGACGCAGCCAAATGGGGAGGATTTTTCACGCTTCTCTTCCATCCCTTTCCCGAATTCGTCCTCTTCGCATGATGCCACAAACGTTCCATCATGGTGTTTCTCCTCCGTCGACTTGCGCGACGTTTCAATTCTCGCACACTTATGTTCTATCCCTTCCCTCAGGCTGGCGGATTCGTTATCTCCGCGTATTGTTTTGTGGCGGTGATTGCCGTCGCGACGACTCGCCGAATTCTGACCCTCCTCCTTCAGCGTTGATAACGGACGCGCCAGTAGGCCCGCCAGAGCAATCATTCCGCGCCCCCAACTGGCGGAAAGACTCGGAGGCATCTTCAAAAAGCGTACTAAGGAATTCAATCTCCTGGAGCCTGTGAGGACTTGTTAGCGAGTACGAATGCGTGCGTTGCACTACGAGTTGGTTCGACCATTTGCCCGCGCAGCACTATCTTTTCTATTATGAATAAGTGAGAGAGATGCGTGTCGGAAGTGGCACAACAAGGCGCGCGGTGATGGATAACTATGCGGCTAGAAAATTTTGGCTCAGTCGGAGGTACCAAGACGCGGTGCTGCTGTAAGCAGTCGAGTGGATAAGAAGAGAGAGGAACATGAATTTGCTGCCGAGCGCTGTTGGGCTGTCCGAGAAGCGTGCGTGCGAGTTGTGCGTGTGAGTCTGCGAGAGTGCTTTGGGATGACTCAAGGAGGACATGGAAATAAACATACCTCCCAGACGGGCATGTGGCTGGCGCGATGCGTCGAACCAAACCTGCGAAACAGCTCCGCTGTTGCGCATGCTACCAGCAAACCTTTGACAATTCGCAAGGGTCGATTCTGGCCAAGAATACGGTTTGTCAAGAGTCGCCAGCCTTCGCATGTCGTATGTCGCTTGACAGCTATTGACGTGGTTTGTGAATTGCTGCTGGGGTAGTTGGTTGGAGGTTGAGGTGGAAAATTGACATGGATCAACGCGTCGCGGGTACTTCGACCCGCATTTATTGGCGCGCTTGGAATAAACGAGCAGCGAGTCCCCCACAAGTGACAGCAAAGCAAGTTCAGGATACACGTCATGCCAGCGATAAGCGATCACCTGAGCCGTCAGATGAAACCTTCGTCAGATCTCACCAGTCCCCACTTGAATGGGCAGTCAAGCTTCGGTCAGCAAATTCTTTGAATGTACGTAATTGTCAGCTTCTCATTGGCAGATGAGTTTGTCCCTGATTATACGGCGCAACGTGCGCAAGATCTAGTCATAACAGTATGCGATATGAGCGTGACGCGGAAAGAGCAACGAAAACTCTAATCAAAGTGAAAACAAACTAACTGTTGTACACTCACCTCTTGTCGTCGAGTTTCTGTTGTTACCATTCCGACGGAGCCTGGCAGTGCCCGAAGTACCTCGCGCACATCGTAAAGTCGTCGCTCAATCGCAATTGCCTTCCAGCCCCTCCAAATCTCCACTAATGTTCAGGCAGAACCTAGGTTTCCTTGGCCAACTATTTTCAAGAAGTTATTCCACCATATATTTTTCAAGTGGCATTCACCGTCGCTTGCGCGGCGCTGCGTCTGCGATGGCGTGGACCGTGGACCCGCAATGGGAAGCGGCGCTAGGACTTGTCGGAACCCTCTCCGCCATAGCCCTGTTCATATCACCCATGTAATATTAGCATTGCCATCGATCCGCCTCTCCCTACCTGCTCCCGTGGACTTGTGAACCCATCACATCTCTTTCTCCGCTTAGCACGATGCTCGATTAGCGGTCATCAGACTCTGTCGCTTCCCGCTGGCGTGAAGTGGGACGAATTTCCTCATTTTGTCGCCATACATCAGATTTCCTAATCCACAGGCACGCCAAGTTATCAATTTCTCCCTTGTTCTTCGTTCCTTTCCGTTCCGCCACGAGTCTTCGCAGTAAAACGTTTCAGCGGATAATAAGCAGGCGAAGCACGGAGGACTTCCCGTCCTTCCCCTACGTGTCCACGCTGCTCAATTGCTTCGTCTGGACCGTCTACGCTCTCCCGTTCGTCACTCCCAACCGCTTTCCACCGCTTGTTACCAATGTCATCGGCGTGGCCTTCCAACTGGTTTACCTCGTGCTCTTCGTACGCTATGCCAAGGATAAAGCTCAGGTGAGGTAGTAACAATCGCAAGTCATATGAAAAGCCGTTATAACGAGCGCAGGATATATTGTTCTAGCTGTTTTTGCTTGAGCTGTAGTTGCTTATTCTGCTTCACTGTTCGGAGCTTCTAATCCTCAGCAGTGCACCTCATCCCATTGCACCCTTCTTCACCGCACTCCGCCCATGCACACCCATCTGCAGAGCCAAGTGCGGCAGCAGCTGCTGGTGCTCTCCACCTTTCTGCTGCTCTTCACAGCTCTCCTCTTCACCGCCGTGTCGCCTCCCAGCCGCACTGCTGTGGCTGGGAATCTAGCCACTCTCTTCACTGTCATCATGTTTGGCGCTCCTCTCTCCTCGCTGGTGGGTGTCCACTCCACCCCTCGCAGCTTCTCCAAACTCATTCAGCATGCCCTGCCTGCACTGCAGCAGTCCGTCCCTGGCAGTGGTATGGTTTTCCAAACTCATTCGTCGTGCCAGCTGTAGTGCTGTGGCTGGAAACTGGTCACATCCTTCACCCGTTTTTCCATCATCATGTTTGGCACTCCTCTTGCTCGTGCGTCTCATTTGCATGCGACGCGCATGACTTCCTGTAACGCGTTTATAGCATACGCGATCACAGACTCTCAGCTCAGTCATATTTGTGCCTTTCCCATTTTAGCACTCTCATCGCCCCGCTTTCGTGGTCCAATGAACGACATCCTTCCTGCTGGGTCGTCATTGTGCCAGAACAATCACATCGCATCCATTGGGCATCTCTCCATGCACTGCTGTGTACACATCGCCCATGGGGCAGGGTGGTGTTTGTTCATACGTGTGTGTGGGGGGGAAATGTGGGGTGCGTGTGTGTGAGTGAGTGTGTGTGTGTGTGCGCGTGTGTGTGTGTGTGTGTGTGTGTGTATGTATGTCTCTTTGTGTACATGCATGCGTGTGCATTGTGATGCATGTACACGTGGCAGTCTGTGGTGCTGAGGACACGCAGTGTGGAGTTCATGCCGCTGCCACTCTCCCTCATGTCATTCGTTTGTAGCACGGCATGGATGGCCTATGGGATCTACGTGCAAGACACTTATGTGATTGTAAGTCGTGAGGCACTTACATGATTGTAATTCATCTTTTACCCGAGGTTAATGTGAGAGAAGGGTAGGTGAGAGGGGGGTAGGAGAGAAGGGGGCAGGAGAGAAGTGGACAGGAGAGAAGGGGGTAGGAGAGAAGGGGGTAGGAGAGAAGGGGGTAGGAGAGAAGGGGGTAGGTGAAAGGGGGACAGGTCAGAGGGGGGTAGGAGAGAAGGGGGGAGGTGAAGGGGGGACAGGTGAGAGGGGGGCAGATGAGACGGGGGCATATGGGAGACGGGCAGATGAGAGGAGGGTACTCATGTATACAGTATTTTATTTGTATGTTGTTCGAAGCTGTTATGAGCCCTCATTGTTTTGACATCTCACATTTGTTGCTCAAACCATTTGACCTTGAACCAACAGGATCTGTGCATTCACCATTTCCATTACTGTACCATTACTTTCAGGTCCCAAATGCCCTGGGTTCAATTCTTGGCATCATCCAACTTTGCATCTACTATGCGATCAGGTAATGTATGGTTGTGCGAGTTGACCTTGCAGTGTTTTATACGCGTACTCTGTGGTTTCATTCCTTGCATGCGTGTATCCTTGTCTAAACCTTATTTGCTGCAGCCGCGAGGGAAGGAAGAAGCCCCAAGAAGTTGAAATGGATGGCGAAAATATTCCATTGCAAGAAGTAAACGATCCAGCATTTTGAAAATGTGTGATGCCAGTTTGTTGTATGGTATTGTGTGAAAAAATAGCATCAGCGCTGTGAAGCGCTGCCATCTGCCAAAAAGGCCTATCGCCCTTTGCAGAGTATCACAAGTGATCTCAACCAGTGTGACATAATAGCATGTACGCATACCATTGGCATGTATGTGAAGTTGACTTAGGCACCAGTGACAGCTGCAATATGTTTAGTCCCTCTCATGAGTACCTTTGTATCGAAGAAAGCTATCCTCCCAGCTACCAGTGACGTGGCACGCGTGTCACCCTCGTCACATTATCGCCGAAGCGAATCAGGATGTCGCCACATGTTCTAGCGATAGGCCTTTTTGGCAGATGTGCCTGACCCGCCCGCCACGCACCCCTCGGTTGTTGCAACAGCATCCCTTCCATGCCAGTACGTCTGGGATGACGAGCTAGGCTCGAGAACATCTTGCGGTACATCTCGCTAGTGTTTTGGCCGAAGCTCTAGCCCGAGGTAACGGGTGCAGGCTCGAGAACTCCCCGAGCCATCTCAACAACCTTGACAGTTTCCTCTGGCATCAGTATTTAACCCAGCCTAGGTAATTGCTTCCTCTCTTTCGCCTCCATCTTATTTCAGAGGGTAATTACATTCTGGGTAACCAACATTGAGCCCGCTGACGTCAAAAGTCACCTACGTGGCTCGATGGTACCCCGTCAGATCATGCGCGCCCCTTGGTGGTACCCATCTTCCCTCCGTGGTACCCATCTTCCCTGCGTGGTACCCATCAACTGTGCGCGAATTCCCTGACTGGTACCGCAACATTTCAACCGAGCTGTACACCGTACAACAAGGGTGTCAATGCGTTTTTCACTATATTGTCTTAACGTTTACAAGCTCAATAGAGTCCGAAGCCCAAAGTGCCACATAATCGGGTCAAATTTTCAAGCGCATGACTTATAATAAAGTGTAGAAGAAAAGCTGAATTTAGGAAAACATTTATTGTGTAGATTTCTTTAGGCTCATAAACATCCACATTATAACGTGCTATAATTTAAATCACCACAGATATATTGCATCAACCGAAACACAAAAATTAACATCCGTGTAACAAACGATCAACTGACACGTAATATATATATATTGACTTAAGGTTATTTGATTTTCATTAATGGGTATTGTTTTGTTTCCAGAAACCAACGAATGTACGTATTATTTGTTTATGCTTTTCTATTTAGCTGTGGGGGTACATGCTCAATTTATTTGCATACAACCTTATGAACTTTGTTCAGATTACCAACTGCGCGCTACCTATCGCTCAGTGATGTGAGCTTACAAAGGTTCGGAGGTAACGTGAGGATTTTAGAAGGGGAGTTGATTTTTTCTAGGTTGCACTCTATCCAGTGTAAGGCACGTTCAAAGGTATTAATGTTCAAATGTATTAATGTTCAATTGCAGACAGAAAACGTTGGTATAATATAGTGAAAATCGCATTGAAACCCTTGTTGTACGGTGTACAGCTCGGTTGAAATGTTGCGGTACCAGTCAGGGAATTCACGCACAGTTGATGGGTACCACGCAGGGAAGATGGGTACCACGGAGGGAAGATGGGTACCACCAAGGGGTGCGCATGATCTGACGGGTACCATCGAGCCACGTAGGTGACTTTTGACGTCAGCGGGCTCGATGTTGGTTACCCAGAATGTAATTACCCTATTTCAGACTCCCTTGTTTCAGCTACTTGGCCTTTCCTGATCATACCCATAGAAACCCTAATTCCGCGACTTGTTTGGCGTGGCTGACAGCTGACGTTTTCTTCTCTATGCGTCTAATTTCAAGCCACATGTACCGGTAATAACTGCTCGTTTTTGCCGAGCATACATATTAGTTAGAATATGGGAGAATGATCGTCAATCTTGCGTCAAGTTCTGTTAGAGTAGGAGTTAAATCAGAACAGAAGGACCTAGATTATGCGATGAATTCCGTCGCGGAGTTGCATGCCGTTAACGAGGCATCCCGATTGATTCGTGAAGCTGCTGAGTTATGACAGAGTTGTAACCCTTCTCAACGCTACACTCAATCTTCTGTTACCGAACTGCCTGAATATTGACCGGTCCAGCCCGTCCGGCCTAACGAGCCAATTCTGGTTGTCGTTCCCGTCAACCTGGAATAAATCTCATAAACGACCATCAGAATAATAACTATCAGCTCACTAACCTCCTAACAATCACTTATCCCTCACATCTCTCAAAATGGACTCGAGAAAGACGAGTTCGCGGCTGCCGTCCCTCCGAGCTGTAGAGGAGGTGCTGCCGATGTACGCGCCGCGAATGCAGCTGGGGGCGGGCTCATTCGGACGGGTGTTTCTGATGGAGCACCGGCAGACGGGCGGCAAGGTAGCCGTTAAGACGCTGAAGAAGGAACGGATAGTGGAGCTGGGGATGCAGGATAAGGTCCGGCGGGAGATCAGCATTCTGCTCCGCGTGCGTCATCCCAACGTCATCCGTCTCTACAACGTCGTCGAGACGCCCAAGTAAGCTCGCCGTGCCGGCCGCAAACCCTGCCGGCTGCCTATTCTCAATCTCCCAACACCACGTCGCAGCCGCACGTCCTGTCACCCCTACCCTGTGTCCCCTCACCTCGCCTCCCCACATCCCCGTTATTGAGTCGCCTGCTAACCGCCCGTGTCTCCTCATCAGGTACATCCTCCTGCTGATGGAATACGCCGAAAACGGCGAGCTATTCGACTACATCACGCAGCGCGGGCGCTTAACGGAGGGCGAGGCGCGGCGAATCTTCCAGCAGATCGTGGCGGGAGTGGAGTACTGCCACCGCCGCATGGTGGTGCATCGGGATCTCAAACCCGAGAATATTCTGCTCGACGCGTCGTGGACCGTGAAGATCGCGGACTTCGGCCTCGGGAACCTCATGACCGAGGGGCATTTCCTGCGGACGAGTTGTGGCTCGCCGAATTACGCCGCTCCCGAGGTGAGTATTGCTTGTCTGCCTTGCTGCGCATACCAGGCTGGGGAACCTCATGGCCGTGCATATTCTGCAATTGTTTATCCTGAACTGTGGAGGAGAAGGAGAGTCGCGGGGCGAAGGGCCGAAAAATAGGAGAGACATAGGGTGAAGTGGGTGGGGTCGCTGGTAGTAAATGATGTGTTTTTCGCTATAAATATAAGTACCAAATGTATACACAAACTCATACCGTACCAAATGCTCTATACAAGTAAGCGTTTAAACAGCGCTAAAGGCATCAGAGGAAGATGGAGTATTTTAGTATCCGAAATCTTCCTGCCTCCTACACTTAAGTTGCCCCCGCCTGCCCACTTCTCTCCCATACCCCCTACTTCTCGTCTACCCCCCCCTATCCTCTCCCCTCTCCCCTCCCCTCTACCCTCCTCTCTGCCCTCTCCTCTACCCTCACCACTTCCCTCCCCTCTCCCCTCCCCTTGTCCCACCCTTCTACCGTCACCTCTCCCCTCCCCTCTCCCCGCTCCTCTCTCCTCATTCCTGTTTCAACCGTCCCACTCCACCGCTCACGCCGCATTAGCTCCGTCTGCTCATCTATCTGTGGATTACCCAATTTCACTGCGGCCGGGGGTGTGTGGGGCTGCGGCGTCGTGCCACATCCCACACACTTACCCACTGCTCTCTCATCCGTCCCTCTCGCCGCGCGCAGGTCATCAGCAGTCGCTTCTACTGCGGTCCGGAGGTGGACGTGTGGGGGTGCGGCGTCGTGATACATTCAAAACACTCACTCTCTCTTCCCACTGCCACTACTCTCCCACGCACCCCCCCTCCCTCCGCGCGCAGGTTATCAGCGGTCGTTTCTACTGCGGCCCAGAGGTCGACGTGTGGGGGTGCGGCGTCGTGCTCTACACGCTCCTCTGCGGCCGCCTCCCCTTCGACGAGAAATCCCACGTGGCGCTCTACCAGAAGATCAAAGCCGGCGCCTATTCCCGCCCCACGCACGTCACCCCCGCCGTGCAAGATCTCCTAGCGCGTCTCCTAGTCGTCGATCCCACCATGCGCGCCACCATCCCCGAGATCCGACGGCATCCGTGGTTCCTGCCGTGGTTCCTGCCGTCCGATCTCATCCGCCTGCAGGAGGACACGGCTGCCGGCCGGCCGGCCGCGCCGCTGCAGCTGAACGCGACGGCGATTTCGAATCTGCAGGCCGTGAGGGTGACGGGGGAGGGGCGAGCGGTGCTAGCGGGGAATTGGGTGCAAGAGGCCTTCGCGGCTAGGTTTGCTGGTGCAGGCGCGGGGGGGGAAGGTGGTAACGGCGGCGGCGGGGTGGGAGGTGAGGGGAAGAAGGGGAGGGATGTGGGGGACGGGGGAGGGGGAGCGGCAGGGGGACAGGGGGGGACGCAAGGGCACCATGGGCATGGGCAGGGGCAGGGGCAGCAGAAGGCGTTATGGACGGAAGACGGGCAGTTATTACAGCGGATATGGGGCAGGGCGAATTGGACCCCCGCCGTACCACTCTTCCAGGCCTCCCATACTAGCAACGTCGCTGCTGCTGCCGCGCCCCTTGCTGCTGCCTCCACTGCCGCCGCCAGCGCCGCCGCCGCCGCTGCTGGCGCCAACGCCGCTGCTGTTGCTGCTGCCGCCACTGGTGTTCCTGGCGCCGGTGGAAACACAGCCGCCGCCGCAGCAGGAGCAGCTGCAGCAGCAGCCGCAGCAGCGAATTCAGCCAACGCGGCCGCGACCTCCGCGGGACACGCAGCAAACGTGATTGCAGCAGCAGCAGCGGCGAACCCGCCCATGCCAGCCCCGTCCGCAGGAGCCACAAAGTGGTGGGACGCCGCCATGCGGGTCTGCATCTCTCTCCACCGCTCCGGCGCGAAATGGAAGCGAAAACCGCCCTCCAACCCCTCCACCTCCTCCTCCTCAGCCTCCTCGGGTCCCTACGTGCTCCTCTGCTACGCGCCCTACCCGCCTGTAGCAACGGCGTTGCGTTACCAGGGGTGTCTAGAGGCGGCTGTAGCGGCTGCAGCGGAGGAGGCGGAGCTGCAGAGGCGGCGGCAGCAGCAGCAGTACAGGTGGCGCGCTGCGATTAGCGAGCGCGTGGAGAAGCGCCAGCGTGGCGGGGTAGCCGCCCTGCTCTCCCTCTCCCCGCCCAGACCTCTCACAGGGTCGCTCTCGTCCCCTGTGCTTATAGAGCAGGCCATCCCGTCCGCCACCTCGTTTGAAGCACTTGCTGCAGCGCAAAAGAAGCTGGCTCAGGGGGGTGGGCCTGCTGCTGCTGCGGCGGCGGCTGTAGCAGCGGCTGTAGCGGCTGCTGCTGCGGCTGGCGCAGGAGTGGGTGGTTTTGCGCGGTTGAGTGCGCTTGGTGGCGGTGGTGGGTATGGGATGGGTGCAGGGGCAGGGTTTGGGGATGGGAGTGGGGTTGGGGGGGTAACTTCTCCATCTACCCCCTCCTCCTGTAATGTGTCCCTGTCTTTAGCCCTAGGGAGCAGTCGAAGCAGCAGCAATGGTAGCTCTGGTGGTGGCGTTGCTGCTATGGGGACTGGGAATGGGGGAGCTTTCGTGAATGGGCCAAATGGGGTTAGTGAGCATCTGTTACACGCACAGCAATTACAGCTGCATCAGCAGCAGCAACAGCAACTGCAGCAGCAGCAACAGCAGCACCAGCACCAGCAGCAACAGCCGCAGATTTTCCAGCAGCAGCAACTCCTCCAGCAGCAGCAGCAGTGGCAGCGGCACCAGCTGATGCTACAGCAGCAGCAGCAACAGCAGCAGCTGCAGCAGCTACAGCAGGAGCAGATGCGGGAAAAACTCCGCCTCTTCAACCAAATCCTAGAAAAATCCGGGCCCATGGGGGCAGCAGCAGCGTCAGCGGGACTCCATGATGCTACAGTGGCAGCTGGGTTGAGGGATGTGTCTGTCACAGGTGGGATGCATGATGGGAGTCGGAATCACACCCCGGATGGCGAGTTAACCCTTGCTGTCCGGGGCATGGACGATAGAGAGTGCTCTAGTATGGGTGGCACGGGCATGGGGGAAGGGCTAGGAGGCGGGGGAGGAGTGGGAGGGATGGGAGGAGGCAGGGAAGGGGTGAGGGAGATGGGAGGGGGTTTGACGGGAGGAGCAGGAGACGGGGCAGGGAGTGGCGCAGGGGCGGTTCTGACGAGTATAGGGCCGGGGAGTGGGGCGGGGCAAGGGGCGGGGATGAACTCTACGAGTCTGACCAGCCTGACGCTGGAAAGCATAGGGGCCTCTGCAGCTGTGGCTGCAGCGGCGGCGGCGGCCGCGGCGGCAGCAGGGGATGGGCTGCGGTTTGAAGTGGTGCTAATGCAGGATGGCAAGGGGGAGAGTTTGTTAGACCTGTGTCTTGTGTCGGGGTCTAGTGCGGCTTTTGCGGATTTCTGCTCTATCTTCTGGCACAACCTGTCGCAGCTGTGACTGCGATGGGTTGGTGTGTGTGACTGGGAGGGGAAGGCATGCTGCATGCACGGCCATGTCTGTTGACCGTGCTTGCTGGTGCTCAGATTAGGCTCTGCTCATGCAGCATATGGCACAGGGCCTTGTGACAAGGCCTGCAGTGACAAGGCCTGCAGTGACGAGGCCTGCAGTGACGAGGCCTGCAGTGACGAGGCCTGCAGTGACAAGGCCTGCAGTGACGAGGCCTGCAGTGACAAGGCCTGCAGTGACAAGGCCTGCAGTGACGAGGCCTGCAGTGACAAGGCCTGCAGTGACAAGGCCTGCAGTGACAAGGCCTGCAGTGACAAGGCCTGCAGTGACAAGGCCTGCAGTGACAAGGCCTGCAGCGTGCAGTTTACTGTACCTGTGATTGGTAGTGACATGCGCAGCCGTGTCTGCTAGGCCGTGGTTCCTGTGCTGATTCTAGCCAGCACGAAGAAGCCATGTATCGTAGGGTTAGGTACGGTACTACTAGGTTCTACTGGTTGCTGCTGTTGCTAACTGGTTGCTCGCTGGTGTAGACTGTGCTTCACTTATTGGCACTCAGGTTGAGCATTTCCGCATGATTGTTGGCATCTGATGGCTCAAATTTGTACCACATGAAACCTGAGAATGCAGAAGGCAGTTGGTGTAAACTTGCTGCACCCCCACCCAACGCAACACCGCATTTACGGTAGGGTGTGGAAGATCCGTCTGGCCGGTTTAGGGCCGGCTTTGGCAAATGTAACACGCTTGCGACAGTCGCAAACAGTCGGATCAGATCAGAACAGATCAGATCAGGTCAGACCCAAAAAGAACAATCTATACAGCCATGCAAAGCTCGACCTTTTCTACAGTTTGATTTGATGCCTCAAAGCTCAACCTTTTTTTAATACGATATCCATATCCGATCTTGCTAAGGTACTGAGAATCAAGCAGACGATGATAAGTGCACCATGCGGTGATAAGCGGTCATGAACCCGGCTGCATCGGGCAGGGAGTGCCAGGCCTTCCAGTGGATGGTCGAGAGCAGGCCCGTGTCGTTCACCTAAGGGGTTGGGAAGGTGGGTGAGGGGACAGGCAGCAGCACAAGGAGGGGAAGGGTGAGTGGGAGAGGCTTGAGTCTACCCGACTGCATCGGGCAGCGAGTGGCACGCCTTCCAGTGGATGGTCAAGTGCAGGCCCGTGTCGTTCACCTGGCAAAGGGGTTGGGAAGGTGGGTGGGTGAGGGGCGGGGGGAGGAGGAGCAGGCAAGCAAGCAAGGGCGTTCTGAGTCCATCCGGGTGCATCAGGCAAGGAATGGCGGGCCTGGAGCAGCCCCGTGCCGTTCACCTGGAGTGGGAGTCAAGGAGTCTGCAGCAGCACAGAGGAATTTCCGAAAGTCACCTTGAGTAGGGAAGATGAAAAATACGGTTTGTCTCGCTGGCTTGTATCACCACGATCGTAAGATCATCAAATCAGGACCACATACTGCCACCCACCCTGTTTTTGAGTCGACTCAAAAACAAATCAGGACCACATACTGCCACCCACCCACCCACCTCAAGCGCGTAGTGGCAGTACGCCAGCCAGAGATCAGCACTGGAGGGTAACGGTACCCTCTAGTGCTGCCACCCACCCACCTCAAAGTGTATTCACAGCATACTATGCCACCCACCCACCTCAAAGTGTATTCGCAGCATACTATGCCACCCACCCACCTCAAAGTGTATTCGCAGCATACTATGCCACCCACCCACCTCAAAGTGTATTCGCAGCATACTATGCCACCCACCCACCTCAAAGTGTATTCGCAGCATACTATGCCACCCACCCACCTCAAAGTGTATTCGCAGCATACTATGCCACCCACCCACCTCAAAGTGTATTCGCAGCATACTATGCCACCCACCCACCTCAAAGTGTATTCGCAGCATACTATGCCACCCACCCACCTCAAGCGCGTATTGGCAGTACGCCAGCCAGAGATCAGCACTGGAGGCACCGAATCGCTGCAGCGCCGAGTCAAACAGACGCTCCACGTGCCCACTGCCCTTCCTCCTCTCCGCGGTCTTCCCTCCCTTCCCACTCTGCTCCGTCTCCCACTCGCGCTCCATGTGAATGGCGCTCAGGAAGAGCGGCTCTGAGGCGAATGGGAGCGAGAAGAACCTGCAGCGTGCAAGAGGGAGCAACAGGGGACAGGAAAGAGGGAGGGGAGCATTGAGGCACCTCAAAACTCGTCTGCCACTCGCGCTCCATGTGAATGGCGCTCAGGAAGAGCGGCTCTGAGGCGAATGGGAGTGAGAAGAACCTGCAGGCGTATGGGGAGCAACAGCGGGCAACAGAGAGAGGGAGGAAAGAGGTAGTCCGTGTTTGAAGGCGCACGAAGAGGCATGAATGGGCGATCTGAAGCGAATGGCATAGGGGAGAACCAGTGGGTGCGCAGAGGGGCGAGTGAGGGCAAGAGGGGAGAAGAGAGGAAGGGATGGGAAGGAGACGAGAGACCTCAGAGCGCAGCAGCGCCGGGAGAAGCAGTCTGAGGAGAAGCAGTCTGAGGAGAAGCAGTCTGAGGAGAAGCAGTCTGAGGAGAAGCAGTCTGAGGAGAAGCAGTCTGAGGAGAAGCAGTCTGAGGAGAAGCAGTCTGAGGAGAAGCAGTCTGAGGAGAAGCACTCTGAGGAGAAGCAGTCTGAGGAGAAGCAGTCTGAGGAGAAGCAGTCTGAGGAGAAGCAGTCTGAGGAGAAGCACTCTGAGGAGAAGCAGTCTGAGGAGAAGCACTGACCTGGCGTACAACTGGTGGGCGGCATTTCAAGCGCCTCAAAAGTTGACTCAAGCGCAGCACTGACCTGGCGTACAGCTGGCGGGCGGCAGCGATGCCAAAGCGCCTCTTGGCAGTGGCAAGGGCGGCACACTGCACCGCTGCCAGTAGATGCCGCGCGTGCCATGATGGGTCCTCGGTGCTGCTGACAGCAGGTGCAGAAACTGACCCAGCAGCAGCAGATGTAGCAGCAGCAGGTGATGGGGGCAGCGCGGAAGAGGAGGTGGTGGGGGAGGCGATGGTGGCTGCTGCTGTGACGAGTGCGTCCACTGTGGCTTGCAGGGCTGCCAGGCTTGATGCTGCCTCCACTTGCTGCTTTGATTGGGACGAACAGGAGTGAGGGAGAGGGAGAGAGAAGGGGCACATGGAGAGAGAAGGGGCACATGGAGAGAGAAGGGGCACATGGAGAGAGAGAGGGGCGGTGGGAGAGGCAATGGTGGCTGCTGCTGTGATGACCGAATCCACTGTGGCTTGCAGAGCGGACAGGCTTGATGCTGCCTCCACTTGCTGTGCAGGAGGAAAAGACGAAAAAACAAAGCATTAAATGGGCAACCAAATGTTTTCTTCTTCCTGTTTTAGCTGCTCTGGTGCTCTCAGTCTTCACTCTTCAAAGTGTGCCTTCATACAGAGCAATCTTCACAGCCGCTCACAGTCCCCTTCCCATCCCATCCCCACCTATGCACCATCCCATGCAGCGCACGCACGCACCTGCATGCAGTGATCCTCCAGCTTGGGATGGCTCCAGTTAACAATGCGCACTGGCCCTGATGACCCCACTGCTCCTCCTCCCACTCCCCCTCCCAATTTCCCCACATTCCCCCCTCCTCGCCGCACTCGCCTCTCTGCTTCCTTTCCCAGAGCCCACACGCCTGGCATCACCACCCCTCCACTCGCTCCCAGAACCTTCCTCGCAGCTTCCAGCGCCTCGCCTGCTCGCCCTGCGCGCAGCAGCAGCGCGATGTGGCGCTCAACGATTGGCTCGTCCGAACCTAGCCCCCGAGCCTCCGCCAGAGCCACGGCTGCATTGGCTCGGCACACCAGATCGGCAAATGGCAGCCCTTCCCTCTCTCCTTCCATCTCTCCCTCTGCTTCCTCGCATTCCATTGCCTCCTGTTCCTCCTTTTCCCCATCTCTCTCCTCTCCCCCTTCTCCTCCCTCGCTCTCCTCCCCATACGCCTTCCCTCCGGTGATCAGCCGTGAAACAGCAGAAACGAGGGGCCCCAACAACAGGAGAGGCCGGCATGAAGGCAGGACTCGGGAGGCTGTTGTTGACAAAAAAAAAAAAAAAAAAGTAAAAAAAAAAGAATGGAACTGGAGGGAAGTAATTCTGTCAAGTGAAATAAAAGGAACCACCACCTCCCCAACCCAGTGACAAGCGTTTCGCCGCCTCCTCCCACCTCACCCCTCCGCACTCCTTCACTCCTGCCCCCTCCCCTCCCGTTCTCGCCCCCGTGCGGCCCCCCACATGAACCGTCTAGCCAGCACATCAAGCGTGCCGTGGCGCTGTCAGGGAGGGGCGGGGGCAGGTGCCGCCACCGGGACAGGTGCCACCATGCCGCCAACGAGTGGTTGCGCTAGCAGCCAACCCCAAACCAAACCCACCCAGCCCCACCCAGCCCAACCCCTCATCAAGTTCACACCACCCGCTCACCTTCAACGCAGCCTGCTCCGCCTCCTCTTCCGCTCCCGCTCTTCTGCGGCCCCGCCGCAAGCACCGCCTAGCCAGCACCTCAAGCGCCGTGGCACTCTCAGGGAAGGCGGCTGCCAGCCCGCCACACACCTCCTCCTCCACCGCATCCAACCCCTTCAGCTCTACCACCCGCCTCCGCGCCCGCCCCGCCTTCCTCCCTGCTCCCTCCCCTTGCTCTGCTCCTTTGCCCCCTTCCGTGCCTGCTGCCTTGGCGCTTCCCTCCCCCTTCTCCTCCTCTCCTTCTGCCCTCTCCCCCTGTTCGTTCTCCTGCCCTTCTTTCCCTTCCTGCTCTCTCTCACCTTCCTCCACCTTCTCCTCCTCTTCCTCCTCCTCTTCCTCCTCTTCCTCTTCCGCCTCTGCCTCTGCTTGCCCGCCGCCCAATCGCAGGGCTTCCAGCAGGGCCACGCGCAGCAGCAGATCTTTGGGATTCGATTTGATTGCGGTGCGGCACACCACTGTCGCCACCTGCACTGCCAGCTCATCACTCGAGACTGGTTTGCTGCTCCCTTTCTTCCCTTTGCTCCCTTTCTTCCCACTGCTGCCATCACCTTTACCATCCCCCATCCCAACTTCCCCCTTCCCCTCCCCCTCCTTCTCCTCATTCCCCTCCTTCCCCTCCTCGTCCTGCTCCATCCCTTCCCCCTCCGAGCCCTCCCCACCTCCCACTCCCTCTCCCCCTTCTTCCTCTTTCCCTTCCCCGCCCTCCCCCTCCCCTCCACCCTGCCCACCCCCCTCCTCAGTCTCTATCCCCAGTAGTAGCTGTCTCGCTTTAAGCTTCCGTGCATGAACCAACTCCATGCGCAAATACTCGCTCCACAACAGACGAGACGCCTCCAAAACCCGGGCAGGCACGATCGAAATGTTCCCAGCCTCGGAAATCGTCACACCTGCCCGCTCCTCACCCGCCCCTCCGCCCGCCCCTCCCTTTGGCCCTTTTCCAGCGCCCACTGCGCCCCCCCCGCTTCCCCTGGCTCCCCCCGGCTTCCCCCCGCCTCCCCCAGCGGAGAGCTGCGGGCAGCACATGCGCAGCCCCCGCTGCAGCAGCGTGCGCGCAGCAGGCGCGTTCATGCGGTGCGTGAATTCATAAGATGCGGCGTAGAGCCAGAGAGAGGGCTCCGTGGGATGCAATTGTAGTGCTCGCGCCATGGTCTAATGGGGAATGGGGACGAGGGAAGGGAGAATGGGCAGGGAGGAGCGGGGACATTGGGAAAGGCAGCACGTGCGTCCATGCGGTGGGTGAACTCGTAGGCCTCTGGCAGCGCACAGCCAGAGAGTTGACTTTTGAGTCACTCAAAAGTGCAGCGCACAGCCAGAGAGTTGACTTTTGAGTCACTCAAAAGTGCAGCGCACAGCCAGAGAGTTGACTTTTGAGTCACTCAAAAGTGCAGCGCACAGCCAGAGAGTTGACTTTTGAGTCACTCAAAAGTGCAGCGCACAGCCAGAGAGTTGACTTTTGAGTCACTCAAAAGTGCAGCGCACAGCCAGAGAGTTGACTTTTGAGTCACTCAAAAGTGCAGCGCACAGCCAGAGAGTTGGCTTTTGAGTCACTCAAAAGTGCAGCGCACAGCCAGAGAGTTGGCTTTTGAGTCACTCAAAAGTGCAGCGCACAGCCAGAGAGTTGACTTTTGAGTCACTCAAAAGTGCAGCGCACAGCCAGAGAGTTGACTTTTGAGTCACTCAAAAGTGCAGCGCACAGCCAGAGAGTTGACTTTTGAGTCACTCAAAAGTGCAGCGCACAGCCAGAGAGTTGACTTTTGAGTCACTCAAAAGTGCAGCGCACAGCCAGAGAGTTGGCTTTTGAGTCACTCAAAAGTGCAGCGCACAGCCAGAGAGTTGGCTTTTGAGTCACTCAAAAGTGCAGCGCACAGCCAGAGAGTTGACTTTTGAGTCACTCAAAAGTGCAGCGCACAGCCAGAGAGTTGACTTTTGAGTCACTCAAAAGTGCAGCGCACAGCCAGAGAGTTGACTTTTGAGTCACTCAAAAGTGCAGCGCACAGCCAGAGAGTTGACTTTTGAGTCACTCAAAAGTGCAGCGCACAGCCAGAGAGTTGACTTTTGAGTCACTCAAAAGTGCAGCGCACAGCCAGAGAGTTGACTTTTGAGTCACTCAAAAGTGCAGCGCACAGCCAGAGAGTTGACTTTTGAGTCACTCAAAAGTGCAGCGCACAGCCAGAGAGTTGACTTTTGAGTCACTCAAAAGTGCAGCGCACAGCCAGAGAGTTGACTTTTGAGTCACTCAAAAGTGCAGCGCACAGCCAGAGAGTTGACTTTTGAGTCACTCAAAAGTGCAGCGCACAGCCAGAGAGTTGACTTTTGAGTCACTCAAAAGTGCAGCGCACAGCCAGAGAGTTGGCTTTTGAGTCACTCAAAAGTGCAGCGCACAGCCAGAGAGTTGGCTTTTGAGTCACTCAAAAGTGCAGCGCACAGCCAGAGAGTTGACTTTTGAGTCACTCAAAAGTGCAGCGCACAGCCAGAGAGTTGACTTTTGAGTCACTCAAAAGTGCAGCGCACAGCCAGAGAGTTGACTTTTGAGTCACTCAAAAGTGCAGCGCACAGCCAGAGAGTTGACTTTTGAGTCACTCAAAAGTGCAGCGCACAGCCAGAGAGTTGGCTTTTGAGTCACTCAAAAGTGCAGCGCACAGCCAGAGAGTTGGCTTTTGAGTCACTCAAAAGTGCAGCGCACAGCCAGAGAGTTGACTTTTGAGTCACTCAAAAGTGCAGCGCACAGCCAGAGAGTTGACTTTTGAGTCACTCAAAAGTGCAGCGCACAGCCAGAGAGTTGACTTTTGAGTCACTCAAAAGTGCAGCGCACAGCCAGAGAGTTGACTTTTGAGTCACTCAAAAGTGCAGCGCACAGCCAGAGAGTTGACTTTTGAGTCACTCAAAAGTGCAGCGCACAGCCAGAGAGTTGACTTTTGAGTCACTCAAAAGTGCAGCGCACAGCCAGAGAGTTGACTTTTGAGTCACTCAAAAGTGCAGCGCACAGCCAGAGAGTTGACTTTTGAGTCACTCAAAAGTGCAGCGCACAGCCAGAGAGTTGACTTTTGAGTCACTCAAAAGTGCAGCGCACAGCCAGAGAGTTGACTTTTTGAGTCGACTCAAAAGTGCAGCGCACAGCCAGAGAGTTGACTTTTTGAGTCGACTCAAAAGTGCAGCGCACAGCCAGAGAGTTGACTTTTTGAGTCGACTCAAAAGTGCAGCGCACAGCCAGAGAGTTGACTTTTGAGTCACTCAAAAGTGCAGCGCACAGCCAGAGAGTTGACTTTTGAGTCACTCAAAAGTGCAGCGCACAGCCAGAGAGTTGACTTTTGAGTCGACTCAAAAGTGCAGCGCACAGCCAGAGAGTTGACTTTTTGAGTCGACTCAAAAGTGCAGCGCACAGCCAGAGAGTTGACTTTTTGAGTCGACTCAAAAGTGCAGCGCACAGCCAGAGAGTTGACTTTTTGAGTCGACTCAAAAGTGCAGCGCACAGCCAGAGAGTTGACTTTTTGAGTCGACTCAAAAGTGCAGCGCACAGCCAGAGAGTTGACTTTTTGAGTCGACTCAAAAGTGCAGCGCACAGCCAGAGAGTTGACTTTTTGAGTCGACTCAAAAGTGCAGCGCACAGCCAGAGAGTTGACTTTTTGAGTCGACTCAAAAGTGCAGCGCACAGCCAGAGAAAGGGCTCCGTTAAGTGTAGCTGCAATGCCCGCGCCATTGTCTGTCCGGGGGATGGAAGGAGGGACGCAGAGGCATGGGGGGGAGGGGGCAGGCACGTTCAAGTGTGGGTGGATTCGTAAAATGCCGCTTAGAGCAAGCGAGAAGGCCTTGTGAGGTGCAGCTGCAATGCTCGTGCAAATGTCTGGGGAAGAAGTGGGGGAGGTGGTATGGGAGGGAGGAAGCAAGTGCAAGACCCTCTTAAAACCCTCGTAAAACCCCGATCCACCGCCCTAGACCCCTGCCTACTTTTTGCATCTGCTGCCTCGAGCCGGACGCCTTGCAGAAGTCGAGGTACCGCATCCAGAGGTCCAGATCGCCCTTGAACCGCCGCGTCGCGCGCGAGAAGATGAAGAGCACGCGCTTGATCACTGCCACGTCACTCGCGCGCTCCGCCGCGCGCTGCCGCCGGTACCACTCGCGGCTGCCCTGCTTACCCTTGCGCCGCAGCACACCGTCCGCGCGCTGGCGGAAGGCCTGCGCGCGCGAGGGGAGGGATAGTGGGGGTGACGGGGGCCGTGGGAAGCGAAAAGCGAAAAGTGCGTGGGTTTAGGGGCCTCGCGGAACAAAAGCGCACTAACAGGTGATGCTACTAAAGGATCACAAGAAAGCCCTTAAACCACTAATAGGCGGGCAGAGTGATTAGCGGGCACCTGGCGGCGATTCGGGTCTCTCCTCCGCAGCTGGCGCAGCGCCTCGAGCTGCATCTCGTACTCTATGTACCGCATATAGTCGTCCTTAATCGCCGCGCTTCCGCGGCGCCTGAGGCGGTACTCGAAGGCGGTGCGGCGGCGCACGATCTCTTTAATCTCCTCGCGCGTAAAGAGGCCCTGCTTCTCGAGACTGTCGAGCTCCGGGAGCATGCGCTCCAGCACCGTCTGCACCGTGTCCGCCATCGCGCCGGATGGTGCTGCTGTGCGCGAACCTGCTGCTGGGGAACAAGGGGAATGGCTCCGTCTGGCGGACTGGGGACCTGTCTGCTACAAAGTAAAATAAACGGACTGGGGAAGTACAGTCTGCCAGCTGTCGTGGTTTCGTGGTGTAGTTGGTTATCACGTCAGTCTAACACACTGAAGGTCTCCGGTTCAAGTCCGGGCGAAGCCAGATTAACTTTTTTTCCGTCATTTCCGTTTTGCGTTTCGCATGATTCCCCAGTTGGAACTCGTGCTTTACGCCGTTTCTCCGCCCCGCCATCCATTTTTCCTCGTTCTTTCTACTCGTTTGCCTCCGCGAAGTATCGTCTCGACCGTCCATGGCTCCCACGGTTTGCGGCATCTGCTGTGGCTATGCGAATCCCGCCAAGCTGCGATCCTGCAACACCTGCGACACCGTCGCACGCCACACGTACGTCATGCGACGCGCCTGCGCCGACGTTGCAGGCGGCCACGCGTACGGTCATCGCAGAACCGTCCGATCTTTCGAGCATCAACGGCCTGGATCGCCTAGATTTAGTCCGATTGTATTCAGTGTCACCTCGTTTTAAGGAATCTTCTTGTATAAGCACGTTGCCTTAAGCTCACGCCACGTGGCTGCAGGTACTGCTTGGGTCGGGTAAACCTGTCCACGTGGCAGTGCAGCAGATGCATCCGATTGGGTGTGCCGCCTCCCGATGCTGACGCAGACACCCTGATGGCTTACGTGGAAAACCGGATCGCTGACGTGGACGATTCTGATCAAGGTGCAACCAACGGGACAGTGGGACGAGGAGGAGGGAGAAGAGCAGAGAGAGCAGGGGGACCCGGCGGGCGAGGGGGAGTGGGGAGCGGAGCAGGAGGAGCAGGAGGAGGGGCAGCAGTGGAAGCAGAAGCAGGAGTAAAAGGAGGAGCAGAACGGAGCGGGAGGGAAGAATCTAGATCGGGAATGGGAGGAGAATCAACGGCCGATCTTCCTTCAAGCAATCACCGAAACGTGACTGTTGTTCTAGATCTGACAGCTGATGAAGAAGACGGAGCAGCAGATGCGACGGTTGATTGCAATGCAGCAGCACCACCGCTACCATCAGCCACACCAGCTGCAGCAAACGCAGCAGCGGCACGAGAGGCAGCCATGCCGCAGTCAAGCCCTTCTCAGGCGCCCCAAGCGCCGGCTGCCTCGCTGCCGTTTGATGCCCTGCCCTTCTGGAGGTGCGAGAATGCAATGGGGGGCGGGGGACTGGGGTGTGCTGGGTAGGGCGTGCGGCGGGTGGGGGTAGGAGAGGGCGTGAGGGTGAGCGCTATCAGCAACACGCCTGTTTTGTGCTGGTAGGAGTGGGAGCGTGCTGTGCTTTGCTGTGCTGAATGGCGTCCCTGGTGCATCGTTGTGACCGCTCACCTACTCTCCCTTACCGTCGCCACCCAAGTCTCGCTCGTTGCTGTTTCTCTCTCACACTCTCAGCCTCGCCCCCTCGCCCTGTTTTCATCCCCTCTCCCTGTTTTCATCCCCTCTCCCTGTTTCCATCCCCTCTCCCCGTTTTCATCCCCTCTCCCCGTTTTCATCCCCTCTCCCCGATTTCATCCCCTCTCCCTGTTTCCATCCCCTCTCCCCGTTTTCATCCCCTCTCCCTGTTTTCATCCCCTCTCCCTGTTTTCATCCCCTCTCCCTGTTTCCATCCCCTCTCCCTGTTTTCATCCCCTCTCCCTGTTTTCATCCCCTCTCCCTGTTTTCATCCCCTCTCCCTGTTTTCATCCCCTCTCCCTGTTTTCATCCCCTCTCCCTGTTTCCATCCCCTCTCCCTGTTTTCATCCCCTCTCCCTGTTTTCATCCCCTCTCCCTGTTTCCATCCCCTCTCCCTGTTTTCATCCCCTCTCCCTGTTTTCATCCCCTCTCCCTGTTTCCATCCCCTCTCCCTGTTTCCATCCCCTCTCCCTGTTTCCATCCCCTCTCCCTGTTTTCATCCCCTCTCCCTGTTTCCATCCCCTCTCCCTGTTTCCATCCCCTCTCCCTGTTTCCATCCCCTCTCCCTGTTTTCATCCCCTCTCCCTGTTTTCATCCCCTCTCCCTGTTTCCATCCCCTTTCCCTGTTTCCATCCCCTCTCCCTGTTTCCATCCCCTCTCCCTGTTTTCATCCCCTCTCCCTGTTTTCACCCCCTCTCCCTGTTTTCATCCCCTCTCCCTGTTTTCATCCCCTCTCCCTGTTTTCATCCTCTCTCCCCTCTCTTGGCATCATGACTGCTTATCTCTCCCTCTCGCATTCACCTTCTGGTTCTCCCTCTCTCCCCCTCCCTCTCCCCTCCCTCACAGCGGGCCTCTCTTCATCAGAACCGTTGACGCCCCTCTCCTCCCTCTCGGCACCGTCACGGCTCATCTCTCCCTTACTTCTGCTGCTCTCTCTCCCTCGCTCATACACTGTCTGATGTCCGTCTCTCCCCCTTCCCCCTCTTTCCATCTCCCTCCCTCTCCCTCACAGCGGGCCTCTATTCATCAGAACCATCGACACCTCTCTCCTTCCTCTCGGCACCATCACCGCTCACCTCTCCCTTACCGCCGTCACCCAAGTCTCCCTCGCTGCGGCCTCTCTCACTCACCTCGCCGCCGATACCACCGTGCCTAGCACCGCACCTCCCGAACCCATCTTCACCGCGAGGAAAGTACGATAAATGCCGCTGCAAACCTCCGGCCTTCTTAGGCTTGCTGCTCTGCGACGCTATAGAATCCCATACGGCTTTAATATCCGTCGGTCCGTCCCCTCCTGGACCATCGCCCATCGCCGCCACTTTCTTCGACAGGTTCGACGGCAGCGGGCTGACGGACCTCGCCCGAGCCTTGGCGTCCGAACCACTTCCCGAGCCTGAAGCCTTGCGCCCCCTCTCCCCCTTGCTCTCCTCCCCGCCATCCGCACTCTTCTTCTTAACCACTTTTTTCTTCCGCACTACCCCATCGGAAGAACGTTCGAACTCCTGATCGTCTGGACCGCGCTCCGACTGAGACTGCGCCAATAGCGAAGGAGGAGGTGGTGTTTTCGGCCGCAACTGGCTGGTTTTCGAGGAGCTTTTTACCACGGTTTTTTTCGCTGGGGCAGTGCTGGGTCGGGCAGCTGAAGAGTGGCTGCCCGAACCTTGTGCCATCCAATCAGAGATCATGCTTTTTAAGGCAAAGTTCGGGCAGAAGTTTGTATGGTCGATCCGCACGCCGGACTTGGGGCACGTCCGCTTACCCTCCGCGAACCACCGCTCGATAGAAGCACGCTCGTACGTCTGGCCTGATGCGATTATAACGGGGTCAGTCATGACGGTTAACGAAAGCGGACACATAAACTCCTCCGGTATTGTCGGACCGTTAGATTCCGCCTTCTTACCACTGCTGCTACTGCTACCGCCGCTCTCTTTCTTTTTTCTCGTCGGCTTCGCTTCCCGTTCCTTGGACGGTCTTCGCCGCTCCTGCTCGCCTACATGGTTATCCTCCTCCCACGCTTGATCCTCATGCCGATGCTGACGCCGCTGCTGCGTTTGCTGCCTATCTACAGTGTTTTCCCGCTCCCAATTAGACGCTCGGGGTTCGTCGTTCCATCCGTTGCCGTGGTCGTCTTGATAGTCGTCGTCCGGGTGGTAATGATCCGACGATTGCGACGCTCTCTCCCAGCTGTTACAGGTTGCTGGATCCATGATACGCGATAACAGCTAGGGTTCTGGTCTGGAGGGAAAAAAGGGAAATCAATTTGACGAGAACAAAAACAGAAGGAAGGCTGGTGACATAATCGTGATTTTGCTCAAGTTGAGTTCATACACTTGAGCAGGAAAAGAAACAGGCCCATGTTGTGCATGTTTTATTGCTTCCGCAAAGTGGCGATCGATAAGGAGAGGCGGGTTGGAAAGGAAACGAGGCAGGAAAAGTCCTGGTAGAGCTCCAATTCACATGCAACCATAATGCAAAATACACACTGAAATGCGAGAAAATGCCGACTAATGCTAGAGGTATATCGGAAATCGGCTAAGCTGATGGAGAGAAATGAATGACTTCAGACAATGGGGAAAGTGAAACTGGACAAAGCTTACATGCTTACGTCGTGACGGCGCAGTGACCACCTGATAAGGCTCTGGACCAGCGGAACCGATATATCTACTGGTAACTACGAGTATGGCACTAAAACACTAACAAGATCAGCCTTGGCTTGCTTAGTTAAATCTCTGCTCGTAGCGTTGTCTTAGACAAAACAATCGCTAACACAATCGCTATCCACAAAACCGAGTCCTTGGCAACGCCTTCGGCACCACCTAACTACCGGCATTCACGGTATTACGGCCATACTATCGCAATCCTATTTCACAGCACAAACGCTTCCGGCGGAACATTCTGGACGACAACGAAGGAACCAGCTACGAAGGACGACGACAAGGAGAACGCAAAAAAGCGTAAGTTTTCCGCCTTCCTGTCAGGAGTTCTTAGGGTTACGAAATAGAGAAGGGTCCGAGAGCTTGCTAATGTGCTAATGCCACTGGCTGATGTCATGGCGGATCGGTCCTCTTGGGCTGGCGATAAGGGAGGTGCTACTTCTGAGTCGCGGTACTTGAGATTCTAAAAGCGGAGGTTAATGTGACTGTTAGGAGGAGTTGACAAATGTAAGCGTGACAGTTTTAAGCGTCGTGTGGTAACCCTCCTGGCGGAGGGATGCGATGAGTCGGATGGATGAGCGGACGAGATTCGTAGACATTGGAAGCTGCAGTTCCAGTTGCAGGTTGGTGGTTTGGTGGGGTTGGGCTGGATGGGAAACCTTGGATGTCGGGGAGAATGCGGGCAGAGGATTATGGGCAGATGGGAAGCGTTGTATTGGTCGTAAGGAAGGTCGCGAGCGGGCATGGTGAGTGTAGGGCATATAATTGGTGGCTGGGAGCAAGTCGGGCAGAAGTTTACGAAAGTGGCGGGAGAGCAAACGGACAGATGAAGGATTGGACCTTTGGGAGGTTGGTGGAGGCGACTGCGAAAAGCACAACTCAGGAATTTCTGAACCCACGAGATATTACGCATTCCACAACAAAATCGAGTGTACTGCATGTGCTTGTTCCAAGAATGTCTAAACTCTTCCAGTTCATTCTTATAATAATCAATCCTTGCACATAGACATCCGCAACATGGATCATCAACCAGCTGCAACGCCAGTCTGCCAATGCATAGAGATCCTCCACACCTGCCTGAACTTTCTAGAAGACCCATTCAGGAAAGGGGAAGCCAAAAAAATGGTAGTATGCTGGTACTTTAGCCATTAGGGACGTATCCTTCCAAGAAATACCCAATCCGCTAGATGTCACATCAGTAGCTGGCCAATGTCTGGCTGACATTGACACGGCCAGGTGACGCATTCTTGTTGAACTTGGACCACTTGAAGTCCTCGTACTTCTTCCCCACCCCAATCAGCCCAAGAGCACTCTCAGCAGGCGAGTTATCCGTCTCCTTCACTCCAATATCCGTCGACTTAAAGCCCTTGGCTGGCCCATCCACAGCAACCAGCTCGCCATCATACGACAGGAATTGAATCACAGTGGCATCGCCATTAGCCGGCTGCGAAACAAGTGCCATGCCATCTGACGGCCCGTTCTGCAGGCCTCCCTGAGCGTACGTGTTGCCATACACCACGAAGCCGTTCACGTTGGTGGGAGGGAGGTTGAATTTGGAGAGAGGAAGCTTGCCGTAGGTCTTCCCATTGGCTCCGTTGTAGAGGTAGATGGTGAGGGTGGAGGGGTCCACGCCTGGACTCACTACCACCTCGATGAACTGCATTGGAGGGGGGAAATGAAGGCAAGGGTGGCAATAAACATTGAGGAACGTTGTGATGGCGTAGGATCTAATGGATATGTTACCGGATTCGGTGGGGATGTGGGGTCAGAGGCAGGTTGGGTTGAAGGGAGAGAGCAGGGTGATGGGGAGTGAGGAGGGCTACAGGTGAAAAGTGGAAGAACAGAATATTGGAGTGGAAAGAAAAACTGGGTGGCAAGGTTGAGAGAAAGAGCGGAATGGAGCTAGGCATACAGCTCTGCCAAGTCTAACTGCTGCAAAGTGGGTACGGAGGAGGACGATCGAAGAGATGCCTGCAAACAATTTATTTCTCCCTCATCGCCTACATCCCCTACTCCGAAATCACCCATTCTCTACCTTTCCCTCTTTCCGTGAGGGTGAGCGCTATCAGCAACACGCCTGTTTTGTGCTGGTAGGAGTGGGAGCGTGCTGTGCTTTGCTGTGCTGAATGGCGTCCCTGGTGCATCGTTGTGACCGCTCACCTACTCTCCCTTACCGTCGCCACCCAAGTCTCGCTCGTTGCTGTTTCTCTCTCACACTCTCAGCCTCGCCCCCTCGCCCTGTTTTCATCCCCTCTCCCTGTTTTCATCCCCTCTCCCTGTTTCCATCCCCTCTCCCCGTTTTCATCCCCTCTCCCCGTTTTCATCCCCTCTCCCCGATTTCATCCCCTCTCCCTGTTTCCATCCCCTCTCCCCGTTTTCATCCCCTCTCCCTGTTTTCATCCCCTCTCCCTGTTTTCATCCCCTCTCCCTGTTTCCATCCCCTCTCCCTGTTTTCATCCCCTCTCCCTGTTTTCATCCCCTCTCCCTGTTTTCATCCCCTCTCCCTGTTTTCATCCCCTCTCCCTGTTTTCATCCCCTCTCCCTGTTTCCATCCCCTCTCCCTGTTTTCATCCCCTCTCCCTGTTTTCATCCCCTCTCCCTGTTTCCATCCCCTCTCCCTGTTTTCATCCCCTCTCCCTGTTTTCATCCCCTCTCCCTGTTTCCATCCCCTCTCCCTGTTTCCATCCCCTCTCCCTGTTTCCATCCCCTCTCCCTGTTTTCATCCCCTCTCCCTGTTTCCATCCCCTCTCCCTGTTTCCATCCCCTCTCCCTGTTTCCATCCCCTCTCCCTGTTTTCATCCCCTCTCCCTGTTTTCATCCCCTCTCCCTGTTTCCATCCCCTTTCCCTGTTTCCATCCCCTCTCCCTGTTTCCATCCCCTCTCCCTGTTTTCATCCCCTCTCCCTGTTTTCACCCCCTCTCCCTGTTTTCATCCCCTCTCCCTGTTTTCATCCCCTCTCCCTGTTTTCATCCTCTCTCCCCTCTCTTGGCATCATGACTGCTTATCTCTCCCTCTCGCATTCACCTTCTGGTTCTCCCTCTCTCCCCCTCCCTCTCCCCTCCCTCACAGCGGGCCTCTCTTCATCAGAACCGTTGACGCCCCTCTCCTCCCTCTCGGCACCGTCACGGCTCATCTCTCCCTTACTTCTGCTGCTCTCTCTCCCTCGCTCATACACTGTCTGATGTCCGTCTCTCCCCCTTCCCCCTCTTTCCATCTCCCTCCCTCTCCCTCACAGCGGGCCTCTATTCATCAGAACCATCGACACCTCTCTCCTTCCTCTCGGCACCATCACCGCTCACCTCTCCCTTACCGCCGTCACCCAAGTCTCCCTCGCTGCGGCCTCTCTCACTCACCTCGCCGCCAATACCACCGTGCCTAGCACCGCACCTCCCGCCGCACCTACTGCCGCACCTACTGCCGCACCTGCCGCCGCACCTACTGCCGCACCTATCGCTGCAGGGGATCCCACCCGCCCCACCGCTCCTTTGAACGCGCTGATACTACAGGAGAGCCGGCGCAGCGACCCCGGGGCATGGCCGGCAGTGTTCACGCACGCGCTGCACTCCCCCTCGGGCATCTCCTTCCCCCACGCCGCCTTCTTCCTGCTGGGCCAGAGCTGTGCGCGTGGTGGTGCTGACGGTGGTGCATGTGGGGAAGATGGTATGGATGGTCATGGGAGCAGTGGTGGCAACGGTGGTGGCAACGGTGGTGGCAACGGTGGGGGCAACGGTGGGGGCAACGGTGGTGGCAACGGTGGGGGCAACGGTGGGGCAGGAGATGCGTTTGCAGCGTATGTGGGGGTGAGGATGCGAGCGCGGGATGTGATGTGCGATGTGGTGCTGCCGGGTGTGGCTCGAGTCAGCTTCTACTCCTCTCACCTCATGTCGCCTGCTTGTCAGAGTGAGTGCAAGCAAGCCTTCTCACCGCCTCCTTTCCTCCTCTCACCGTTTGATCGTCTCACCTCATGTCGCCTGCTTGTCAGAGTGAGTGCAAGCTTGGCTCCCCTCTCATTGTTTCCCTGCCTCTCCTCTCACCATGCCTACCTGTCTCACCTCATGCCCTCTGCGTGTCAGAGTGAGTGCAAGTGTGGCTCCCCTCTCAGTGTTTTCCTTCCTCCTCTCTCACCCTCGACCCGTCTCACTCACCCCATGTCCTCTGCGTGTCAGAGTGAGTGCAAGGGCGACTCCCTTTCTGTGCTTTCTGATTCCTCTGCAGCAACACTTGGTGTTCGCTTGCTCATTACCGCCCCCCTCGTTCCATCCATCCGCATCGCTCCGTCCCTCTGTCCGCTCGTTTCTCCCTCAATCTCTCCACCTCTCCACACTTCGCCCCTCCCGCCGCCCCACATCACTGCTTGCTGCAGATGCTCTCGGTCGGCCGTTTTTGTGGGCCGTCTGTCGCAGCCTTACCACCATGCAGCAGCGCCCACAGCAGCCACAGCAGCAGCAGCAACCAACAGCCACACGCATGATTCCTCCTGGTTTTGAATAATGGAATGTGTAGAGGGCTTTACACTCCTCCTACAGTGCAGATGTTCTGGGTCAGCCATTCCTGTGGGCCGTATGGCGCAGCCTTGCCACCATGCAGCAGCGCCCACAGCAGCCACAGCAGCAGCAGCAACCCACAGCCACACGCATGATTCCCCCTTCACATCCTCCCCTGCCACCATGCAGCGGCGCCCGCAGCCACCACAGCAGCAACCACATCAGGAGTCCCAGAGCAAGTGTAGCAGCAGCTTCAGCATCAGTCCCATCAGCAGCGGGAGATGCAGCGTGGCAGCACTGCTGCTGGCTGATATCAGTCCGTATCTGCAGCCGCCACAAGCATTATCCCTCCTGGATTTGAATGGTAGTGTGGCATAATGGCATTTACGTCCGTGTGTAATTTGATCTTGCAGGCAATTATACCTTCATGGCTTGTTGTTGATACAAATAAACTCGTTTGATTACACCATATTTACAGCCACGACCAACGCTACCCATCCACAACCTTGCGTGTAGTAAAACAACTTCATACTTGCAGCATCATCCCTGTTTCACCGTGCCATGCAGCTCTATTGAAGCTCAAATTCCCCCTTCACATCCTCCCCTGAGGGCAGGGCCATGTGCCCCTGATATGCCGTGGCATCCTCAACCATGCCATTCACCACATCGGTAATGGTCTTATCCGCGTTCGCCCAGTAACCAGCCGCGGCGTAACTGTAACACTTGCCGTCGGGGCAATCCCCGTCGTCGTCATCATCAGCATCGTTCTGCTTGAAGCCCGGCTGGCCAGTGGTTTCGCGCCAGGTGGCGGGGAAGGTGAGGGCCACGGAGCGGCCGCGGGTGATAGTGGCGTTGGTGGGGGGCGACTGTTGGGGGAGCTGCTTGGCTGTGAGGACATAGAGCACGTTGAATGCTCCACTGGTGGTGCTGCTTGGGGGGAGGGCGCAGGGGAGGGGAAGGGGACGAGGGGGAAATGGGGGGGGGAGGTGTGTCAGAGAGAGTTGACTGCTGGGGGAGCTGCTTGGCTGTGAGGATGTACAGCACGTTGAATGCGCCCGCAGTGGTGCTGCTTGGGGGGGGGGAGTGGGGAAGGGGGAAAGGGGAGCAGTGGAAGGAAGTGAGAGAGAGGTGAGCGCTGGGGGAGCTGCTTGGCTTTGAGACCATAGAGCACGTTGAATGCGCCACCAGTGGTGCTGCTTGGGGGGAACATTGTAAAGAATATGCCTCGGACAAGACTTGCGAAGGCTATATATCCTGTGACTTACCGGAAGGTGTAGAGATGGATTTCCCCTTCAATGTCGTCGTTTTTCTGCCCCTCCAGCTCGCCCTCCAGATGGGCTGCCACGTGGCACACCGCCATTGGAGCAATCATCGTTGACAGACATCAGAGAGACAGGGAAGAATTCCAAAAGAGGGAAAAAGGGTGGGGGGATACCAAGCAAAGGCGAGGGGGGAAAGAGGCGAGAGAGAGGTACGGGGAGTCATGGAGGAGAAGGAGCAGATGTAACAAAGTGGTGAATGGAATGCAAGTGACATGCAAGCTGCAGAGCAGACAGGCAGAGCAGAGCAGAGGGATGAGGAACAGCGCAGGCAAGCATGGGAGGGCATGGGAGGGCATGGGAGGGCATGTGAGGGCATGGGAGGGCATGGGAGGGCATGGGTTAGAGTCTAGACACGCACCATAGAGATCCCCCAGATCTGCTCCCCCCGGCCCTCCCCCCTGCCCCTGCTGTGCCACCCGTGGAACCTTCCTCCCAACATTGCGCGCCCCCACCCCTGGCCCTCCTGCTCCCCCCCCTGCTGCCGCCCCTCCAGGCCCTGCCCCTGCTGCTGCTCCCCCAGGGCCTCCTCCCCCTGCTGCTCCGCCTCCACCCGCAGGTGTAGGTGTTCCCCCCACTGGTGCTGCTCCGCCCCCCTGAGGTGCTCCGCCCCCCTGAGGTGCTCCGCCCCCCTGAGGTGCTCCGCCCCCCTGAGGTGCTCCGCCCCCCTGAGGTGCCCCGCCCCCCTGAGGTGCCCCGCCCCCCTGAGGTGCTCCGCCCCCTCCCCCTGCTGGCACAGGCGTTCCCCCACCTGGTGCTGCGCCCCCTCCCCCTGGTGCTGGTAACGGGCCAGGGGGGGGCTGCTGGGCGCACACGGACGCTGGGGTTCACGAAGAGGGCGAAACAGGGTAACAGGGTAACATGGAAGTCGGGAAAGAGGGAACCAGGGAAGGAAGGAGAGGCAAGGAACAGAAAGTGAAGGCAAAATGGAAACAGGGTGAGTGTACTACGAGCGTGACAGGGCGAGGGGAAATGGAAGTGCTGAAAGAAGGAACCAGGTAAGGAAGGGGAGATAAGCAGGGTGAAGCAGGGGAGTGGCACGAGAGGAGCAGGGGAGTGACGAGTCACTTATAGCGGGAAAAGGTTACCTAAGGCGCAGAACACGACAAGGAGGGTCAGGACACCCATGGCTGCTGCAGTGCGCCTTGAGAGTCAAACACAGGCGGATCCCAGCAGGTACGGGAGAGGTACCGAAGAGTGAAGAAACAACTGAAGAGACGAGGAGAGAAGAGGCGAGTGTAGAGGTGAGAGAAGCGACGTTGATGGCAACGGATATGACAGGCACGGACGAGCGAGGGACTGAGGCCTCGAAGAGTCAGTGGGATACGTTTTCTTAACGGAATGATTATATAGTAGAAGCAATCTAGCGCGGAAACGCGAGCGGCGCGAGAATCGCGACAGGCCTTTCATCCCCGCTCCAGTAACGGATAGCCGAAAGCCGGAAGCAGCAAGTTGAGCGCGAAGCGTCTGGCTGACGTGGCGAGCGACGATGACAGAAGCTTTCGACGGAGACCGTCGGGAAAGCCTCTGAGTCGGGGAAACGAAATGCAGAGAATCCATTTCCCAGACTCGGTAGCTTATCCGAGGTTCTCCGTCGAATGGTGTGGTCTCGGAGAGGTCCATTGATGGATGGACCCCGGGGGAACGTGATCTATGCTCTCCGATTATACTCCGGTAACCACTCGCTCCGACATATAATCTGGAATGACACTGCGGCACTTTTTCCCTGGAACGAATCGAAAGATCGCGTCAAGCGCCTCGACATATGCTGCATGCGCCTCGGAGTGAATAGAAACTTCCTCGACATCTTCGATACGATTGATAGCTTTGAGTCCGTGCCATTCGATTCCAGCCTCGTACAGTACAACCAGGTCGCTGGGATTCAAGGAGCGTGCCTGCTACGGAGCCACTGAACGCCGTTGCGCGGCGTGGCTGAGATCGAAGAATGGAGGCAGTGATTCAATAAAATGACTCAAGGATTGGAGATGGGATGGTCGTATTCAGGGATCCTCCACTGCGTGATTGGCGCTGCTCTCTTCCTGGCAGCCTGCTACAGCCGAATCGAGCACATCCGAGGCAGATGTGACGACGTTTCCCACCACACCTTCCCCGCCACACCGCGTATGCTCTACCGCACATCCCGCACAACACACTCGCCGTCGCATTGGCGACATTACCCAACTCGGCTGCTTTCGCGCGATCGGTGGCCATGAAGAAAGGTTGACCTAGACGAACTCGACAGAAGCTCGGCAATCTCTAGGAGGAACAGAACAGGGCCACTGCTGCTTTTCGAGAATGTAAAGCGTGCATCAGTACACTATGTAGTATTGTTCCTCCTGCTTTTGAATTTTGTTGTGCAATTTAAATATGGTAGACATCTTGGTTTAAGACAACTAATTCCCGTTATTGGATTTCCTGATGCTGTAGTTTCTACATTTTCATTGCAGCTAGCTTGTTTTGTCATTTCTCCATGCAGCATACCGTCATACAGCTTCTCCATCAACTCTTCGTGGCTGATTGATACAAATCATACTTGCTCATAAATGCCCACCATATATACAACCATACAAGCCTCTCTTCCACCACCATCCCCCCCATATGTCAACTATACAACCAACCAGCCTCCAACAACCAACCACTCACTTCCGCACAATAACCTACTAAAACATCACCCAACCAGCAGCATTGTACACACCACCATGCCATGCAGGTCTATTCGAGCTCAAACTCAGCCACCCCCAGGTGCCCCGCCTGCTGCTGCCCCCCCAGGTCCTCCCCCTGCTGCTGCTCCCCCAGGTCCTCCCCCTGCTGCTGCTCCCCCAGGACCTCCCCCTGCTGCTGCTCCCCCAGGACCTCCCACCCCCGCTGCTCCACCTCCCCCCGCTGGTACAGGCGTTCCCCCCCCTGGTGCTGCCCCTCCCCCTGGTGCTGCTCCCCCCCCTGGTGCTGCTCCCCCCCCTGGTGCTGCTCCCCCCCCTGGTGCTGCTCCCCCCCCTGGTGCTGCTCCCCCAGCACCTCCTCCTGCTGCTCCTCCGCCCCCAGTTGGTGCAGGCACTCCCCCTCCTGCCCCTCCTCCTGCTGGCACAGGCACTCCCCCTGCTGCTCCGCCTGCACCCCCTGCTGCGCCCCCTCCCCCTGCTGGCACAGGCATTCCCCCCCCTGCTGCTCCGCCTCCCCCTGCTGGCAAGGGCGTTCCCCCCCCTGCTGGTGCGCCCCCTCCCCCTGCTGGCACAGGCAGTCCCCCCCCTGCTGCTCCACCTCCCCCTGCTGCTGGTAACGGGCCCGCAGGAGGCTGCTGGGCGCGTGCGGACGCTGGGGTTCACGAAGAGGGCAAAACAGGGTAACACGGTAACAAGAAGGCAAAACGGAAACAGGGAGTGGTTAAGAGGGTGACGGGCCGAGGGGGAAATGGAAGTGGGAAAAGAAGGAACCCACCAGGGAAGGAAGGGGAGGAAAGAAGGGCGACAGAGTAACAGCAGCAGGGGAGTGACAGGAGAGCAGCAGGGGAGTGGATGGCAACAACAAATTGCAAGGTCAGCAGCAGCGTGAACCTCAGAGAGCGGCAGGCTGTCTACCATCTGATAACTCCCTAATTACGAGAATTGAGCCATCGACAACAGCACAAGCTCAGTGATTCACCAGCAACGCAATTATGTGACTATCCGAGTGTGCAAATAGCAGAATAGACACAAGAAGCGAACAGACAAGGTGTGGAACAATCGCAGTAGGTCAGACATTTAAATGGAAAAAAGAGTCACGTATAGCGGGGATAGTTTACCTAAAGCGCAGAATACGACAAGGAGCGTCAGGAAACCCATGGCTGCTCCCTTGCGGCTTGAAAGTCAAACACAGGCGAATCCTCGCGAGAGTGAGACCGAAGAGGAGTGAAGATACGATGAGTGAAGGGGGGAGAGTGAAGAGACGCCGCGGGCAACGGATGGCCGGCACGGACGAGCGAGGGAGTGAGGCCTCGAACAGTCAGTGAGATACGATTTCCCATCGGATTGATTTTATAGTAGAAGCAATTTAAGTGCGGAAACGCAAGCGGCGCGAGAATCGCGACGGGTCTTCCATCCATGCTCTAGCAGCGGAGAGCCCTATGCCGAAAACTGGAAGCCGGAATCAGCAAGTTGAAGGCGAAGAGCCTGGCTGACGTGGCGAGCGACGATGATAAGAGCATCCGACGGCGGAGACCTCGACGAGGATCCTGGGTCGACACGGTGCACTTTGTGGAAAGGAACCCGTATTTTACTCCGTTAATTACTCCTCCATTAGCCCAAGCTGTACCGCGATGCCACTCCATATTCTTCTTGAACCGACTCGAAACCTCGAAGGGCGTTACACGCCTGGGATACATTAGGTGACGCGCCTCGACACATGCTGCATGACGACACTTCCTCGACATGCTCCGTGTGAGCCGTGCAGTTCGATACGAGCCTCGTACCACTACGTCGTACGCTCCACGAGGCCCTGGGAATAAAGCGGCGACTTAGTTGTACGAGGCTCGTAAAGCGGCGACTTAGTTGTACGAGGCTCGTAAAGCGGCGACTTAGTTGTACGAGGCTCGTGCAACGGCGAATGACCGCTCGGCTTTTCGGTGCGGAGCGACTGAACGCCGTCACACGGCGCGGTTGACATCTAAGGATGGTGAAACCCTAATTCAGGCAAGCTGCGACGGCGTGATTGGCGCTGCTCTTTTGGCGGAATGCTGAGGCTGAATCGACCACATCGGAGGCAGATGTATCAACGTTCCCCACCACATAATCCTCCGCACACACTCCCCGCCACACATCCCCCACCGCGCATTCGCCAGCGCACATTCCGCAACACCCCATGGCGATATTGGCCAACTCAGGCACGCAACCAAGTCGATTGTGCTGATCCGCCGCGGTCTCAACCGAGCTCAAACGTGTTTTCTATGGGCTGCTTTTGCGCGATTCGCAGACATAGACTGACCTGGGAGAACTCGCCATGGTACTTGGCTCCATACAATCGCACTCCATCAAACGTTCTCGATGGAGATAATTCTCTATACAGACTTGTGTGTTTGATGGAAAAACTATGAGAAAAGCAGGGACGTGCGCTTTGGCAACCATAAGAAGTTTTTGTTGATGAGATACATTTATTAATGATACTGTTCTTGTTGACAAATAGATCAGACTACTGCCTACTCAGCACCTCAAAACGAGTTGACGGTCTATGGCTAGACATGCTACACATAACTAAGAAGTAGAGATGTATGATCGGAAGAACTAGTAGTTGTTCACCCAGAACCCCAAGCTGGGCCCAAAATCGCAAGGACGTGCATGAGCGATCGCAGTGCTAGTGTTGTGCAGCGTCCCAAACTGATATGCGACGCCTGACGTGCTGTGTTCCTTCTTTTGGTTTTGGCGGGAACCAATCAGATGTGTTCGAACTGCCAAAAACGCTCTCAATGAAACACTGGATGCTTGTCGGTTTGGTTCGAAAATTGTTTCGCACGGCAAGCCCTCTTTCAAGCTGGCGTTGGGTTCACTATTTTGCATTTCGGTTTTAACAGCATGCATATCTCACATTTTTCTATAAAACAACGCATTCACGTACACAAGAAATCCACACTTGGAAACACAAAATATAGCTTCAAACATGGCAAACATTCTCCCAGACACGTAGAAATACATGGAAACAGATAGCAAACGGTCTAAATCTCCAGAAACACATGGAACCACCAGAACCTGTCCATAGTTGATCAAGCAAGCTCAAACTTCCCATTCACATCTTCCCCTGATGGCAATGCCACATGACCCCGATAAGATTCAGGATTGTCAACCATCCTGGTTACCAGATCAACAAGACTTGGATTCACATTGGGCCAGTAACCCGCGGCTGCATAACTGTAACCAGAGCAATTCATCATTCCTCCAGAGCAACCCATCATGCCATCATCGTCCATCTTGAACCCCTGCTGGCCAGTGGTTTCGCGCCACGTGGCAGGGATAAACAGCACTGTGTCGTTCTGGCTGCTGGTGATGGTAGCGTTGGTGGGGGTTGCTTGGTCCGGGACATGCGATACAGTGATCACGTAGAGGAGGTTGAACGTGGTGTTGTCAACACTGTGTGAGGGAAAGGGACACACAGGGAAGAACAACAAAGGAAAGCGGCTTAGCGTTGGTAGGAGGTGCTTGCTCAGGGACGTGAATTACACTGATGACGTACAGGAGATCGAAAGTGGTGTTGTCAACACTGAGGTGCGGAGAAAGGGAGACGGAGGGTAGGACAACAAAGCAAAGCAGCTTCAGGGCTTCAGAGGACTGGGGGGCAAGAACCAGGTGGCGGGAAAGCATACGGAGACCAACTTGCTTCGCACAGCTATATTCGGAAGATAGGTGAGTCCACCGTGAGAACACAGCATCAGGCAAGAGACAAGTGGAACACTACATGTCTCGTCAAAGTGATTCGTCTAAGGTACCAAACTAATAAGCTCTTGTCGAAACTGGCCTATGTGTGTCACCTGAAGGCGAAGACGTGCATGTGCCCGTTGATGTCCTCGTTCTGCTGACCTTCCAGCTCAGCGTCCAGATGAGCTGCCACGTGGCAAACAATGATTGGATAAGTACAACGTCGTGATCTGCCTGATGACTTCGTGCGGATGAAAAAGGTATCTTCGAAAGAACCGGCACGAAGAGGCAACTGGAAGGCGAGAAGAAAAAAACAACCAAGGCATGGGGTTGCGCGAGGCAAGACAGCCATAACAAGAGAAGGACGAATCAGCTCACCATAGAGGTCCCCCAGCTGTCCAGCCTCTCCCCCCTGCCCCTGCTGCGCCACTCGTGGAAAGGGTCCCCCGAACCCCCCTGTTGTTGCTCCGCCTCCCCCTCCCGCTGCAGCTCCCCCGGGCCCTCCCCCCATTGCCACTCCGCCACCCCCTCCTGCTGCCACTGGGCCGGGGCGCGGTAGATTCTGGGCGCAGGCGGATGCTGGGAGCGGGGAGTGGGGGAGGAAGGGTGGGGAGGAAGCAGGGGAAGGGTGAGAAGGGGGGAACAAAGGGTGTTGCATAGTGGGGAATTCAAATAGGACTGTGCAAGTGGTGCTTGGGGAGATAATTGGTAGGGATGAGAGAAAGTGAAAGAAAGCAAGACCAAGTGGATAAATGGGTAATTAAAGACGATTGGTTCCAGAAATGGATGGAGAAATGGGTTACCCAGAGCGCAGAACAAGGTGAGTAGTGTCAGCACAGCCATATTGACGAACACGACAGCAGAGGAAGGATACACCGAGGAAAAGTGGTGCGAGAAGAGCAAAAACCGAACGACGAAGGAAGTGCAGGAACAGAGCGGTATGAGGGGAGAACTACGTTCCAACGTCTTGTACTTATTTCACAGGCTTGCGAGACATTACACCTCAAGGGAGAGAGCGCGATGCGCGCGATGCTCACGGCGCTAGCTGGCAGCTGGAGACACCGCGCCCTGAGAAGCTGATAGCAGCTTCTCTGCCTTCGATCGCATCCTCGCTCGGGCGTATCTGCGTGCATGCCGCGCAGCTTCGACATCGCGCCGCGTCACCTAACACGAGCCTCGCGACATGCCACTCAGCGGCACGGGCCAAGCAGGCAAGAACCTGGGTCCTGACAGGGAACAGCTCATGTCGTGTGGAAGTGATACATTTTCCTCTGCATACACCGTCCACTGGAGGTTCCAGCAGGTGGCCGCTTAGGAAGAATCAACATGCAAATCGCCCGCTGTTGGTCAAAGGCCAGCACGGCACGCGCAATCGGCGGAGAAGGCCATGCAGAACCTGGGAATTTGCAGCTGGACATGAGATTAGGTACTGACTAAAACGAGTCTAGAAAACGCGTATGGGGGATGGCTTTTGTTAGTTGGCTGTGAAGTGCACTCTCGTGGTTTTACCGAGTTTCCTGGTATCGAGTCAAACTTCTGCTTACGTCACACTGTAACCTCGTGGCAAGGAATCATTACTTCACCATAGGTCTCGTGCCATGCTTGGATCCAGTGAAGTGAGGTAAAATCCCGTGCCAGTAATATGGGTGCCATCCAAGCACCCCTCTTCGCCACCGACAGGGGGTAAGAATGTTTTTGAAGCTCATCAGCAGGGAAAATGGGTCCTTTGTGTGTCTCTTTGGCTTCCAATTCAGCAGAGAAAATATTATTTATGCGGTAACAATTATAACAAAGAAGGTTCCAACTAGAAATAACCTCATGTAATCCCATTAGAAACGTCAAATTATTTTGGGGTTGTGTAAAACTGTTACTCTGGGTGCCTTTGGGTGTCACCTGCCAGCAGAGCATTGCACTTTCTGATGTCATAGTTTGCCTGCATCTAGTCTGACGTGTGGTGCACTCTGGTACGAATCTGAGGAGCATTGAATGTTCCAATGGACGGGGAAGATGAATTTCCCATGTCAATTTTGAACCTGGACGTCCACGATTCACCGACAATATAAGGGGCACATCTACTGCATCGTTCTGTTCTGCCACTTTCGTGCAGCTTCGTGCATTTTCATTTCACCAATCCAGCTTTTCCACCTCCGTCGACTCTTCGTCCGCCCATCCGTCCAGCTTCCGATTCCGTCCAATATTGTTGGCTCCAGCTGGTTGTCGAGCACAGCTGGCAGTGGACGATGAGGGAGGGAGCCGACAACGTTATTTTTTTGTTGCCCGCGCGTGCGATCTTTATTGAAAGGTGGTGGTACAGTAACCAAGCCCCCGAGCCTGTAAACAGTCAACGGAACGGACAAGAGGCAGAGCAAACTAGAGACCGCATTACGGGAGATTTTAGAAGCAGACGTGGCAGATTGAGCAGACTGGGCAGATAGTTACAGCAAACCGGGCAGATAGTTGGTTGGGCCAAACAAAGCCAGCCCAGCCTTTCTCCTTGCCTCCCCACACACCTTGCCCAAGTTGGCCTCAAGCTTCACCGAACCAGCGCAGCCATATGCCCCCCAAGCCGCTGGCGTCTCTTCCCGGTTTCCTTTCTGTTTGGTCTGCGCCGAACGAACCCGTCTCGATTATTCCCTGGCAAATAGCCATTGGCTGGGGGAGCTGAGTTCTCTGGATTTGTTCAACCAGCAAGCACCCTTGCGTCAGGTTTTTCTGGTGTGCGTCGGCTTTACGATTCGCTTCTAGAGGTGTCCATCGTCGGCAAGATAGTGCTCGCTTCCGCCTCCCATCCATTCCACCGCCACCACACTTGTTCTAGATACACAGCTCTTGGGAAGGCAACAGTTTACTTTCTGAGCACCCTGGCTGAAAGCATTCAAGATTGATTCACCGCGTCTGCTGGTTCTGTGTTTCGCATTTCGAAACTGTGTCACGTAGAAAGCAATGAAACGTTCCCCGCGTTATTCCGATAGCCTATTACCACTATCCAACAGCTCGAGCGAGAGCATACCTGAGATTGGCGAAGTGACAATGCCGATGGCGGTGCAAACTCCAGAGGTTCCAGACTTGGCGAATGCTGACATGACTCCTGAGAGCACCCCATCGCCGACTTCAATCTGTCATGCTGTCAACATCAGAAGCCGGAGACGAAGGACGCTCCGATATTCTCCTTACGCCCTGAAGAGGAGCAGCATTTCTGAACCGGGGACAATGCGCGAGAATGGAGAAGTCCCGCTTCCGGCGCTTGCGGCTGCGACTGCAGGCGAGCCCGCAGAAAGACCTGAAGAGCCTACAACAAGCGCCAGCGATTCTAATGACGTGGGAACTTCAGAAAAGCTGCTCGAACCGTCAGGATTCTTCGGTGGGCTTCAAATTGATCCAGACGGCATGGAGGAGCCTGATCTTGGCGTCCCGAGTTTCTTGTTTTCCCCTCTTGTGAAGCATGGTGTTGCTATATCAAGTGATCCAGTTACTCCGTTGTCGAGGCAGCATAATCAGCCGTCGCCGGAATCGCTAGCTGCATGCGTCACTCCCGTCGCTCATCGTCGCACAATGGACGCCTCTGTTTCGCTTCACTGCCCCGGAGCCCCTCGCAAAGCGTCGCCAGCCATCCGCGACCGTCATGCGTTGACGCGCCGATTGGTTCTCGCGTCGCAGCGGATGCAGCAAATGCTCTTGGCCGTCCCAGTCTGACGGGTCAACCCACGCAGTTTTGACGATGCGACACGCCGATCTGCGACTATTTAAGTGGTCTGACTGGTGGAGATCGCTGGAAGTGCGAGCGGCTCATTTCCAAGGCACTTGGGATATATTCTAACCGGGGATGACAACCTAACACTGATGTGACATCCTAGGCTGCTGATATCGTAACCACGCTGCCTTCACTTACTCTTCCCTCATTTCTGCTTCCTACCCTCCCCTCCATGTCTGTTGCGCGTTTTTTTGGTAGCTCCCTTCTTTGTAGGCGTTATACTAGGTGCTCTGATCTTCTCATGTTCCAGTTCTGACTTGTACAGTTTGTCCAAATATTTAATAATTTACAGTTTGTCCAAATATTTAATAATTTTGGCTTATCCGCCTGTACCTGTGACTGATGTGCTTGGACCATTTAGTTACACCTGGATGGGTAGAAAACAGAATCCTCATGAAGCCTGGAAACTTGAATAATAAAAGCTGCCGTGGTCCTATGGTCTAGTGGTTATGACGTCAGACTCTGAATCTGAAAGGCCGAGTTCAATTCTCGGTAGGACCTGTCTTTTCGTCGCTAAAGTTTTTTTTGCTCTCGGATGGAACGTGTGAAGTTCCTAAACCGCCATTGCTGTATTTATTTTGGTGCACTAGTTGCTCCGTCTAGCACCCTAGGATAAGTGAACCGCTTTTGGTTGGGATAATATCACAGCCTTCTGGCAATTGTTTCCAACCAATGCCGATTGTGCGCACTACCCTCGCAGCAGCAGTGGCTTCAGGGAGCCACTGTTTCCTCAATTCTGAGTTACAAATTCAAATCGAGTTTGCTGGCGGTAGTATCAATGCTGCTCGCGGCAATATCAGTGTTACTGGCAGGTCTATCAGTGCTGCCAGTAGAGGCGTCGCATGCAGCAGAAGCCACACCAGCGTGATCAGCGCTGCGAGCGTTCCTCCAGCTGCGTCGCCTTGCCTTCGCACTCGTGCAGCAGCCCGACGATTGCCAACCATTCCAGAATACCCTGCCGAATCCCGTCCCACTACACGTATCGGACTCCCTGCTTCAGTCTGCACGCGTCAGCTCCCCCGCGCACCATTAGGGTTTTCTCCTCTGTGTCACGGATCTCATGCGCCTGTCTCTGGTCGGGGTCGCTCCTCTTGCCTCCGCTCACCCACAATCAAGCGCGACTCTGGTCATGGAATCCCCTTTCTCCCCGCTGCTCTGATCCCTGGTGAACATTCCGGTTCAGATGGGTTATTTCTTGCATCGAAGGCGTGTGAGCAGCAGCAGGTCGGTTCAGTGGAGACATTGGCTGGGAGTGAGAACGTTACCAGCCAATCGGAGGACCCGGGTTGGTCGGCGAATCCTCTCACGCAACACGGCTGTTTCGCCAATTCCCAGCAGCAGGAGAAAGGGGAGAATTCTGAAGTTTGGGATACAGAGAAGGAACAGAAAGAGGAAGAGGAGGATACAGAGAAAGAGGAAGACGATGAGTGGGTGTGGGACGAGCAGAAGTTTCTTCAAGGCAGAGCGAGAGGGAGGGAGTGCGCGCGGGACCTGCTGGCTGTGATCGAGAGCACGGGGCTTGGCTTCGGAGGCTGGTGTGAGAGCAGGCGGTTGCAGAGGGACAAACGCGGATTCAGAGGCGACCGTTCAAGTGTAGGGCTGAGAGGCTTGCCGAGAGGCGGCTCAAGAGGCAATCCAAGAGACAGTCTGAGGGGTGGTTTGAAAGGCCTACTAAGCTCCAGGAAGAGGTTCAGCCGCGGATTGAACAGCGGGCAGAGCAGTTCTCCTGCTGGCTTACGCTTGAGCTGCACATTGCAGCGTGGGAGGCGGAGGGGGGCTGACGGAGTGGAGCTGCGTAGCAGGAAGAGGAAGAGGAGAGCGGCGTTGCTGCAACGCTTGCTGCCAGTGGTTCAGCCTGGCAGTGTCAGCGGGTTTGGAGCGAGGGGGGTGGATGGTGGCTTGCTATTTGGGAGCAGTGACAGCGATGCGGCGCTGCGGCTGGTCTGTGCACTTGTGAACACTGCTGTGAGGGGTGGCGCAGAGGGGGGAGGGGCAAAGGGGAAAGCGGGAAAGAGGAGGGTGAGACGGCACGGCAAGGGCTGTGATCATGGCAGAGGTAATGCCATGCATGATCTCAGCCGTCGAATCCACTCGCTCATCTCCCACCCCCCTCCAGCCCTCATGCGCCTCGCCGCACTCACAGCCGCCACCTTCCCTCGTGCTCCCTCGCATTCTTCTCAAGCATCTGGTGCTGCTGGTTCTGCTTGTGCAAGTCAATCGCAGCTATCAGATTTCCGGGAGGCGTTTCGGAGAGAGGTTCTCGCTCCGCTGCCGCTCTCCGTGAGTCGAACCTTGCTGTGGCAGGTAGCTCAAGAATATGTTTTCTAAAACCCTCACTCCTGACCAATGTTCTTCAAATATCTTCAAAAATCCCTGCTTTTACCTTTACCGCTCCTCGTCCCGCGCTTCGGTATTCCACGGTTCACTTGCACCTTACGCTTTTCCTGAGTTGTGACAGTTCGCCATACTCTTTCTGTTTTCCTCTTTGCTTTTATCACCGCCAGGTGCCTGACGTGGACGGCTCTGATGCTGCCAGGTGTCAGCTCACCAGCTCACCCGTCTGCTACCGATTCAAAGACAATGTAAGGTCAGTGTGGGAATGCACATGCTGTGTATGCTGACTTTTGAGACGTCAAAGACAATGTAAGGTACATGCTGACAGTGTGGGAATGCACATGCTGTGTATGCTGACTGCGGAATATCAGCTTGGTGCTTTTGAGAATTTTCGGATCATGAAGGGAATCATTGCATGGCCAGCGTAAACAGTGCTCAGTGCTCATATGCCTTTGCCCCTCGCCTCCGCACTTCTCATTCTACCTCTCTGCTCTCCTCGTCTCCCCCCTCTGTGCGCTACTTCCCTCCATGCTCCACTCCCAACACCCCTCCACCCATCACCAGGACGTCAACCTCTTCTTTGCTCTCCTCTTCCACGCCATAGCAGCCTTCTCCCCTCACGCCATCGCTTCCTCCTCTTCCCGCTCCTCTTTCTCCTCTCCATCCGCCTCTCCTTCCTCCTCACCTCCCGCGTCTCCCTCATCCCCTCGCACCTCAACCTGCACCGCACGGCCCGCCATCCATCTCTCTCGATTTGACCTCTTCCACTGCCACCTCTTCGCTACCCACTCCTCCGGTCGCCTCGGTGCCCTGTAAGCCACCCGCCCCCTACGGCCTCTAGGCACTTGTGGTTCACCACTTCAGTTGTGCTCTCGCTGAAACGCCTTGCCTACGTCATTCGTCAAGGCATGCACCACCATACACGGTATGCCTGCTGCCACCTATGCACATAAGCGCAGAGATGCTTTGCTCAGTCTTCTTATGGACCGTCACCAATAGCACTTGGTTGAATTCCCTGCGCTTATAACCCTGACTGACTAATATAACCTTGGCTCACTTATTTCCACTCCTCTCATGTGCGCCCCCTTTCCCTGGTGCTGTCTTGTCTTGTCTTGTCTTGTCTTGTCTTGTCTTGACGTGCACAGATTCCACGCCAAGGAGTATCCTGCTTTCTGCCCCGACTCCTTCCCCGTCAACCTTGGCTTCTGCCAATCAGGCCAGTGCTTAGGATCTAATCCCTCAAACGCCCCCACTCACCCCAGTATCCCTGCTCGCACCTCAACCACCCCATATCCACATTCTTTCGTCCATGTAACCATGCCGACGTCTCCTCATGCCGCTCCCTGTCCATGCATTCATGCGTGTCCCCATGCCTCATGCAGGCTCCCCCGTGCCCTACGATGCCTCCATGAGCTTTCGGAACATTCTTTGGCTCGCTCCATTCCATGCCAGCTGGCGCCGCAGCACTGGTGGCAGCAGCACTGGTGGCAGCAGCACTGGTGGCAGCAGAACTGGTGGCAGGAGCAGGAGTGGAAGCAGTTGCAGAAACATACCTGACACGTACCTGCCAGGTGGGGATTTTGAAACATCCATTGCCATACCCACACTTGGTCAGCATACTTTACGTCAGATTGGCCGTAGCCATTTATGGATTGTTGTCTTATACCGTGATGCTTTATTCTTGGCATTTACGCCCTTCTTCCTTTTGCATAGGATCCCTCCACATCCTTGAGACAACTGAGGAGTCGTCGATCTTGCATGAGGAGCTGGTTTGTGAAGGGCTCAAGCTTACCCACACTATCTATGAGAGTGAGTATCATTATTTTGCAAAGCATGCTGGCCATGAATATAAAATTCCTGTGGTGAGACTGATTGTTTCCGTGCAGGTGATTTTGGCCTCCCTCTGTTGGATGTGAACTACTTCAGTAACGACAAGTCCTTATATTGGACGAGGATCTTTGCTTGTTGACTTGATAAATTGGAAAGGCTTGTTTCATGTAACCAAATGATACCGCGAATATGATGTCCACGCCTTTCCCGCTTGCGCCCTGAATTGCAGATCTGAACCAATCACAGGGTTCCGAACACCTCGAAATTCACCCCATTCCCTGATCTCATCGAACCAGCTCACCTGCTCTGGACTGGGCTTTGGATCAATCTCTCAAATTCGCCTAGGGTTCATTCCCACAGTTCTGTAGGCAGACTCTGGGATTTCAAGCAGATCAGCGAAAACCATCAGCTTTCTTGCTTTTGCCGTTAGACTCTGGTAGATTCGCCGTTCCAGGTACAGTATTCCTGCGTGTCGCGTCAAGATGGCGCCATCAAAGATCCTTCTTCTTGGTCTTGGCCTCGCGGCGCTGCTCGCCTTGGCGACAGCCGATGGCGATTCCGATGTCGTCACTCTGAACAATGACAACTTTGACGATTATGTCGGCAAGGAGGAGGCCGCGTTTGTCAAGTTCTACGCTCCTTGGTGAGTTATCTGAGAAATATCTAAACGAAAAAATAATATTATATCAGAGGGTTGTCGATCTGAATCCGGTTGCTTTGTCTCCACGACATGTCGTGGTGATTGCTTCTGGAAGCATGTGGATATGAATGCACAATGCTTTGATTTTGCTTGATGACGGATGTATAGCTTTTGCTCCATCGTGCACGGACCCTTTTAAAATGATTCCCTTTCAGGTGCGGTCACTGCAAGAAGCTGGCCCCAGAGTACGAGAACTTCGCCACCGCGTTCAAGAAGACTAAGTCCGTCGTTATCGCCAAGGTAAGCTACTTATTGTTAACGGTTGACCTGCTCGCGATGCTGAGTAATTGAGACTCGTTTTGCACTGGAGTTGTTCAAAAGAGCGTATGATTATCTAACGAAATATATCCACAAAGGCTTGGATGCTCGTGACATACAATTTTTCCTGACTACTGGTAGGCAATCGCAACCAATAAGTGACCTCGTATCGTGGATCTTCTCTTTTAACCACCTTTGGGATTTCAGGTGGATTGCGACGAGCACAAGGATGTGTGCAGCAAGTACGGTGTGAGCGGCTTCCCCACGCTCAAGTGGTTCCCGGCTGGCGAGTCCAAGCCTGAAGAGTAAGTCGTCACCGTTGTTGATGCTCGTGGAACCTCCTCTGATGAGAACCTTATTTTCACAGTTGTTATTGTTTCCTAACTTGGTCATTTATGTTGTCCTTTTTTCCTGTGTTCAGCTATAGTGGCGGACGAGAGGCATCGGATCTGGTTGAGTTTGTAAACGAGAAGCTCGGTGCGTGCGTCTGACATTTCCCAGGCATCTCTCATTCTCTCATATCTTGCGCTAGAATTCGCCTTGGAAGCAGATCTGACATTTTGAGGCTTCTGGTGCAGGGACACACGTGAAGATCGCTGCCCCTGTGTCGCATGTGCTTGCTCTCGACCCTTCCAACTTCGACAAGGTGGTTCTTGACACCTCCAAGCACGCTCTCGTCGAGTTTTACGCTCCTTGGTGAGAATTACCACTCCACCAGTGCCCACCAGCAAGCTTGCTCTTATCTCGCAAAAAAACCTCGCATGGATCTGTAAATTGGATGCATGTATCTCATTTCTTCCGGCCTCTGGGTCCTCACCCTGCTAAGAAACTCATTTTTTTTTCTTCCAGGTGCGGCCACTGCAAGTCCCTCGCTCCTGTAAGTCGTCCTTATATCTTTGAATCCTCACTCTTCGTTCTCTTTTGAAACCCTTCCTCCTTCCCCCCTCCCCTTGCGTATCTATCCTGAATAATTTACTTCTCATTCGTACTACAAGTTCGCCATTGGCCCATTTCCAATGTGATTTGCATCGTAGTATCTGCAGAACTCGCTTATTTGCTCCCTTCCTCATGTCGTTCTCAGCGTCTAACCCCTACCCGTCGTACATCCTTGCTCAAGTCGACCCTTTTTCACGGTACCCCTTTTACCCCGTCGCCCGCGCTTCGCGTGTGCAGACGTACGACAAGCTGGGCGCGGTGTTCAAGGCGGACAAGAACGTGGTCATCGCCAAGGTGGACGCCGACTCGCACCGCTCCCTGGGCGAGAAGTGAGTGCTCTCATTCTGTCTCTTAGTCTTTCTTTCAATCACATCCATACATCTTCATGCATGCTCATGGCATGGTAGGTTCTTCGCAACTGTCTCGCAGGTAATCTTCGCTCACAAACCCCCGCTCGTGCTCTCTCTGTGATGTATTTGCTTCTCCCCACTCCCCACTTGCGAATTTGCCATCCCTTCAGGTACGGCGTGTCGGGCTTCCCGACGATCAAGTGGTTCCCGGCGGGCAACAAGGACGGCGAGGACTACAACGAGGGCAGGGACCTGGCGGACTTCGTCAAGTTCATCAATGAGAAGACCGGCACCAGCAGGACCGTCTCTGGCAGCCTCCTCGAGACGGTGAGATGACCACAGGGGTGCACAATTAAAGGATCAGTGGAACTCTAGATTTGAAACAGTTGAAAAGTGTTGTAGAGCAGTATCTTGCATGTGCTGTCTTTTCTTCCCCCACCCACTCCGCCCTTCTCACTGTCTGCGCTCGAACTCCCTCCCCCACGGCTTCCAGGCGGGGCGCATTGCTGAGCTGGACGAGATTGCTACTGCCTTCGCTGCGGCGAAGGAGGGAGATAGGGCCAGTCTCAAGGCTAAGGCTGAGGCAGTGAAGGTGGCCGATGACAAGGCCAAGTGAGTGCTGGGTGGACGGGAATCACAGGGATTAAGTGGTAGTGCTTACGTGCCTTGTGCTTCCGAGTGTGAAACAGTTGGCAAGGAGAGTGGTGGGGTGGGTGTGTTGGGATAGAGAAACGGTTAGTGGATTGGTGAGAGGTATTGTGGTGCTTGCGGTGCATAGGGCTTATGGTCAAGTGATGCGGCGGAGTATGGTTGCATTCAGAAGGGCCAACTTTAAGCTCGGCACGCCGAGCAATCTGTCTCTTGTCTGGTTGGTGCTCCACATTCCAGCCCTTTTCTTATCCATTGCTTCTGGTTCCTGTGGTATGATTCGTCCTCCATGGCACGCCAGGCATGCGGCCATCTACGTCAAGACCATGAAGAACATCATTGAGAAGGGAGCTGACTACGCTGAGAAGGAGGTGGCTCGCCTCACCCGCGTGCTTGCAGGGGTGCGTATTACTCGAAATCCTTACAGCTCCCATGCATCATATTCGTTTCTGATCCCTTCTAGAGCATGCCGTTATTTTATTCCCTACCCAACATGTCATTTTGTTCTGTCACTAACACCTCATTTTGAACGTTTTGTTTAGTTTGCTTACCGTACGTTTCTGATGTGGTGTCTGTGCAGTCCCTCAAGCCAGAGAAGGCTGACGACTTCACCATCCGCAAGAACATTCTTACTGCTTTTGTTTAGGCCAAGTAGACCTCAGTTTGAGGAAGGCAGATACCATGTGAGATCTACTTCTGAAGTTATCGTTTAAGGGTTTTTTTTGGATGCTTATGGACGAGAGCTGTATTGACTCTGCAATGAGTGACGTGAATGTGACTTAGAAAACTAGACGGTTTAGAAAAGTACACTTAAATAAGTAGCGTGTAGGCATGGCCAAGCTGGTCCAGACGATTTTCGTTTTTGCCTTACCGCAAATGAATTGCTTTTTCCCACATCTTTCAAGCACAGATGCTTGTGCCTTGTGGTCAAAGTGCGATTTATTGGATACTGTACAGTACAAATATCTCGAGGCTCTTTCATCGCAATCCACAGCTTCATCACGATGTTGGACGGCATTCGCGAATGCAGGAATACATTTATTGAATATAATTCGCCAAACGTCGTCAGGAGGGACGGGAGAGGGTTACCTCTTCACGAACCTGTTCCTGCGTGCGACGGAACAGCACATCATACTGCAGCAATAGAACCTTCGCGAAGCCGATCTGTGCATCTTTTTGCACAGTTGCTCGCAAAACCAGCAGCCATGGCCGCCTGGATAGGCGGCGAGAATACATCTGTCCAGATCCACAGTTGCGACCACTTGGGTTCGCCCCGATAGCGAGGGGTTCTCGGCCGGACCTGTCCCTAAGGAGCTCCTCTCGTTCTTTCCGTCTTTATCCCAAGATTCGCCACGTTGTCACTTTTCGACCAATCTTCTAGCATTTTATGCCTTCTAGTTCCTTCTTTTACAGACACTGGAATGGCAGTAGCCAATGAGACCTCTCGCTCGCTCCCTCCATGGCCAACAACTGAAACCTTCGTTTCGACCATTAGCGACAATACTGTATCTCAGCCTTACAGATATTTTCCGCCGTAAGCCACATCTGGCAGTCCACCTCACAAATATCGACCGTGCGGTTCAGCGTCACACGCGCCTCCACATGTCGCTAACTCACGATATTGCGATCTCTGGCGATGCAATCGTCCTACTGATTCATGTGGTAGTCATACCCGAATCCTCCATTGTCTGTTCTGGAAATCGCTCTTCTCTCGCAGCAAGAAGTTGACACCCGCAGATACATAACCAGAACCGCAGCGACTTTCTATGGTAGTAGTACCGTCTCTTATTTGATTTCTTAGCTGCAATATACAAAAGGCCATTTACTTTTCCCAGCCCGCCATGGGTTGTGTTCGTACCATGAAGCTCCGCAGACCTTACATCGCTGAACCGTACACGACTCCTCCATCTCCACAACGGGCCTCACGCCAACCATTTCAAGCCACTTCCACCGAGCCTGATACTTTCGGCATTGAATGGGAGATTCTCGGTAGCGTCTCTCCAACGTTTTCCAGTCCCGTGTGGATAGTAACGGAAACCGTCGACGCTTACGTCTTCTGCGTGGAGAGCAGAGGTTTCCCGCTGCAGCGCGTGCAAGTGCTGCTGGGCAAACGCGAATCTCCGAAGTTCGATAGAAACAGGTGCAGGGAAGGAGATACTGACTGTCGCGAAACAGCATTCGACCAGGACAGTGACTCGTCGCAGCAGTCATCAAGCAATAATAGCCTGGAATGCAGCGGCATGAATCCGAGCAGCATAGACGCATCGCTGCTTACTATTCTGTGTGACTTCCACCCAACCTCGCATAACTGCGGGGGGGACACCTTTCATCAAACGACAGGCAGGCGGTTTAAACTGCCGCCTGACGCCGCCGCAGAGGGCACAACCGCCATGCAGACGGCGACAGGATCGCTGGTCGTTTCCGTCCCTCGCTCCCCTTCAATTTCCAACGGCTCCTCCTCATCCACTTTAGCTACTCGTGAATATCGTTCTCAAAATTCCTCCGGGCCAAGATATGGCCAATGGATTGTACACGTGGCATCAGCAGTGTCATCAGCGTCAGCCTCGTCATCGTTCCATTCAGAGAGACAGTATGAGCCATCTGCTGACTCATTTCAGCATTTCAATATGGACTTGCTTCAAGAGCTTAGGGTATGAAAGGCGGTAGCGCTCATACAATTTGACTGCATGTATTGCTGTGGCCCGGAGAGCATCAGCCTGTACAGCTTACCATATCGCTTCATACAATATAAAGGAGCCTTTTCTTAACATTTCCAGAAGGCAGACATTCAGTGAATACTGGTAGCTCTGCCTGAACTGGGGGTAACTGCCGATACAGCATTGTAAAACAAATTATGAACTGCATGCTACAGATACTGTGCACATGCTGCTTCCAGGTGAATTTGTAATAGGCTAGCGAACTACTCCTGAAGTTAAGGTCACGAAACAAATAAATTATTCTACGCATGCCAAGAAAGCAGGTCATTTGGCTTTATGAGGGCAATAATATTCCAATTTAAAAGGCTTGCACACTGCATGGTTGTTGCTCCCGCCAGTGCCGTACTGACCAATCAACCAAGGACATGCGGCAAGATTACCATACTGCTGTGCTGACACCGACAACGGCACCACGTTACTGGATCGTGTCGCTCCACATGCCCCTAGATGGATACAAACACCAAGTAGCAAACAAACAGCACGTGAAAGGGGAAGAGTAAAAAGGAGGAAACTGTCATGTCAGGCCAGACGTCAGTGTCACAGGGGCAGTGGGAGCTTGGTTCACGCAAGCTTTATCAGCGCATGTTCCACGCAACCTTGGGATCTTGTTTCAGCTGCAAGGAGCAACGAGCAGCCATCAGAGTAACTATGACAAAAAGGCCATCATGAGCAGCACAAAACAGCTGCTTAGGCTGCAATAAGGTCATCATGTGGCTGTTAAAACATGTGCCGGAACGACAGCAAAACTGGCGTACATGATTACACCTAGGACGTTACTACAGTGAGACACAAACGATGTAGGAGACAAGTTAATCGCAAAGAATCACACACCTGGTTATGACTAGTCGAATATGCTACGCTCTGGGAGACAGTGAGCTTAAGGCCTGTTACTATCCTTCCCAGATAAGACCAGTAAAGTCAGAATTACCTCCCCATCTTCAGTTCCCTTACCCATGTCCCGTCACTTAGTCACCTTTCCATTCTCCTTTTCATCCAACGTTCTGCCTGTTTCTGCAGCTACGTACTGTTGAAATGATAACTCTGTTGGGATGATAGCTTCGATCTGAAGGTGCAACCGAAGGCCAGAGATTGCCGTACTCTGCTCACCACCAATCAATCCCAACTAACAACTCTGTTCATTTCCCAAGAACCCACATAAATGCGGCGATGCCTTGGATTTTCACCTGCAAGCTCACACACACCTCCTCAACTGCATCACTCGCAATCCACCATTCCCAAAGCGTCATCCAGATTACCTCTCAGCTTAAACTCCAAACCCCTCAGCCATCACAAAGCACCCTTTCCACTCCACCCTCCCCCCCACGCTCGCTCACCAGAAGCACCGGCAGCACCGGAACCTCCAGACCCGCTGCCATCACCACTTGTTCTCGGCGCAGTGCTGCCTCAGGATCTGCAGCAGCGACTTGGCCGCAGAGTTCTCGGCACTCGTCTGCGACACACCTTTCCCACCCCCCCACCCTCACCTGAAGCACGTGCAGCACTGAGCCGACCGCCATCACCGCTTGTTCTCCGCGCAGTGCTGCCGCAGGATCTGCAGCAGCGTCTTGGCCTCCGAGTTCTCGGCGCTCGTCTGCGACACGCGCACCAGCGACGGCAGCACGCCCTCCGCGAGCAGATCCCCGTACGTCACAAACCCCATGGCCGCCAGCTGCAGCAGCACCGACGCCGCGTCCTCCTTCACTCGCGCCGACGACCCCTCATCGAGCAGATCCACAAACATGGTGAGTCCATCGGACTCCACCACTGATTGGCACCCTTCCGGGAACCGGGCGAGGTTCGAGAGGACTGCCGTGGCTTTCTCTTCCAAGCCTGGCGGGGGAGGGTCGGCGGAGTCCCCCGAGCCACACATGCCTAGCAGGACCTCGACAGCTCCGGCCTTGAGGATATCCCGGGCGCAGCGCACCTGGGTAGAGAGAGTGAAGAGAGCAAGTGCCGCGTCTTTCTTTGCCCGCACCGTGCCGGTTTTGAGGAGCGAGATGAGCGCAGGGATGGCACCAGAAGCTCGAACCATGAGTTTGTGATCGTCCTCCTTGGAGAGAGCAAACAGGGTGGCGGCAGCGTTGCCTTGTGAGGCAGACGTGCCGTGGTTGAGCATCCCAACCAGCGCTGGTATCCCGCCTGCTCGCACAATCTCCCCCGATGCGTTCCAGTGGAGAGATAGGTTCATGAGAGCAGCAACAGCATGCTCGGCTGCTTCTAGGTCGTCTGATTCAATTACTTCCACTAGAGGTTCTATTCCCCCCAGCTGCACCAGCTGCGCTTTGTTTTCCGGGCAGCCCTTGATGGCAGTTCGGATGTCTCGCACGGCTGCCCGCCGGTCCACACCTGACCCGAAATTCAGCGCCTCCACCATCGGGCCCATGTCCCGCCGAACCGGCGCGCCGCCCGGGTCATCATTGCTGCCGCCCGGCATGCTCATCATGCTGCACGTGCTCCGCGCGCTGCTGTTTCTCTGCAGCCGCGGCACGCCTGGAGCGCCGCCGCCGCCAGTAGCAGAAGGACCCTGGGGCGGCTGGGGGGGGAACTGAGGGGGAGGGGTCATGGGGGGAGTGGCGTGACCATACCCCATGTCTACATCTTGCATTGCGGGGTTGGTGGTTGATTTTCTGAAAGCCCTGCCGGCCGATGATGTACTTTCCACGTCCACGTCGTGCAAGTGGGGCGACGGGTTGGTCGGCGACTTTCGGAACGTTCTGCCGGCCGACATGGCCTCGATATCCGCCTGCCACTGCGGGATGGATGACGTCAGCCGCTCCAAACCCTGCCCCTGCCCCCCGCCATATCCGCCCCCGCCGCCGCCGCCTCCGCCAGTGGCAGCGGCAGCGCCAGCAGCGTTTTTAAGCACGCCTTTCCGGAGCCCCTTAGGCCTGCCCGCGGTGCTTCCGCTGGGTGCCATCCCCGACCCCGCGCCCCTCCACGGCTCCCCCCCGCCCCCGCCCCCCTGCCCGTAGTCCCCGCCGAACGCGGCGCCCGAGGTTCTGGGCCGCTCGTCGCCGGGATTCGCGGCGAACTGCCGCCTGCCGCCGCTTGCGCTGCTCGCGCCGCCCATACTGCTGCCATCAGTAGAGTCCATACCGAAGTGGCGTCGACCCCCCGTGCTGCTGCCACTGCTGTTGCTGCTAATGCTGGGAACCCGCCCGTGCCCCACCGACCCCGGGCGCTGGGGCAGCGCGCCTCCTCCGCCTCCCCCCGCCAAAGTTCTCCCAGCCGGCGCCAGGTGCTCCCCGTGCCCGCCGTACTCCTCGTCCCCCCTCCCCCCTCCCCCGCCTCCCGCCCTATCCGCGTCTCTTTCAGATTTTTTCACCTTCCTGCCCGTATCTGTCTGGGACCGCATCTTCGCGCCGCTGCGCAGCGAAGGCGGCGCCGCCTCGTCCGCGTCGCCCGACGACGGCGCATCGGCAGGCATCCTTAGCCCCGGGCCGCCTCTAACCCCATCCGATACTATCTCCGATAGTAGCTTATCCCGCTGCTTCCTAGTCATCTTCATACTCCTCCCCTTCATCAGATCTGATACCTTCCCCGGACCGCCGCCCCCGCCGCCGCCGCCGCCGGCGCGGCCTAACTTAAGCGCGGACATTCCGGCGGAAAGCTTCCCCCCTACGTCATCGTCGTCATCGGCGGGAGATCCGAACCCATCTTCACCGCGAGGAAAGTACGATAAATGCCGCTGCAAACCTCCGGCCTTCTTAGGCTTGCTGCTCTGCGACGCTATAGAATCCCATACGGCTTTAATATCCGTCGGTCCGTCCCCTCCTGGACCATCGCCCATCGCCGCCACTTTCTTCGACAGGTTCGACGGCAGCGGGCTGACGGACCTCGCCCGAGCCTTGGCGTCCGAACCACTTCCCGAGCCTGAAGCCTTGCGCCCCCTCTCCCCCTTGCTCTCCTCCCCGCCATCCGCACTCTTCTTCTTAACCACTTTTTTCTTCCGCACTACCCCATCGGAAGAACGTTCGAACTCCTGATCGTCTGGACCGCGCTCCGACTGAGACTGCGCCAATAGCGAAGGAGGAGGTGGTGTTTTCGGCCGCAACTGGCTGGTTTTCGAGGAGCTTTTTACCACGGTTTTTTTCGCTGGGGCAGTGCTGGGTCGGGCAGCTGAAGAGTGGCTGCCCGAACCTTGTGCCATCCAATCAGAGATCATGCTTTTTAAGGCAAAGTTCGGGCAGAAGTTTGTATGGTCGATCCGCACGCCGGACTTGGGGCACGTCCGCTTACCCTCCGCGAACCACCGCTCGATAGAAGCACGCTCGTACGTCTGGCCTGATGCGATTATAACGGGGTCAGTCATGACGGTTAACGAAAGCGGACACATAAACTCCTCCGGTATTGTCGGACCGTTAGATTCCGCCTTCTTACCACTGCTGCTACTGCTACCGCCGCTCTCTTTCTTTTTTCTCGTCGGCTTCGCTTCCCGTTCCTTGGACGGTCTTCGCCGCTCCTGCTCGCCTACATGGTTATCCTCCTCCCACGCTTGATCCTCATGCCGATGCTGACGCCGCTGCTGCGTTTGCTGCCTATCTACAGTGTTTTCCCGCTCCCAATTAGACGCTCGGGGTTCGTCGTTCCATCCGTTGCCGTGGTCGTCTTGATAGTCGTCGTCCGGGTGGTAATGATCCGACGATTGCGACGCTCTCTCCCAGCTGTTACAGGTTGCTGGATCCATGATACGCGATAACAGCTAGGGTTCTGGTCTGGAGGGAAAAAAGGGAAATCAATTTGACGAGAACAAAAACAGAAGGAAGGCTGGTGACATAATCGTGATTTTGCTCAAGTTGAGTTCATACACTTGAGCAGGAAAAGAAACAGGCCCATGTTGTGCATGTTTTATTGCTTCCGCAAAGTGGCGATCGATAAGGAGAGGCGGGTTGGAAAGGAAACGAGGCAGGAAAAGTCCTGGTAGAGCTCCAATTCACATGCAACCATAATGCAAAATACACACTGAAATGCGAGAAAATGCCGACTAATGCTAGAGGTATATCGGAAATCGGCTAAGCTGATGGAGAGAAATGAATGACTTCAGACAATGGGGAAAGTGAAACTGGACAAAGCTTACATGCTTACGTCGTGACGGCGCAGTGACCACCTGATAAGGCTCTGGACCAGCGGAACCGATATATCTACTGGTAACTACGAGTATGGCACTAAAACACTAACAAGATCAGCCTTGGCTTGCTTAGTTAAATCTCTGCTCGTAGCGTTGTCTTAGACAAAACAATCGCTAACACAATCGCTATCCACAAAACCGAGTCCTTGGCAACGCCTTCGGCACCACCTAACTACCGGCATTCACGGTATTACGGCCATACTATCGCAATCCTATTTCACAGCACAAACGCTTCCGGCGGAACATTCTGGACGACAACGAAGGAACCAGCTACGAAGGACGACGACAAGGAGAACGCAAAAAAGCGTAAGTTTTCCGCCTTCCTGTCAGGAGTTCTTAGGGTTACGAAATAGAGAAGGGTCCGAGAGCTTGCTAATGTGCTAATGCCACTGGCTGATGTCATGGCGGATCGGTCCTCTTGGGCTGGCGATAAGGGAGGTGCTACTTCTGAGTCGCGGTACTTGAGATTCTAAAAGCGGAGGTTAATGTGACTGTTAGGAGGAGTTGACAAATGTAAGCGTGACAGTTTTAAGCGTCGTGTGGTAACCCTCCTGGCGGAGGGATGCGATGAGTCGGATGGATGAGCGGACGAGATTCGTAGACATTGGAAGCTGCAGTTCCAGTTGCAGGTTGGTGGTTTGGTGGGGTTGGGCTGGATGGGAAACCTTGGATGTCGGGGAGAATGCGGGCAGAGGATTATGGGCAGATGGGAAGCGTTGTATTGGTCGTAAGGAAGGTCGCGAGCGGGCATGGTGAGTGTAGGGCATATAATTGGTGGCTGGGAGCAAGTCGGGCAGAAGTTTACGAAAGTGGCGGGAGAGCAAACGGACAGATGAAGGATTGGACCTTTGGGAGGTTGGTGGAGGCGACTGCGAAAAGCACAACTCAGGAATTTCTGAACCCACGAGATATTACGCATTCCACAACAAAATCGAGTGTACTGCATGTGCTTGTTCCAAGAATGTCTAAACTCTTCCAGTTCATTCTTATAATAATCAATCCTTGCACATAGACATCCGCAACATGGATCATCAACCAGCTGCAACGCCAGTCTGCCAATGCATAGAGATCCTCCACACCTGCCTGAACTTTCTAGAAGACCCATTCAGGAAAGGGGAAGCCAAAAAAATGGTAGTATGCTGGTACTTTAGCCATTAGGGACGTATCCTTCCAAGAAATACCCAATCCGCTAGATGTCACATCAGTAGCTGGCCAATGTCTGGCTGACATTGACACGGCCAGGTGACGCATTCTTGTTGAACTTGGACCACTTGAAGTCCTCGTACTTCTTCCCCACCCCAATCAGCCCAAGAGCACTCTCAGCAGGCGAGTTATCCGTCTCCTTCACTCCAATATCCGTCGACTTAAAGCCCTTGGCTGGCCCATCCACAGCAACCAGCTCGCCATCATACGACAGGAATTGAATCACAGTGGCATCGCCATTAGCCGGCTGCGAAACAAGTGCCATGCCATCTGACGGCCCGTTCTGCAGGCCTCCCTGAGCGTACGTGTTGCCATACACCACGAAGCCGTTCACGTTGGTGGGAGGGAGGTTGAATTTGGAGAGAGGAAGCTTGCCGTAGGTCTTCCCATTGGCTCCGTTGTAGAGGTAGATGGTGAGGGTGGAGGGGTCCACGCCTGGACTCACTACCACCTCGATGAACTGCATTGGAGGGGGGAAATGAAGGCAAGGGTGGCAATAAACATTGAGGAACGTTGTGATGGCGTAGGATCTAATGGATATGTTACCGGATTCGGTGGGGATGTGGGGTCAGAGGCAGGTTGGGTTGAAGGGAGAGAGCAGGGTGATGGGGAGTGAGGAGGGCTACAGGTGAAAAGTGGAAGAACAGAATATTGGAGTGGAAAGAAAAACTGGGTGGCAAGGTTGAGAGAAAGAGCGGAATGGAGCTAGGCATACAGCTCTGCCAAGTCTAACTGCTGCAAAGTGGGTACGGAGGAGGACGATCGAAGAGATGCCTGCAAACAATTTATTTCTCCCTCATCGCCTACATCCCCTACTCCGAAATCACCCATTCTCTACCTTTCCCTCTGTCCCCCGCACAATTCCCAACCATATTCGTCCATCTAGACTCCACCGCCCACCTCGTTCTTATCCGGGCCTTCATTGCTGTAGTGAATCTCATTGAACCATGCCTTTGCCTGCAAACCAGGCACGCGTGGAGCAGCCACCCCGCTCGCCCCCCCTGCTGCTGCTCCCAAGCCTCCCCCCATCGGAGCTCCCACTGGCGGCGCCGCTCCTGGCAAGCTAAACCCGCTCCCCGTGCCTGCGCCCAGGTCTGCCCCCGAGCCTACAGCTGGTGCCGAGGCTGGCCCGGCGGTCCAGATGAGGGAGACGAACTCAGGGTGGTCGACAAAGGGGTTGCGGTTGTGCTGGTAGAGGGAGCACACGCGGGCGTTGCGCGTGGTCTCAAGGGATGAGGGCGGGTCGATGGCATGCCACTTGAGGAGTGGTGAGAGCAGCCCCATCTGACCCTCGGCTGGAAGGGGTCGGATGCCAGAGAGGGAGGGAGGGGTAAAAGAGGGGGAAGAGATCAGGGTGGAATGCGTGTCACGTAAGTAGAAGGGTGAGCAGCCGAGTCCAGCCTTCGGCTGGAAGGTATTGGATGCAGATGAGGGAGGGGTAGATGTGGGGAGTGCGGGATAGAGGGAGGGGTAGATGCGGGGAGTGCGGGATAGTGGGAGGGGTAGAGCAAGCTGGGGAAAGTGGTGGAGAAAGCAACGAGCAAGAAACGAGAGGGTTCTGACGGGTGAGGAGGGGATGAAGTGGGCGCGGGGAAGGGAAAGAGGGATGTAAGTTGAGCAGAACCAACAGCAAGGGAAGAACACCATAGCATGCCATTCATAGATCATAGAATTCCCTCAGCTAAGATGGCATACCAATTTTGGGGTTGTCTGAGAGCTCGAGGTCGAGCTCGCCTGGCACGGAGCCATCGTATCTCACAGCCATGTAGAGCAATGCACGTGCTATGTCTCCCCGTACCTGATGCGGGGATGCACAGGCACAAGGAACAACTCGAGATTGTCAGTGGAGAGAATAGAATTTCATTGCGAGTGATTCTGTGAGTGTGTACGGTGATCTATCAATGTCTTGGCGTGTGCTTGCGTGTATGTGTTTGAAGGCATAGAGGTTGGGGGTGGGTTCGTTAAGGGTTGCGGGCGAAACACCGGAGTCAGTGAAGCAAGCAGCAAAGCAAGAAAGCAAAAGATGGGAAGCAAGAACGGAAGACAGCAGGCAAGGAAGCAGGAAAAGAAGAAAGGAAGTAACGAAGGAAGGAGGAGAGGACACAAGAAAGCAAGCACGTACTTCAGTGGGGGGAGTCCAGACGTCCTTGTTGGTGGCGGTATCCGCTGCTGCCTCCCTGTTGGCCGGCACCATACAGGCACCATCGGTGGACGTGCATTCGCCGTACCACTTGTTGCCTCGGGCGGAGTTGACTGTTTGTGACATGACAGCAATGAGGGGAAATGTCATGATAAGGTTGAAGTTACGTGACAGAGGATAAGGTGTGATAGGTAGTCAGCACACAGTCCGTTTTCAAATCCAGCAAATATGTTGTCAACATTATCTCACTGTTCCAAATCCGCTACCAGTCCAGCCCAGCACGTCACAAAGCCTACCATTGACATCAGCAGGTCTCAGGTTGTGAAGGTCTGAGAACTCAGGGCGGCCCTGAGTGAGGCCATAGGAGCGCGGCCACAGATGCTCCCCTGGTGGATGGGTAGAGAGAGACAGCAATTTCAGTGCAAGTAGTACAATCACTGCATTATCTACAAATTCCACAACTCATGGCAATCAGTGAAGTCGCTGCTACAACTGCAATCCGAGCCATCGTTGCTATCAGTTGGCACTCACTGTTCCAGCCTTCAGGCGTGGCCTGTGTGTCCTTGGGCACTGCTCTGCGCGTGTAGATCTCCACACTGGCCATGGGAATACACAGGGAGAACCAGGAATAGTGAGCAGCGGTGAGGAAGAGGGGGGAAGGAAAACGAGGAAGGGAGGGACCATTTGACAGCGCAAAAGTGTGCAACATTGTAGATTACTCGTGGTAGGCCCACTCACGGACAGTAAGGAAGGGAGGGACCACTTGATTGTGCCAAGTGTGTGAATCTGTGGATTAGTTGTGGTAGAGCCACTCACACGTCACGGGATTTAGCAGGATCTGATTGGTCCGCTGCATCGAGAATCTTCAGAGCATCCCATGCCTGCCATGAGTTCAAATGTCGTGGGAGGGAAGGGGTTCTGGAATGAGAAGGGCCAAACTTCTTGCACGACACTGACTGATTAGTGGAGTGTGATGTTGAAAAGAAACGAGGGAGCTGATAGAGGTACTACAGCCATCCATTGCTGCCCAGTGAGTAATTACCCGTGGCTGACAGCCTCTTAGCACCAATAAATTCCTTCAAACTACCTCCTCAGGTGATCCATTACTCCCAGTGCTACCTACCTCGGTGTAGGTGTACACTTTGTGACCCTTTATAATGTCATGCAGCTTCGCCTTAAGAGCCTCTCCCTTCAGCCCCTGCGTCCCTGCATAGTACTGCTCCACGTCCTCGCATGGGAACTTCGTTGAAGCTGCTTCGGCTGACCATGGTGCGAAGCAAGCTGCTGCTGTCGGCGTGAGAGTGATGAGGGCTGCTAGCAGTGCTGCTGCCGCCTTGGATGCAGCTGGGGAGGAAGACAGAGAGGGAGGGTTTTGAGGGTGTGAGTAGCGAAAGCGGGCGATAAGGCAGGGCTGTAAGTTACTGTTGACATTTCTCTTGTCACGTTTTCTTTTTGCCAACAATTCCATGTTGGTTCCGCTTCCGCATTAACGGCTCGATGACTTTGCCTACTGGTTAACTGTTACGTCTGCTGATTGATCACCGAAACGACCAATGCTCGTAATTCCAGCAATCCAGCCAGACCAGCAAGCATTACTCGGCAAGCGCTTGGACAAAACTCAAGCTTTATGACCGAATTCAGGGTCAGCAATTCATAGATTCCCGGCCAGACGTCATCAATTCAAGCGAAGGCGGGCCACAGATAGCTCCATTGATCCGTGCTAGAAAAGACCGATATCAGCGTGTTTTGTCTTACCTCTCTGGCCAGACGTCAAAGATTCCTGCAGAGATTCCAACCGTCCGTTGCCATGACTCGCTCGTTCACTTCCCGTTGCGTCCGAGCGAGACGACGCGGGTGTGAAGCGTTGAAAGCGGCAAAGAATCGGACCTGATTGCCTGGTCCTCCGGGAAGCACTCGTGGCCGCAGGGACTGCGACTGTCACTGAGCGTAAGGACGAGGAGGAACTTCTGCTGGACAACTGGGAAGCTCGCTGGAGGAAATGTGTCTGAGGTCGACCTCCCTGTGGGATGGAGTGAAAGATGGAGATATAAAGGGTGAGTGAAAGGAGGGGGATTCGCGGTAGGCACGGGGTACGAAATGCGAGAACCCAGAGACAGAAAGTGGGCTACGGCGGGAAGCACGGGGTACATTGGAACTCACGGGGGTTATTCCGCGAGAGCTCATCAACGAGCAATCAGAAGCCAGAGTTGCCATTACGTATCAGCAAAATTGGCGATTCAGCAGCGGCACCGCGCGAATACCACGTGAATTTGGTGTCTAGACCAGCGGCCAGAGATTTGTCAGCTGCGAGAGGAGTATGTGGATCATCTATCACGCTGATGATTTTTGATGTGGTCAAGAATATGATTTTGTTGGATGAACTCGCGGAATTGCTGAATGAGCTCGCTGGTACAGATGTATGGATGTTGGAATTCTCGAGAACGTGACACGTCATCGTATCCCGGCTTGGAAACCGTACCTGTGCCACACTTTCGGCTCGGCAGAACAAGGAAGTGAAACTTTTGCTGTGAGAAACATCATCATCACCATCACCCCCAGGAATTGCTCAGTACCAACAACATCTGATATGGATTGTGATTGGCTGTATGCTCTGTCCATCGTCTCGTATTGGCCACCTCGTCGTCAAAGTGAATGTGGCCATTCATCCTGGTATCTGCGAAACATGTGTAGGTACCGAGCCTGACGGACCTAGGCTCGTTGAGCAAGCCAGGCTGGTTTTCCATCAAACCTCAGGCTCGGAACTATTTCCTCCCCTGTTCCAGAAATGTGACTTCTGGCAGGCAGACATCCTCCTCCATGACCAGACAGGCAGACAGAGCAGCAAAATCAGAGTCGTCTCTCTCTCTTGCGAGTCATCGGAAAGGGCGTCAGCATTACGATACGTCCCACTGGTGTTTCAAAATGTCGGCAGGCTTTTCTTTAGGGACGTACGGTCAGGTCACCTTGCAAGGTTTCGCGTGTCGCCATCCGGCTTCGCGAACATCGGCGTCCATTTCCTGTCCTGCTTCAAGCTCGTTATTTCGTACATCGACACCTCTATCTCTTGGCTCGTTAGCAAGGACGGGAGGAGGCATTGGGTGTCGACAAAGATGTCGGGAAAGAATAGTATACGGTCAAATATCGGGAAGCGGATCTTGGAACATTCGTTGCCTTGCAGAGACCAGCTTGGAGCAAGAAAAACCGTCTGTTGTAAACTCACGAAGCACCGACAAATCTGGCGATTTAGCTGGAGTTTCTGGGAGGCGAACCTTCCTTGCGGGTACAGCAGCTCTGGCAGCAGTCCTTGCTGGAAATGAGCCATGGAGGATGGGAAGCGTTACGGAATCTGGAGCCGCTCATGCAGCAGTTCTGTCAGGGCGAGTGGGGCAAGGGCCGCTGTTGGCTGCTGTGAGCGACGATGACGAGGACACCATCGTGTCTCTGTTTGAGGTGAGCGTCTTCACTTCCTAAGCTACGTTCTGGGACTCCAACTACCGCCCTGTGCTATGGTATTTCCTCATTCTTTGTCCGTTCCGTTGTGGTGAGGCGTGATCATCTCTTATCGTCTAGCAAATATAGGCGTGATCGTCTCATTTTTTAATGTGTCATGTCGTTTTGCATAATTTTCTTCCGTTTAGCAACTGTCATTCTCCTTGCATGTCCCTCTTCCCGGCACGTTTTCCCACGTCGTGCTTCCAGAACGCAACGGCGTCAGTAGTGTCTATTATGAATGTGGAAGTGAATGGCAGCGGCAAGGGAAAGGGAGGAGCTGGAGAGGAGGTCATGGAAGGAATCGGCTCCGGTTTTGTCTGGGATGATTACGGTCACATAGTAAGATACTGCTAATTTTTGTGTTGTGATGGTTCACTGTAGAACTCTGTCTGGGCATACTACAGTGCAGTGCCTTGTCACGCTGTAAGTTCGACAGTGAGGAAGGTATTTCAATGGCTCAGTCTCGGAGTATTTATTTTATCGAGATTGACGATGGTCAGGTGTATGCTGTGCATTCCTCTACATCATCTCATGCACATGTTGGTGGTCTTCCACCTCCGTCTTGCTGACGTGGCAGGTCACCAACTACCATGTGGTTGCCAAGCTGGCGACTGACACTTCTGGGCGGCAAGCTTGCAGGGTGAGAATAAAGAAGAAAAGAAGGGAGAGCAGCGTTGCAAAGCCTTGAGGTTGGTGACATCTGCTGCAAGAGGAGGACATTGTAATAATTACAGAGGCTTCTCACCGCCAGTGCTGTCACTGTTACCTCTCCCCTCCACTTTTGTCTCGGATCAAACCTCCCAAACGTAATTCTGCAATTTCCTGCCTCTCCTCCTCCAGGTGTCTCTTCTTACCCCATCAGGCGCCATGCAGACGTATGCAGCTACTCTTGTTGGCACCGACCCATCCAGAGACCTTGCTGTGCTCAAAGTAAGCTGTGGGAAAAACTTCCACACCTTTTTGCCTCAAGGGTGTGACCTGTTTGAACATTCCTCCTTTGGCATTGAATTCAGCTCAAGTGCTCGCCTTAATTCTGATTCCGCACTGTTTCTTCGATGTTTCCAGGTAGACTTATCTCAGCCTGTACCAGCAGCAGCGGATGCAGATGCAGCAGCAGGCGGTGTAGTAGCAGTAGCAGCACCAGCAGCACCGACCCTGTACCCCATTCCTGTGGGCTCGTCGTCCGACCTGAGGGTGGGCCAGAGCTGCTTCGCCATTGGCAATCCCTATGGCCTGCAGCACACACTCACTGCTGGGGTACGTGGCTTCTGTCTGTTTCAGACGATGATACTGGGATGTGATGCTGAAACAGACGGACTTTACAGCTATGGATGATACTGGTGAGAACGAGTCTTGTACGGATGGTGCTGGTACGAATGATGATGTTACAGATGAGACTGTTGTGGGCAATGATGTGTGGATGATACTGGTTTGGATGGAACGGGTACGGATGACATGGGTACAGATGATACCGGTGCAGATAATGCTGCTACATGGGCATGAGGATATGTGGTATATGATGTAGGTGATGATGATGGTGTGGCAGGCAGCGCACCCTCCACAGGGTGGTAGGTGGCGTGGGTGATGCTGGGGTGGTGGATTTGGATGGATTGGTGGACATTGGAGTAAGGCATTGTCTTCAACACGTTCCCATTCTATTCCTTCCAGGTCATCAGCGGGCTAGGCAGGGAGATTCCGGCACCAACAGGTGCTGCCATCAGGGGAGCGATTCAAACCGACACGGCAATCAATGCAGGTGAGATGCTTGATTGTGACTTGAGCATTGCAATGAGGGCGGAAGGGGGGCAGATGAAAGAAGGGGGATGATGGAAGGGAGGTGGGGGAGAGAGGGGGTTGGGAGGTTACGACCAATGCTGGCATCAGCTTGACCCAATTCCCTCCACCGGTTTATTTGCTTGCCCATATGAAACTGATTCAATCTGTTTGTGTGTTCAGGTAACTCTGGTGGCCCTCTGCTTGACTCCTTCGGACGAATCATCGGAGTAAATACTGCAACTTTCACTCGATCAGGTTAGTCTTGTCACAGGAGCGGATGTGAGCTTCCGGACGACTTTGTTTGACTGCTGCGAGTGAAGGCGGTTTGGTTGGTAGCTGTGCACGATTTTCAACTGTGTTGTGGTTCCCGTCCCCTCCACATTGCACATTACATGTTCTGGCTCTTCATCTGGGGTCAACTTTGCCATCCCAGTTGACACGGTCAGGAGAGTGGTGCCCCGACTTATTGTCTATGGTGCTCCTAGACCACCAGCTGTGTAGGCACTACGTATTATCTCCTTATTCAGCAGGGGATAATAGTTGCTCCTCATATTGTATCTATGGTGGTGATGAATTGATGAGGTGTCCCGGAATCAGGGGATGATCTCAATATGTTATTGACTAAATGATTTGTGGTTAATTGCTTGTTGATCCACACACTTGAACTTTACAAAGAAAATGCTTGTAGTGACAGCCAACGTGGCATACTGAGGGAATGCTATCCACGTCACCACATCCTCACCCTCGATTTCCCCCACTTCGCGAGCCTTCGCGCGAAAAAGTCACTCAGCTGTACCTTCGATGTCTGAATTCGCCAATCGCAGACTCCGTGGAACATGGATTTGTCAATTGTCTGGCTGCGGGTAACCCGTTTCTTCGTTCATAGGCGATAAACCAAGTGAACATCCTACTGCAGCCTCCCCTGCTCCTCTTGTCCAGCAGCCTATCTTTCCGACCGACCTCGCTTCCCAGCACAGCTATCCCTGCCAGAAGCAACCTTCAGTTCCCAAGGTGAAACGACCATATTGATATTGGTGGACTCCTTTCAGAAAGGATTCTTGGTTAGTCTTTCACCATGGCTGCCTTTGCGAGCTCTCTCGCGCTCTCCGCTACCTCCGCGGCTCCCCGCGCTGCCGTCCGTTGCTCCGCTGCGGAACCCGCTCCGTCCAGCCAGGCCGCTCCAGCTCAGGTCCGCGTGGCGTCGTCGGGCCTTCCGTCCTTCGCGAGGGTGTCGGCGGAGAATGCTGCGACGGCGATCGACCCGTCTGCGGCGTTCGCGAACGTGATGTGGGCGCGCACGTACAACACGCAGATTCTGGTTGGCGAGAGCGAGAGCACGGAGTCGGTCGTGCGACGGTTTAAGAAGACTTGCATGGAGGCGAACATCGTGAACGAGTGTCGCAGGCGACGCTTCTTCGAGACGCAGCAGGACATCGTCAAGCGCAAGCAGAAGGACGCCGCCAGGCAACGCAAGCGATTCTCGTGAGTCTCCCGTGGTTACCCTAACATTGTATTTTCTGTGTTTGTTTTTCTTGTTCGTTTTTTTGCGAAGGATCGCTAGATTTTTGCCAAGCTGTATTGGCGACTTCGACCGTCATGCGAGAGGATGAGCGCAAGAATGCTGCTTCGAGACAGTTTAATTGTCTTGGCTGAGATTTGCCCTTTTTTCAGAAAGCACCCGCCGTGCATTTAGAAGCAGAACACGCCATTCCGTGCCAATGTCGCCATTCTTTTCGCGTCCGAGCGGGCTTGACGCGGAAGAATCAGGGTTTATGCGTAAGTCGGACGGAGCATGAGAACGGCTTATCTCCGGCGCGAGTTAGGGTGTCTCGCGCATAGAAACGCCAACGGGCAATCGCGGGCTGGCAGTTGGTCTGGGCGGCACACGTGGCGCGAGTGCGGTTGCAACGTCTTAGTAAGCGTTACGGAGCAGGATAAGGTAGCACGCAGCTGACACTCGGGCGGCACTCGGGTTGGCGCCCAGTGGGACGTGGTTAGCAGAGCCGCTAGATCGAACGGTGGTTCCAGAGGAGCAGCAGCTGCAGGAGGCGGACGAGCTGAATGGCATTATAGGCGCCATTTAGTCGTCTCATCACTCGCGGAGGAGGACGCGCAGCAGCAGTGAATATCGTCGTAGGTTAGGGAGGGTTTCGGCAGCGGCACAGGGGACCGTCGCATTGTAGTTAGAATAGGAAAAAGTGTTACAAGAATAGGGACTATATTGTTGTCATCCGCAGCGTGGTATCGCTCCGTAGCAGCGTCAGTGCAGTCTCATCAGAGCACGAGATCTGTGCGACCCGCTGTAGTTCGTTGTTGGGATCGCTGTAGTTGTCGTTGTTGGGAACGCTGTAGTTGTCGTTGTTGGGAACGCTGTATATTCCCATCCCCTTCCTTCAGCTCCTCAACATACGTTCGCTATATACTATCATCTACACCCATCCGACCCGTGCCCGGGCAGCCGCCAGCCAAGCAGCAATTGAGGTCCACGTCATATCATATCGTATCACACCATATGATATCCTATCATATCATACCATATCATATCATACCATATCATATCATACCATGTCATATCATTTTGTCATACCGTATTAAACCATACCATACGCTACCATACCATACCATATCATACCATGCTGATGTGACCTTGTGCTTCTCTGCCCTTCTGACTGCATGTGTGCCTCCTCCAACCCTCACACACCTTCTGCAAGTTGCTTCTGTGCTGCTTCTCATCCCTCCCTCTCTCCGCCTCTCACTGCTTCCTCTCTTCCACTTTCTCACCATGATCCCCAACACGTGTGCCTCCTACTGCTCTCGCCCCTTCACACACACCCCTGCAAGTTCCAATTATTCTTTGAAAGAATGATTTCATTGCCCTTTATTCATGATGTCTCTCCATACCTTGTTCTGCCTTCTCCCTTCCCCACCACAGCCGTGCCTCATCTGGTCCGCGGCCCTTCTTCACGCGTGACCCGGCAGCGGCCAGCAAGGCAGCAGCCACCTCCAACGACGATGATGATGATTTCTGGGATGCCAAGGTCGAGCTGTAGAGGGGGCTTGTTGTCATTCGTGGGCTTTAATGCTGGATATTACTGTACTAGCTGCTTCAAGTCATTGGCAGTGCGCAACTACAGCAATTTCCATGAAGTTCTGATCTACCCCTACAGAGTGTAAAAAACTGGAGTTGCAAAGAACAAATGAGCACCACTGGTAGATGGGACGTTTTTATCGGAGTGCTGAAAAAGTGGCGAGATTGGCAGGTATGCAATGCAAGGCCACCGCAGAAGAGAGCTGACTGGTGAGATGAGATGATCCTCAATAAAGTCAAGCTTCCTAAATTACAGTGAGCTGGGAATCTTGTTGAACAAGCGCCCAGTTCAGTGCCCAAGACGTAGGTAGCAATACAACGAAGGAACAGGCATGCTACGGTAGTAACGATTGCAATACAGCGAAGTAGCAAAAAAGCGAAATCGTGTCACGGCTTGGTGAATGCTTCCAGAATGTTCCGGCGAGCCGACAGCTTCTCCACCTTGTCAGGCTTGAGGGACTGCCAGAGAATGGAGTGACGGGTTGGGTGGGAATGGTGGGGATGGATGATGCTTGACAAATCTAATTTTGAGGCGCCTCAGAACTGGTTGGGTGGGAATGGTGGGGATGGATGATGCTTGAAAAAGGTGGACACCACACCACACCACACCACACCACACCACACCACACCAGTGACCAGAACTAATGGTTTGAACAAACGTACTTGGAGAAGTGGTGTGCTTCAAAAGGCATTTGTGTTGTGGTATGCGATACAAAGAAGAACACAAAAATGATGCATTTATGGTATGGTTTTGAGCAGAACACCATAATATGGTCTCGACACCAATGGACTGCTGCTCATGCTGCAACTCATCCCTGCCAGCAGCTTGGAGAGGGGGATGCGCTCCGTGCTCACATACCCACACAGAGCACAGCACCGTCTCACACACACGCACACCCACCGCACTGCACCGCACCACACCATGCTCGCAACTCACCCCTGCGAGCAGTTTGGAGACGCGAGCATGCTCCTTACTCACAGACTCACACATAGCATGGCAGAATGTCAAACACTCACAGAGCACAGCACCGCACTGCACCATGCTCACAACTCACCCCGGCGAGCAGCTTGGAGAGGCGGGCATGCTCCTTGCTCACATACTCCTCGCCCTGCTCCACTATGTTCTTCATTGCCTTCTGATAAAACACCCCGTGCCTGGTGGGTGGGGCGGGTGGCATGGGAGGGAGGAGAGGCACGGAAGGCGAGGAGGAGAGAAAGAAGCAGAAGCAGTTTCAAAGGTCGTTCTTTGAGAATTCTCAAAGAACAGTTTCAGAGATCTGTGGCATGATCCCCCCTCCCCCTATTCCACACACGTTGTCATCACTCTCACCCCTCCATCTCTCTTCCATCCTCTCAGCACTCTTCACTCTCAGACACCCTCCACCACCCCCCTCGCCCGTATGCTGTACCCATTTCCCCCCTAACCCTCTCCCCCCTCCGTCTCCCCTCTCCTTCTCCCCATTTCCCCCCCACCAACTCACTCCTCCATCTACCGCGGGCGCCACCACCACTCCCATTGCCCTGATGACTCTCGCACTCGCCATCAGTAACCACCCCACTCACTCGTCATCAGTAACCACCCCACTCACTCGCCATCAGTAACCACCCCACTCACTCGCCATCAGTAACCACCCCACTCACTCGCCATCAGTAACCACCCCACTCACTCGCCATCAGTAACCACCCCACTCACTCGTCATCAGTAACCACCCCACTCACTCGTCATCAGTAACCACCCCACTCACTCGTCATCAGTAACCACCCCACTCACTCGCCATCAGTAACCACCCCACTCACTCGCCATCAGTAACCACCCCACTCACTCGCCATCAGTAACCACCCCACTCACTCGTCATCAGTAACCACCCCACTCACTCGTCATCAGTAACCACCCCACTCACTCGTCATCAGTAACCACCCCACTCACTCGTCATCAGTAACCACCCCACTCACTCGTCATCAGTAACCACCCCACTCACTCCTCCAGTTGTGGCACCACCGCCTCCCATCGCAGATCTTCGGACATTCTTCCAGTGAGCAGCACTTGCGTAGGAGTAGGTCTGAGCAAGTATGAAAAGACGACAAGAGCTCCAGCTTCACCCCACTCACCCCTCCAGTTTTGGCACCACCACCTCCCATCGCCCTTGTGCCCCACTCGCCTCCTAACGCCCTGATCCTCCCCCCCCTTCCCACCCCACCCACTCACTCCCCCAGCACTGGCGCCACCACCACTCCCAGTTTTTGAGTCGACTCAAAAACAGGCTCCCCCCTACCCGTCCCCTCCCTCCCACCCCACTCACTCCTCCACCTCGGGCGCCACCACCACTCCCATCGCCCGCTCCATCAACCCCTGTTTCTCCGCCTCCGACGCTTCCTGGAAGCTTCCCGCCATCGCGTCCAGCTCAGCAATGCGGCCCACCTGCAGGGGGGTGGGGGGGAGGAGGGGCGAGGGGGTGGAGGGGAAAATGTTGGGGAAGAGGGGAGGGGGAGAGATGAGGGAGGGTCACAAACGCTTATTGAGGAAAGACCTATAATGCCTTGTCAAGGGGAAACCCATAGGAAGTAGAGTTTGGTGTGAGTCCAGAGGCTGATGAAATGCATAAAATCCGGGAGGATGGGCAGGGGGGTTGCTGGCTTGCACTTGATATCCTTCTAGGGGAGCGTGCAGTGCCCTCATTGTACCGTACCATACCGTACCATACCTGAGAAGGGTAGAGTGACAGTACCTTATCAATGGGGACGCACGCCATAGGAGAGTTGTTGGTGCCGGTCCAGTGATTGACGAAATGCACGAGGCGCACAAAAGAGGGCAGGGGTTCCCTGGTATGTCTAGGTGGGGAGTGCCGTACCTCATTGTACCGTACCTCATTGTACCGTACCTCATTGTACCGTACCTCATTGTACCGTACCTCATTGTACCGTACCTCATTGTACCGTACCTCATTGTACCGTACCTTATCCAGAGGCACCCCGTAGGAGGACTGTGTGGTGCCGGTCCAGTGGTTGACAAAATGCACGAGGTCAACGAGGGTGGGCAGCGGGTCGCCCTTGAGGTCTTCGCCGTACTTGTTGGTCCGCGTGAAGAACTTGAAGAAGGGATACTCCGTGATCTTGAACCTGGGGGGAGGAACGGGGCAGGGGAAGGAGGGCAGGGGGGCAGTGGGGCAGGAAGCAGAGGGAGAGGGTGGGAAGTGTGGCAGGCAGGGGGAGCGCAGCAAGTCACACTAACAGCCTGCCACCCTGCCTACCTTTTCTCCCTGCCTTTTCCATAAGCATGCCGCACCTGCCACATCAGCAAGCCCCACCTGCCACATCAGCACGCCCTGCCTGCCACATCAGCATGCCCCACCTGCCACGTCAGCATTCCCCACCTGTGCGCCAGCATGCAGTTGTTGTCGGCATCCACCTTGGCGAACACAATGCTCTTTGAGACGTCTCAACAAAGGGGGGCCGGGTGACAGGCAAGCAAGCAAGCACGCCCCTCGAGTCTCACTCACCTGTGCGCACCCCACCGGCCTGTCCCCTGGTAGTGAGCAAACCCCACCTGACCCCACTCGGCACTTGCAATTGCAAGCCCCTCGAGTCTCACCCACCTGTGCGCCAGCATGCCGTTGTTGTCCGCATCCACCTTGGCGAACACAATGCTCTCCTCGCCCTTGAAGATGTTCGCTAGCTTCTCCACCGTCTGGTGTGCACACACACACGGGGGAGAACGGGTGGAGGCAGCATGTCGTTGCTGTCAGCATCCACCTCTCCTCGTCATCAGAAACGACGGGTGAGATGAAGCGACGGGTGAGATGAAGCGACGGGTGAGATGAAATGACAGCTTACCTTGGTCATCTCCTTGCAAGGTTTACACCTGGGGTGAGGGAGAGAGGGGAGTGAAAGAGAGTGGAGCGGGAGAGGAGGGAGAGGCAGGAATGGGGACGGTTAGGCAAGGAGGAAATGAGGAAGAGAAAAGCGCTAGAGCATGTGAACGAGTGTGTGGGTGCGATTGCGTGTTTGTAATTGCACCACTCACGCGGCGTCATAGTAGTAGGTGAAGAGGTGCTTGGTCTCGTCCAGCATGAGCGAGGGGAAGGCCCACGTGGTGAGCTCTATCACTCGCGACTCCTGCTCCGTCTCCACCCTGCCCTTGGTGCCTGCATGCACGGATGGAAAAGGGAGGGAGAGATGGGAGAGGGATGAGAGGAGAGGAGAGGCTCAAGTGGTGCAAGGTGACTGTCAGCTCTATCACCCGCGACTCCTGCTCCGTCTCCACCCTGCCCTTGGTGCCTGCGCGGAAGGGGGGGAGGAGAGAGGACAGAGGGCAGAGGAGACAGACGATCCAGTGGGGACAGGCCGTGCCTTTGGGTTGGGAGGACACACCCCACGTGGTGAGCTCTATCACCCGCGACTCCTGCTCCGTCTCCACCCTGCCCTTGGTGCCTGCACGGATGGGATCACGGGAAAGGGAGGAGGAGAGGAGAGGAGCACGTGGAGCAAGGGGCCTCTGAGTCAATGCACGGGAGAGGGAGGAGATTGCGCGAGAGGGGGGGGGAGCGGGAGAGGGAGGGGGAGGGGTAGGGGGAGGGGAGAGGGAGGGGGAGGGGAGAGGGAGGGGGAGGGGAGAGGGAGGGGGAGGGGGAGGGGTAGGGGGAGGGGGAAGGGGTGAGGGAGGGGGTCCAGTAAAGAGGAGTGTCAAGCAGCGAAGGGAGTGGAGGCTGGGGATGAAACGTGCCAACCACACCATCACACACCCTTTTTTTGGCCTGTCGTTTTTTAGAATCACGTATCCCGCACCGCCCACTCGCCAGGCAATGCGCCTCAAATCGCACAACCACTCCCCAAACCCACTCACCCAAGCCTGCCGCCCACTCACCAAGTCGACTGTTGATGAAATCCACAAAAACGTTGGCCTTCCTGTCTCCTCCATAGCTGTCATGACGTGGCATGGGATAACGTGGCATGGGATGACGTGGCACAATGTGGAATGGCATGGGCGCAAGGCAAGAGAATGGGGGATGGATAAGCTTCACGTGGATGAGTGCGGGGCATGCTGGGTTAGGGGAGAGGGGGGGTGGCGGATAGAGAATGAGTAGCCCAGCATTTAGCACAGCACCACACAGCACCCACTCCACCGCCCCCTCCATTGACATTTTTTAAATCGATTCAACTGATTCCAGTTTATTAAGGTTAACATCTGCTGGCAGCACACCCCATCACACCCCATCACACCACCCCATCACACCCCATCACATCCCATCACACCCCATCACACCCCATCACATCCCATCACACCCCATCACTCACTCCTCCACTCCCCCCTGGCCAGCAGCGGGGAACCACTTGAGCGTGGGGTATCCGCGGACCTCGTGATTGGTGCACAGCTCCGCGTGCGCCTGACAGTCCACCTGCGCGCATGGCAGGGGGAACGGGGGAGGGGGGTGGGGGGAGGCGGAAGGGGAAAGGACGGAGGTGGAGGATTGACGGGGGAGCGAGGGAGAGGGGATTCGTGAGGCGTCTTCAACCTTTGGCGATGCAATGCGACCCAGCTTGGCGATGCAATGCGACCCAGCTTGGCGATGCAGTGCGACGCGACGCACCTTGGCGATGAAATGCGACGCACCTTGGCGACGCAATGCAACGCACCTTGGCGACGCAATGCAACGCACCTTGGCGACACAATGCGAGGCACCTTGGCGACGCTATGCGACGCACCTTGGCGACACAATGCGACGCACCTTGGCGACGCGATGCGACGCACCTTGGCGACGCGATGCGACCCACCTTGGCGACGCTATGCAACGCACCTTGGCGACGCTATGCGATGCACCTTGGCGGCGCTATGCGACGCGGGCGACGCGCGACGACGCACCTTGGCGACGCTATGCGACGCACCTTGGCGATGCGGATGGCGTCGGAGTCTTTGAATGCCGTCGCCACCTTCTCCCAATCCGGCGCCAGGCGCTGGCAGTGCCCGCACCTGCGAAACACGGTTGCGACATGCGAATTTGAGTTGCGAAGTAGCGAAAACGCGAGCCAACAAAGGTGTAAAGCCAGTAACGCGAAGAACACTATTTTTGTGAATTGTTATTGTGTTGAGACATTACTTCTTAAAAACCCACAAGCCCAACCGATGGCTCGGATGACCACGCGGGTTAGAAACGCAGATGGGATGCAATGCTTACCACTGCATTGTAACATCGACCTGATAAGAACTCGCAGCGGCCCGCTAACGGAAACGAGACCGGGAATGACGTCATCATGGGATCCAACAAGTCGTTATTATCACGGCCGGGACGCACCAGGGAGCGTAGAACTTCACGAACACGACCGAGTCGCCTCCCACGTGGTCGTAGAAGTTCGCCGGCGTGAGCTCCAGCACGTCCGAGCTCTCCGCGCCGTCCGCCGCCGATCGCGGCACCGCGAGCAGCAATGCTGTCACCAGAACAAGCGCAGCGATCGCGATTGGCGGAGATCCGGTGACGAGTCGCGGGCTGGCCATTATGATTGCGCACTCGACGGAAACTGTCACGCACGGCGCGCTGCGGGACGAAATTGGCACGACGGCGGCGCGGCGGCTTCTATATAAATATTCCGGTGAATGAAGGGGCTGGGCTGGGACGCAGGAAAAGACTTGATAGAAATTCCTTCTGTGATGATGAGGAGAAATGTGGGACTGTCGGTCAAGTTCAGCAGCGCTATCGTATTCAACACTCCACTGCCTCCTCGACCCCACAAAGCACAGCCAAGCGACGGAGGAGCAGTCTTTTTGTCGTGATCTCCAGGGGAGGTGAAAGCTGGATTGGATACATCAGACGGTTTAGATCTCTTGTTCCGTTTTGAATCGAAGAGAATATCCTCTTTATAACATCGGTAACCTCGAAACCTGCCCCCAAGACCAGTTGTCGGTCGGACTTCAGGACGAGTCCCGATCGAGACGCGTGCTGATGCTACCTATCCGCTAATGGCTAGAAGCAGCCTGACTTCTAGAAGCTGCATCTCCAAATGACGTTGAAACAGTGATAGCTTACACTCAGTACGTTTATAGTGTATTACTTGATACACGATTTTCAGAGGGTCTGAGAAATTAGGTGCTTTTAAGATTAATGGGAAATCTCCAGGGGCTGTTATTGGGCTGCTAATATTAAGGAACTAAATCGTTTTGCCACCTTGACAATGTATAGCTACATAATAACTGAACGTAAACGACTAGTACTAGCCTGATCAAATACTAGCTCGATAACCTGAGATACAACGCTATAACAATTCATACATTATAACAAAACAAGAAATTCCAAACCATTGTTTATTCTTAAAATACTCAATATCTGATCCACAGTTGACGGAGCTGACCAGTGGAAGGGAGACCATCCATAAAGAATGAAATGCTTGTCACGAGTTATGATGGGTTTGGAATGTCGGTCTTTATGACGGGTTTGTTGACGGCTGCCGTTGATGACACCCTGTTTCTCATGTCATTGGATGCGATGCGTGTGTTCTGTCGACGCATGCGATGATGCGATACCCGAAGGGCATGCGACTACGGGTAACGGATGCGAAAACGGGAGTGGGAAAGGTGGTTTTAGGTGTTGATGGATGGCCAAATATTCGTGCGGCTTCGCACGATCGACGCGCGGTAAGCGCGGGAAAACGAATGCCGCGGTTGTGAAAAATCGGCTGCGGCGAAAATTGAAATTTGAGGGGGCGGCTCGGCTTTCAATTTGCGCCTTTCCACTGAGAGAAATTTCGACGCCAATTTTCAACGCCCCCCAACCAACATTTAGACTTTTCACCAGGCAGATTGGTCAGCAGCAGGCACCTCCAGGTCGAGGCAACAGTGGAGCTGGGCAGCAGGTGGGGCAGCAGCGCAGCAAACAAAAATCGATTTGACTCGACTCGACTCCGCTGAGAGTTTCCCATCCGAACGAAAATCCGTCCAACGGGCGGATGGAAAACGAGATTTGGAGGGCGGGCCGCCTAAAGGTGGGGCTGAGCATCAAAGACTTACCAAAACCAGTTTGAAGTATTCGTCACGAAACGGAGGTGCGTAGATGGCGGTGGGAGCTCGTAGAAGCATAAGCTGATTATCCGATAGCGCCGACACTTCTGCTTAGTTGCATGAGACGAAGCAGATGTACGTCCGTCCGTAGAACGTTATCGTAGCTGTAGTCTCTTCTCCTTGTGACCAGGCCGCCATAGCTCCCAACACGGCTAATCCCAGTAACGCCATTTCGTTAACGGCCAGCAGTTGCCGGCACCTACCGACAGCGTTAGTTTCCATAGTTGTTAGTACTATAATTATATAGAAATTTTCACAGCCGATCCACGAGCCACGGCAATAGAGATTTCATCCGAGATAACACTCATCCATGGCGCAACTTGCCATGCTTCCGCTAATGGAGGAATCACCTGTGGCCGACGATAATGGCGGATATAGCGGCGGATATAACGGCGGCATGTTCGCTCAGCAGACAAGCCCCGCGCCTCCCTTATGGACCTCCCTAGACGCCATGCACGGGCTGGACCACGAAGCTTCTGGGTTCCTTCCACTGGACGCATCCGACGGAGACGAATCGCAGCAGCAGCAGCAACAGTCGGACTACACCCACCACCACAGCCACCAGCCGTCGGATCATCTCAACGTACGGCGAGATCTTCTCGAAGACGATAACTTCGGCAGCAGCGAGTTCGACCCGTCGTCCGCGGCGAGCGGAGCGGGGGAGTGTGTGATGCTGTACCAGGACGCGCAGAGGAGGGAGGAGGAGGACATGGTGGGGAGCCTTAACCTCCGCATCTCCCCGCAACCCGACGCTTCCGATCTCACATCGGCGCTTTTCTCCGAAGGCCAGGCGAGCAATAACGGCGGCGGGGCGACGCTCGGCGGGTCGTCGTGGCAGCTGTGCGACAATTTGTTCGCAGAGCCAATCGTCGACTGCGGCGAGCTGCTCTCCGGCGACGGCGACGGCGACGATCTGCTCGCGGCGTCCGCGGGGCACGACGAGGCGGAGCAGGCGGACGGCGGAAGCGGCGGAGAAGAAATGGAGATGAGGGATCCGGCCGCTGCGTATCTCACGCCGGAAAAGGCGCCGCAGATGCCGGCTAGCTCGGACCCAGCGGAGGTGACAACGCCGGGGTGTGACAATAGCGAGGGCGATTTCAGCACGCCGCAGGTGCCAAGCGCGGGCTTCTCCCGCCCGCGCAGCCGCTGCCCCACGGAGCGGGGGCTGGCGCAAAAGGGCGCGCTCATGACGCCGGCCGGCGGAGCAACGGCGCGCGCAACCCGCGAGAACCTGATGCGGCGGCTGGGGCAGGCGGGCGGAGCGGCGGAGCCGTGGACCCCCGTGACCCCCGCGAAGGACGAGGCGGGGAAGCGGTCCCCCGACCAGCTTGCGCGCGTGGCGGTGTCGCTGGATGCGGAACTCGGTCTGTTCGCGGACTCCCCGCCGCTGCTGTGGAACGGAGTGGCGCAGCAGCAGCAGCCCCAGGCGCAAGGGCAGTGCTTCCAGATGCCCCAGTACCAGCAGCAACAGCAGCAGCAGCAGCAGCAGCAGCAGCAGCAGCAGCAAGTGGCGTTCAGCAACGGACGGATGTTGGAAGCATCGAGTTCTCGGACCATGCCTGCCGGCGCCGTGCAGAGCATGCTCGGCGCGCAGCAGCAGCAGCAGCAGTACGGGATGGCGGGTCAACAGCAACAGCAGGGATTGGCGGGGCAGCACGGGTTCTGTGCGACGCCCGGGGAAGGCGCGCACATGCGCGCGGACCCCGCGGAGGCGTCCGACATGTCGCTGTTCTTCGACATGGAGCAGCAGCAACGACAGCCCCTGCCGTCGCCGCCGCAGCTCCAGCAGCCGCAGCAGTCCCAGCAGCAGTACCAACAGCAGCACTACCAGCAGCAGCAGCAGCCACAGCAGTACCAGCAGCAGCATCAGAGCCGAGGGTATCAGCAGATGCAGCAGACGCAGCAGCAGCAGGAGTCGGACGTGGTTCGCGATTTCCTCTCGTCGTCTCCAGACGGCGACGCGGCTCTCGACAGTTTGGTTCTTGACGGCCTGCCGTGCGACAGACGGCTGTCCGGCCAGATGATGCTGCCCAAGGATCTGGCGTCGTTGATGAACGACGCTGACGTGGACGCGTCTGCGGCCACGTGGCCGCAGCCAAGCAACAACAACGCTGTGTCACCTCCCCTAAGCAACGGCTACAACGCCGGTGCTGGTACCCTGAGCATGGATGCAACAGCAGCTGCTCCTACTGCCTCGGCCGGAGCGTGCGTGACTCGCCCGCCGTCGGATTATCCTGCTGCCCCCTCCTCCTCCTACCAATCCTCCCACCTCCTCACCGCCTCCTCCTCCGGCCCTCTGCTCGGCTCCTCCGCCGGCCCTCCCCCGCCTCCGCGCGTTCTCTCCGCGCCTGCGCCGTCCGCGTCGTCCGCGCAGTCCGCTGCGCCCTTGCGCCTGACTATGCCGCTGCTGGTGATGAACCGACGCGCGCCCGTGCCCCCTGCCGCGCAGGTGGGTGGCGGTGCTTCCGCCCCTTCAATGTTCCCCCAGAACCAGAACCATAACCAGAATCAGCAGCAGCCGTCGCAGCAGCAGCAGCAGCCGAAGGCGATTCACTTGAGCTGTTCGTCCTCCCATCAGCTGCAGCTGCAGCAGCCGCAGCAGCAGGCGCCACCCATGCATCAGCACCAGCAACGACAGCCGCAGCCGTACCAACCTCAGCAGACTCAACAGCCACCGCAGCAACAGTTCCAGCAACAGCAACACCATCAGCAGCAGCATCAGCAGCAGCATGCCCATCCTCCCCAGTACCAAATGCCTCCGCAAGCCAACCACCAGGCCGCCTCCTCCCACTCACAAGGTCGCCACGAGCACCACCATCAGCACAACTCAGCCTGCCCGTACCACAGCCAGCAGCACCAGCACCCCCAGCACCACCAAGCTCAACCGCAGCTCCAGACACAGCAGCGCGTGCAGCAGCAGCAAAGCGTTTGCCCCACTCACCCCCAGCACCAGCAGCAGCAGTCGCACCAGCAGCCGCAGCAGCCGCCGCAGCAGCAGCAGCAGCCATACGCCCAGCCTAGCCAGCAGCAATGGCAGGCAGCCCCTCCTGCTGCTCAGCAACAGCCGCAACAGCAGCATGTCGGCAACAATAGCCGCAATGACAGCAACTACGCCCGTCAGCCTCAGTTCCAGGCACAGCAGCACCTACCCCAGCAACCGTCTTGCCAGCAAAGCTTGCCGTCTGCTATGCCAACCCAGGCGCTGAACCAGCCACTGAAGCCGCAGCAGCAGGCACCACCACGGGTGCCCCCCGCGTTTCAGCAGCAACCGCATCCACAGCAGCCTCAGCTGCAGCAGCAGCAGCCGATGCTGTCGCAGCAGCAGCCACGCATGCAGCAGCAACCTCAACTGCAGAGGCAGAACAGCCAGTCTCGTGGCTGCAGTTTGCCTCAAGGAGCCGTCGCTGCTCCTCCCGCACCGGCTCCCAAGCAGCCTGCTCAACGGCCGACGACGTCCGGAGGTGCGAAGCGGAAAGCAGAGGAGCCACTCAGCGCCGGTGGGAAGGCCACGTCATCACGAGCCCAGCCTCCAGCTGTGAAAAGGATCAAATCTGAAGACGCTTGCGAGGCGACAACCAGGAAAGCTTCGCCTGTGACTGCTTCTGCTTCTGCTCCAGCTTCAGCGGGGCCGGTTGATCTGACCTGCAGAGAGCAGGAGCAGCTGGGACTGGAGACTGGTGACGACAGTGATGGGGTGGTGTTGAACGAGCCATCATTGAAGGGATCTCGCAGTGGTACCACTGCCGCAGCCGCTGCATCTGCTGCTGGTGCTGTTGGCGCTTCTGCTGGTGCGGTCAAGGCTGAGGCTCCTGCAGCTGATGCGAAAAATGTGAAAGCGAAAGCAGAGGTGCAAGTGAAGGAGGAGCCAGGCAAGGCCGGGAGCCGAGCAGGCGGATTGACTGGAAGCAGCTCTCAGAAGGAGAGTGGTAACCAGGCGTTCCAGGATGACTTGGGGGAAGATGGAGCGGTGGAGGACGGGGAGGACGACGAGGGAGGGGTGATGGTGGGGCGGAAGAGGTCGTTTGTGCAGAATCCGGCTGCTTCTGCTGCGAGGAAGAGAAGGCACGACATGAACCAGCGGTTGAAAGTGCTCGTGGATCTCGTCCCTAACAGCAGCAAGGTGTGTGCGGGTCCTGAAATTAAGTCTCGTTCATTTTGCCTGATATCACATGAAATGTACAAACAAAGGGCACGTGGCTAAAAAGTTTCTGTTTCATTTCTGTGTGACTGTTGTTTATGATACAGGGAGACACTGCATCAATGCTGCTTGAAGTTATTGACTACGTGAAGGCACTGATGTCTCGGATCTCTGTAAGTCGCTTGTTCAGACAACTTCTCTCGCTTGTCCATTTTGCAAAGAATTTGACGCTTTTGTGAAGACTCGAATCGTTTCTAACCTTCTTCCAGTAACTTTCGTGAGTGCAGGAAGCAGTAGGCGAGAACACCAGTCAAGGGCTAGGACTGACCAAGAGTTCAAGCATCCAGAGCCAAGGATCACCACAAGTGGTAAGAAACCAACTCATTAGCAATCACTCCCTGAAAATCATCAATACATTCACTCTTCTCATTCCAGTATCTGTTATTCCTGGAAGCTTACATCTCAGAGCCACAAATTTTCCAGCTCTAGTCTCACTCGGTTTCTTCCTGCTCCATGATTGTTTCTGAAATGGTTTTCAGGAATCCGAGTCCAATCCCAATGGATCACAGCAATGGACTTCACAGCAGTCTGCTCCGCAGCAATCCATGCCCTGCAATGGGACCTCAATGTTGCCGCCAGCACCATGTAACGATCCAACGGCTGGCATGCTTCCTGCGATACCGACGAACGGGATGAGCACGCGAGCTCTTCAGGCCGCGAAGTTCCGCATGCGACGAAAGTTGATGGCAGCGAAACTTGAAGCAGAACGGAAGAATGGCGCTGCCCCGAGCATTACGAAGGATAGCGAAAACGGCGAGGTGGTTTCAAGCGATGGTGATAAGTCGACAGGTGACGCGAAAGGTCCCCAGCGAAATCTAGCTTCGCGCCAATGCGCACTCGTCAAAGTAGCACTTGCTAGGAAAGTATACGCACTTCAGCTGAAGAATCACAATACTATGTAGATGTAGCATAAACAAAACATAGGCATGGTAATAACAAACACATCCCTAATTTGATTTGTTCTAATGTATTGCCGTTATATTAAACTTCTCTTTGCATATAGACGAAAAAGGCTCCACATGATACACCACAGACCTCCAGCAGTTATAAGCACACGTGTTAAATTAGCCACTGAAGCATCCATCTCAGTTTTGGGGAAAGAGATCAACTATGACACAATACCTGATTGGGTTCACTTGGATGCTCTACCAGCATTAGGGACAAATGCTGACAGTACATTCTTTCTAATGGTGAAGTCATCGGCCTTTTCAGGCTTCAAATCCTGCCACACAGTCAGGCAGTGGCAAACAGAGCAGTAACGAGCAGATCAGTCATGAACAGTGAGGCCATAAGTCCAATGGTGGAGGTCCAGCCAACAAAGCACTCACCATTCCTAAATTTGCAAGCAGAACCACTGAAAGCACCTAAGGATGTGGCTAGCAAGTTGCAATGGCCATGAATGTCAGTCAGAGAGTGCTTCACAATGAAACTACATGATGGTAAGAACAGTACCCTACCCACCCCGTCAAGGACTTTGGAGAGGCGGGCAATTTCCTTCTTCACATACTCATCCCCCTTTTCCACCACACTCCGCATCACCTTCAGGTACCGCTCTGCATGCCTGCAGGGCACAAGGGAAGGGGGGAGGCGGGGAGGGAGAGGGGAGAACAGGCGTTTGGAACGTATAAAGATCTCCTGCGTATTCACCCCCCTTGTCCACCCCATTCTGCATCAAGTAAAGCTCGTCCACCCCTCCTAACCCTCTCCTACTCATCCTCACTCCGTTCTCCCTGTATGTGCCCGCCATCTTGTTGCTCACACTCTCTCACTCCCTCCGGCGTTGCTCACCCCGTATCGCCTCCCTATCTTGAAACATCCCCATCCCCTCTTTACATCTCTTCATTCCCACTCCTCTCTCATCTCTACCCAATCTCTCCCCTCTCTCCCTCCCTCTCCCACCCTCTCTCTCCCTTCTCCTCCCTTTCTCAGTCACCCTTTCACAGTTGCCGGCACAGCCACTGCTTCTGCTTCTGCCATCAGACCAGCCCTTTCTTGAGCCGAAGCTTCCAGGAATCTACTCGCAATTCTGTCCAGAGACTCAATGCGTCCAGCCTGCACAAGCAAGCAGCAGAGGGAGAGGTAGCGGCGAGAAGGCCTATGAGTCGACTGATATGATCCAATCCACCGCACTGGTGAGTCCCTGTCTTCCCATTTTTCCCATTCCCCACTTCCCACCTCACAATGTTCTCCCAATCAGCCGTAACCTCCCACCTCACAAAACTCTCAAGACTCACCGCGCTGGTGAGACCGCCCTTGACGGTCCTGCTGGTGCCGGCGCGCTCATTCACAAACCCCACCAGCTCCACCAACCCCCTCTCCCCACTGTACTGCTCCCCCTCCCCATCTGCCCCAGTGCCTGCAGGGAACCACTTGAGCGTGGGGAAGCCAGATATGGCGAACCTGGTGGTGGGCGGGAGAGGCGTATGGATTGATGAATGCCCTGAGTTACACAGGCACTGCATGGCTTTTGAGTCGACTCTGAGCCATCTGCCCCACTGCCTGCAGGGAATTACTTGAGCGTGAGGAGGCCTGATATGGCGAACCTGGTGGTGGGCGAGACGCATGGATTGATGAATGCACTGAGCGGTATAGGCTTTGGTTGTGACTAAACTACCATACCAAACATACCGCATGGTAATGTCAACAGGCTCTTTCAATGCACCTGACCTTGAGCTCCCAGTGCTCGTCAATTTCCACCTTGGAAGCTCGTGGTGCCAAGAGCACTGAGTCAAAACTTTGAAAAAGGGTTAACCATTTCCTAACAAGATGCCACAACACGCCACACCTCGCACCTGTCCTTGAATTCCCTGTGCTGGTCAGCGTCCACCTGGCGAGTCCTGCCAAGGTCCGTAAATCGAATCACCAACAGCTGTTTCTGATGTGGACACTTTGAACCAGGATGGATATACCCTCTCTCCACGCCACGCCACGCCACGCCACGCCACGCCACGCCACGCCACGCCACGCTACGCCACGCCACGCCACGCCACGCCACGCCACGCCACGCCACGCCACGCCACGCCACGCCACACCACACCACGCCACCCCTCTCCACGCCACACCACGCACCTGTCCTTGAGCTCCGTGTGCTGGTCAGCATCCACCTTGGCGATCACCACACTGCTCTCCAGCCTGAATGCCTCTGCCACCTGCTCGTATACCTGCAGCAGCAGATAGACACGCACGTAAAGGGAAACGAAAGGGGGTTCGCAGTGGAATGTAAGGTGAGTGCGCGTTGAGGTGACGCGTTGTTGCGTTGGGTTATTCCAAAAACGGTGGAAAGAAAGGGAGAAGCCATACAAAG